GTTCCAACTGTTGTTGCTCTAACAAGTTCATTCTCTGCTTTTGATTTCCAATATGCATTTATCTCTCGTAGTTTCTGCACATGTATCTGCTTCTCTTCTATACTTTCAGGAATCCATGAACGAGAAGGGTGTAAGATAGAGGTTTCTGAACTCATTGCTTCCCAAAACAGAACTTGAAATAAAGATTTCTTCTGTTGAATTGCCATGCTCTCTGCTGTTTGACCCCGTTGAACTGTTATCTGTCGTTTCTTATGTGGATTCCCTCTGAAATTGATATATGATTCGTCTGAGAAAATAAAAATTGATCCAGCTTCAAGTTCGGATAGTGCCCATTTGCAGAATTTCCATCGTACTGAAGGAATGATATTATCCAAGTAGGGCTTGAGGCAGATGTTTTTCCGTACAATAGGTTGTGGAATTTCAACACTTGAGTGATTCTTTGCAACTTGTTCGACAATTGATCGTGCGTAAGGTAGATTTTCCTTATTAATAACTTGTTGAAAAGTGTCAAATGGATTTGCAAGTAGCAAAGATCGTATGCATAGTGACTCTTCAGAATCCTTTTGAATTGTCTGTGGTCTTCCACTTCGTGGCTTTTATTTGAGGTGTTGGAGAAGGTTGTGAATTTCAGTATTCCCTGCACTTTTAACAGTTTGGTGCCATATATATGCAATAGAGTCAGCTGAGATTCCAAGCTTCTTTTCAACCTCTCCATATGATGCGTTCATATATACACGCAAGGTAATAATTGCAGCACATAGTGGTATTGAGATTTCAGCCATTGTTGAGCATTACTTCATTGCTTCATTCACTCTCATATTCTACGCGTGTACTCAGGTACAAGTACATGGTGCTTGGTAGATTCCTACAATCTAATTGGCTGTTGTGCACAGACCCTGTGGAAACTTTTGGGCTGCACGAGTATTTAGTCAGCTGGAACGATGATCCTACAAAGAAGAGAGAAGAGTTTATGAATCCTAACCAGAGTGGAGGGCTCCGGTGCATAGTATGTGGACGGGAATGCTCATGTATTGGTAGATAGTAGCTCTTAGAAATACCTCGTTACAACTGAGGATTCTGTCTTGTTTTGATTCTGTCTTGTTGTTTTGCAACTGAGGATTCTGTCTTGTTTTACGACCAAGGATTCTGTTTGTGACTGAGGATTCTGTCTTGTTGCGACTGAGGATTCTGTCTTGTCGTGACCGAGGATTCTGTTGTTTTGATTCTGTCTTGTTGCGACTGAGGATTCTGTCTTGTTGTGACTGAGGATTCTGTCTTGTTGCGACCGAGGATTCTGTCTTGTTTTGATTCTGTCTTGTTGTTTTGCGACAGAGGATTCTGTCTTATTACGACCGAGGATTCTGTGTTGTTGTTTTGGATTCTGTATTGTTGTTTTGCGACTGAGGATTCTGTTGTGTAGAGAGCCTGCGACTAAGAGGCCTTACTGAGAGCACTACCTCAACCACTACGGCAGGGAGTTTCCTCATTGTAACTGAGGGTTCCCTGCTCTTAATCTTAGAGCCTATAGTGCGACTGATAGCCTATGAGCCTGCGACCGAGAGCACTACTGTAACCACTATAGCAGGGGGTTTCCTTGTTGCGACCGAGGGTTCTATGTAGAGAGCCCTACTAAGAGAGCTCTCGTTACAGTACATTACAACCACATAAGACAAGGAGAAAGGAAGGAAAGCAAATTTTGTATTATTCTATTTTACAAGAAGCTCGTTGTTGCCGAGACTTCTAGATATTGTGGCCAGAGGCCAGAGCTGCAAGGGTGGTGTTGGCACGGCGAGTTCCATCTACCAAGTCCTTTTCCTCGTTAGCACTGAACTATTTTACAGCTATATACAACTTAATAACACAGTCATATTACCTCCTTGGAGGTATTGCAACATCTCCCAGAGCACACAGCGGTGGGTGCGGGTGAGGGTGTTTGGGGGAGCCTTAATTCTTGTTAGTGACGAGAAATCAATACTCTACAATACTTACGTCGCCAGGAGGGAGGGTGGCAGCCGGGAGCGCCCTGCGGTAGAAAAGCAGCTCTACTGCAGTATGCTGCCACTTACAGCTGCAAGGCAGTAGGTCCTCGTTGTCGAGGCCACGGGTGTAAGGACACAGGGCACCCAGCTCACAGTAATAGCATATGAGAGTGCGAGTCGGAGGCTAAACGAATGCTATCCTATAGGTCTACTACAATAGATACAAAAAAGATGAAGAGAGGAACCCCCATTGGGTCAATCTCCTTAAATACCTGAAACGGGTCCGACTCGACTAGCCTGCCTTCACTCTCACCATATGACCATAACTTGTCTGACTCAGATACCTTCCGTCACTGAGGGAGAGGGACCCCGTTGGGTCAATCCCCTTAAGTACCCGAAACGGGTCCGAATCGGCTAACCTGCCTTAACTCTTATCATGTGACCGTTGTCACGGTTCACCAAGGCATAGGGCGCCAGTTGGGTATTATGAATTAAACTCAATCTAGAGAAGAAAGGAAAGAGAAGAGGAACACTCAAGCAGTGGCTCGATCTATATACAGCTATGTTGTTGTGGAGTGAATTCTCTTTAGTGAGACCAGTTCTGAGAATTCACTCCACAACTGAAAACTTTGCTCCAACCCCGGAAAGCTCCCCACACCCCTGAACCCTCACTCGAGCTGCAAGGCGCACTTGATATCGTAACAACCGTAATCTGCCCGACTCAGATCCTTTCCGTCACTGAGAGACAGGCATCCTTACACTACCCCTCCTCTTAAGAGGGTGTTTTGTCTGCGAAACACGCTGTGAGAATCATTTCCGCAACATCTCCAAATGGTATCCGTGACAAGAGCATTCTATGTTGGCAGTAATTCTGTTTGTAATTGCATTTGTAACAACCCTGTTTATATTCTGTGTCGGGAAGGTGCGTTGTATGTCATGCTAGAGTTGTGCCGTATCGACTCTGTTTAGTGTGCAAAACCAGAGTTCGCTTTGTTCGCTCTGTGGTACATTCCTGGTGGTCTGAGTGGGCTCCGAATCGTATCCGCGAAGCATTCGGGTTGAACTTTCTGACGTAACATAAGTGACGGTGTAATGCGGGGGACTGGGTAACGCGGTGGATTTCTGAAGACGACCTAACAAAACTGTAAATTTAACTACAATTAACAATGATACATGATCCACCGTCACTCTTAGATTGTTCCCCTGCATCCTCTTCAATATACTCATCAATTTCAATGTCTGATGAGGCGTGCTTGTCCTTTGTTTTGCGCTTTTTCTTACTTGCACTATGCGTCGCCGTTTCTGCCTCCATCACTGCATCACACAATTCTTGCGTAGAAACATGAAAGTGACCCTTTAGAATAACCCTTTTCCCCTTTGTACGTACCGTACGTCGCTTCATAACTGATCGCAAGTTGTTGGCATCAAGTTGGTGGACAATGCTACGTGCTCTAAGTTGCTCTGATGCAACGGTGAGTTTTTGGATGTACGTCCGCACTGGTGTTGACAGCACCCCACTACCATTAATCATAGTTGTAAGGAGCGCATTTGCAGAGCGTAAGGTCATCCCATCAGGGGGGGAGCTGTTAATAAAGACTCGGTCAAAAACATCATACTGATGTGGTGTTTTTGGTCGCTCAGCCTCGACTGATGGCTCATCATTGAGCAGCGTACGCAACGCTCGCTGGGGATTAAACAGAAACAAGCCAGCACCACGGTATGCTGACTCAATGTTCTGATGGTTGCATACATCAAGCCGCGCCTGGATGTATGCCTCCATCCATTCATACTTCTGTATGCGCGCAAGTTGCGCTTGGTTGAGTGGGGAGAGCGCTGCCGTTAGACGCTTTTTTAGTGGGCCGAATATCGCAACATCTAGCGGTTGTAGCAAATGCGATGTATGAGGTGGAAGTATCAGTAATACAATACGGTTCTGCATGCAATGCGCAATGAAACTCCCACTAATGTGTGAGTCGTGGCCGTCGCATATAAGAAGCCGGTGCTGACCATCTGCTTTTGCGTGTGTTGTTGGCTCGAAGATGCGTTTTAACCACTCTATCCTGTGGAGATTGCCTGTCCAGCCTTTCGTATTCGCAGAGAAGAACCACTCGTTGATGATTGTAGGAGGAATCCATGATTGGAGAACGTTCTTGCCCTTAAAGATCCCAAGGGGTGGAAGGATGGTTCCGTCTGCGCAGATGCACTCGACCATTGTAACCCATTCCTGACGGCCAGGATGCGCTTGATTGCTTTGTACGAAGCGTTGAATCAAGTATAATTCAAGTAGATTCCATTGTCCCAATTGAAAATCCAGATTCATCCATGTTATATGTGTTCTCTTGTGTGATTCCGAACTGTTGAACCACCTCGGTGTACGCGTCAAACCATGCTGTAAGCACTGGTTTTGTTGCACCGTCCATGCGTACAGTTTCGATCCGTCGTCCGATGACAACCTGTAGATGGGGGTGCCGTTTTATGAATCGCTGTACCCAGTGGTAACCAAGGGCAAACCGTGGTTGGAGTGGAAGTGAGTTTGGTGTCGCGTCATCAAAATTGAGTGATCGGTGCGACTGGATTTCTTCAGCTATTTCCTTTAACAACCGATGCCCAGGAGAATAACCGCTAATTGTTAGGTTCTTAATCCACTTCAGAAGTATCGTCTCTTGCGCGCTTGATAAACTCTGCTGTTGCTGACGGACTTGAGAGCGTGTCAAACCTCCATTGGCGCGACGCGTCACAGAACTCTTAGGTAACCCTAGCACTTTCTCAGCGTGATATGCGCTCTTATACTTCCCAGATTTGACGTCTAATACTGCTTGGGCTATTAAAGTCTCACGTTCAGCAATACCCAGGTATTCACGACGATTCATTGTTGAGTTATTTACAATTATCTGAAGTTGGTGGGGGTAAATCCACCGCGTTACCCAGTCCCCCGCATTACACCGTCACTTACGTTAGCGCCGATACCTGTTGAGAGGTTCCCGTTTGGTGCCACTGCCGCAAGCCTTTCCCGACCTCTCACCAAATCTTCAGCCTCGCACAGCATTTCTTCAGTATTCATACGCATCCTCTTGAATCACGACTTCTGCATTGATCTGCCACTGTTTAACATCACCTCTTCAACTAGCAACTCACTCAGGATGACCACATCCTAGATCTCGAGCGTTGATTGCGAGTTGAGTGGCTAGGGATGCCGCGTCTCAACAATACTCGTCGGGCAGCGCGGCCCTGGACGCTCACAGATACATATGGTGAGGAGCTGACGACCTCCTTGAACGGACTCATTGTGCCATGGAATATAGCTGACGAGAAATTATCTAGGATTTATAGCGACATATCTCTCGATTTCGCCCGGACATGGGCACTCGTCACGATTACTACGTAGCCGATTGCCAACTTTTTCACGATCTTACAGGAATGCATCATATATACCCATACTTGCGAATCAATCACTCGACAGCTCTCTCCAGGCGAAACAGGGAGATGGCATACAAGGCCGCTCTCTGCAGATAAACCAGCGCGACTGCGTCCTCCCTCGCTCCCAGCGCCGTCACTTCCACAACTACTTCGTCACACACCTTCCCTCCAGCTCTCTGCACCCGGACTCCCGCTCTCCCCACCACAAACTCCCCCGCGCAGCCTCAATCCCACACACGAGTGCTAGCCCACCCCCAACTGCCGTCCCGCTATTAGCTAGCTCGTCACGCGACCTCACCGTCGTACGCATCCCGATCCAGAGCGCGAAGCACCACTTCGGAGCGAAGACATCTCGCGGCACGCGCCCCTACAACGAGGACCGCTTCGAGGCCGGCACGATTGAGATCCCCGCCTTCGCGAACCGCGCACCGATCAGTTTGACCCGCAGCGATACCGGGTCGGGACAGGGACCTGAGGCGACATCGGCGGACAGCGCGAGCGGGGATCCGCAGGTGTTTTACTTTGGGGTATTTGATGGGCATGGCGGTTCCGAGTGCTCGGAGTTTTTGAAGCAGGAGTTGCATCACTATGTGGAGGATGCGGCGAAGCAGTTTGGGCTGCAGTCGAGCTTGAAGAGGAGCCCGGATTCCATGCAGGATCCGGCGATGGGAACCGCGGTGCCTGAGGTAGGGGTTGCGACTGAGGGGGAGTTGTGGAAGGAGGGGAAGAAGGGCTTGAATGCCGTGGATATGAAGACGAAAGAGGAGACGAAGCCGGCTGATACGAGGAGCCCCAAGGAGCAGGTAGCGCAGCGTCCGCCGGATGCTGAGCGTCTGAAGTCGGAGGACCCGCTGAAGCAGCGGATGGACAAGCCGAAAGCTCTGGAACTCGAGGCATCTCTCCTTGATCATTGGAAGAGCACAGTTGGGGGATACTTCCGGCGATTCAAACCGGACTACTTTGATGTTAAGGTCAAGTACCAGCATCGGAACCACAAGACAACCAACGAGCCCGCCAGCCCGGAAACAGCACCCTCTATCGAGACAGTGCTCATGTATGCATTCCTCCGCTGCGACCTCGACTTCGTCATCGCGCAGGCCTCCAAGCCCGACAAAGAATCCATCTTCGACCTCCCCCTTAACCACGGCGAGGTCCTCGGCCGCCCCTCCCAGGCCGCCCACAACATCGGCGGCCCAATCCGTTTCAAAGGCGGCTCCACTGCCTCCGTCGCCATGGTCTCAACCCCAAGCCCGACGCCCTTCTGGCACCCGAGCTCGCCCTCCACCCTCCTCGTCGCCCACGTCGGGGACACGCGCATTCTCCTCTGCGACACAGCGACTGGCCTCGCCGTCCCCACGACAACCAACCACCACCCCAGCTCACCCATCGAGAGCACGCGTCTGCACCGCTACGCTGCGACCTTTGTGACTGACTCTTTCGGCGAGGAGCGTATGTCTGGACTGGCTAACACGCGTGCCTTTGGCGACATGAAGTCCAAGCGCATCGGCGTTAGCGCCGAACCAGAGATCGTGCGCGTTGCGCTCGCGCCAGCGCAGTACAGCTTCCTCGTGCTGGTGTCGGATGGGGTGTCTGGAACGCTGACCGACCAGGAGATCGTGGATGTGGTGAAGGAGGCGAAGACGCCGGAGCAGGGCGCGCAGGAAGTCGTGACGTTCGCGACCGAGACGACTAAGGACGGCGATAATGCGACGTGCCTTGTTGTGCGTCTTGGGGGGTGGGAAAGGCGGGCCGAGGGCGGCTCAGGGAGTTTGGGGACGAAGGAGGTGAGAGATTTTAGGAGGCAGGAGGCCACCGATCCAAGGCGCAATAGGAGATAAGGGAAACATGGTTATGATATAGGGGATGTGGCGTTTGCACACGATGATTTTTGGAAACTGGCAGCATTATACACAACGCTTGATTTCCAGGTGAGTAGATACGCTTCAATATACATACATAAACCGTACATGACATATACATAGTCTGTATTCGGCAGTGGTGATTTCCCATGCAAAAGCAACGACATCCAATGTTATGCCATCAAGACATTCCAAAATATACACTCCCAACACCACATCAACACTTATCATACATCCCACACCATCACCCCTATACCGTCCCCCCATTCCTCCCCTCCCTCCTCTTCCTCTCCCTAACATTCCACTCCTCATCACTCTCCCCCGGCAACAACTCCTCCACCCCCTCCGAAAACGCCTCCCCCCACTCCATCTTCTTCTCCCTCCCCTCCCACACATCCTCACTACTCGGCCCAACCTTATACTTCAACGCCTTCTTCCGATAATGCTCCTTAATCATATCCTCCCGCTGCCCCGCATAGCTCTTCGACCTCATACAGAACCAGAAACTCTTCCAGTGATCGCTGCATGACTGCATCCCACCGTACCGGTACACGGCGTTGAATTGGCCACCTAGAGATTGGCAGTAGAATGCTGCGTCGAAGGCGTCACGGCATGACATTGTCGTTGGGTATAGCGAGTCTTCGACGTTGAGTTCGCTGTGTGGAGCTGTGGCGAGAGTACCCTCCGTGGGGGCCCGGGGGGTGCGTTTGAATATGGGTTTTTTGGGCGCGGAGGCCTTATTCTCGGCGTCGAACTCGGCCAGTGCGGCTTGTAGGTCTTGCTCAGCGAGCTGGGCGGGTGTGAGTGATTGAGAGGGGGTGGTTGCGGGAGGAGGCGCTTGTTTTGTCAGGATGGGTGTGGCTTGGGAAGTCGGCGCTGCAGCATCAGCTGGCGTGGCCGCGGAACTCCATAGCCAGCCCATTATTGTGGTTATCGGATGGATTGGTGAGAGGTTGTTGCGGTTGATATTGGGATGAGGCTGAAGCTATCTCGGAAATTCTTGGGTTTTATGAAATATCACGTGATTCACGAAATGAGCTTCAGCCTTGCGGTGGAGATATGACCTCATGTGGTAAATAGTACCTTGGGTAAACTTGTGGTGGCTTGCTGTAGACCCTGAACCCCAAGAATCTCATATCAAAGAGAAGCACATTCTTTCCGTGGCTATCTATTTCTCGTGCCATGCGATCTGAGCTGTAAAGTCGCATCGGGTTGCGGCTGTCAGCAAGATGAGCATTCCCGCTCGGCGCGCGGTGTTCAATCCCACCAGCATCCCGGAATTGAGACCGCGACGGGCGTATATCCAGCCGGCGAGGACGATACCAGGACGCCCACCTGCAGGGAGGCCGAAGAATTGGTCATGGAGGGTTGTGAGGAAGGAGAGTACGGAGGTGGGGAAGGATCACTCGGGGCACATTGAGGCGCATACCAATGAGGGAATTCTCTTCTTTGACAGTAAGCCCCAAACTTATCCCGGCGCCTCTGATAGAGACTAACAGCCTCTAGGTATATTTCCGCTGCGATTTAACGTTGGAATGCACATGAGACTGCCATTTTTTAGGCATCGAAACTTACCGGAGCTCCTCGAGCGCTTCAATTCCGCGTCGCTCCAGGCATTGGATCCTATGGTTATGGTTAAGCGTGCCATACCACCCAATGCACCCATAACAGTGACCGAGATCCTGCCCCGAATCAAAGATGGCGGCGCGTTCGTCAAGTTCTCACACCCGGATGGCGTCTCGTCGCAAGAAGTCGAGAGTCTCATCATCGGGTACTTGAAGGAGAAGTACGTTAGGCCGTGGTTCAACCCGATGCGGCCTATGAAGGCGAATCTCGTCCGTGGTGTCCCCTGGCTGGAAGATCTCCATCGCTTCCCGAGCTCAAGAATCAAGGTTGAGTTCGCGCCCACGAAGCCGGGTGGTGAGGCGGCAGAGCTGTCACAGGAGACTCTGTACAGTCTATTCCGTCGCTACGGGATGCTTGCCGAGATCTCCTCGCAGCCTGCAGACTCAAAGGTCCTGCCTAGGTTTGCGACCTTGGATTTTGCGCGTCTGCGCAATGCGGTCATGGCGAGGAACTGCATGCATGGGTTTAAAGTTTTGGAAGAGGCTGGAGGAGGGGTCGGCGGGACACAGCTGCGGTTGTCATATGAGCAGAAGATCAAGGCACATATGATACGCGACTGGGTTATGGGACACCCCAGGATCTTCATTCCCCTTATGGCGGCGCTCCTGGGTACGCTCGCTGTTGCGGTATTTGATCCGATCCGCACATTCTTCATCAAAGCTCATGTCACGCATTCTCTGAAGATCAGGGATTCGAGGATATACAAATGGTTCAGCAGCCAAGCAAAGGATATTTTCACGTTTAAGAAGCGCAATGTTGAAGAGGCAGGGCTGGGCGCTATCTGGGATGACCGCAGGAAACTCATTGACCAGCTCCAGACTTGGATGATGGAGACCACGGATACATTCATTATTGTGCAGGGCCCACGTGGTTCCGGAAAGAGGGAACTGGTGCTCGATCAGGCATTGAAGGATCACAGGAATGTCCTTCTCATCGACTGCAAACCTATCCAGGAAGCTCGTGGCGATTCTACGACGATCAACTCTATTGCACAGCAAGTTGGCTATCGACCCGTGTTTTCTTGGATGAACAGCTTCAGCAGCCTGATCGATTTGGCTGCACAAGGCACAATAGGTGTGAAGTCCGGCTTCTCGGAGACGCTGGATACACAGCTGGGCAAGATCTTATCAAACACCGCTACGGCACTGAAGCAAATCGGCCTTGAAGACCGGGATAAGCACGACAAGGATGCTTCAATGACCGACGACGATTACCTCGAATCCCACCCAGAGCGTAGACCAACAATTGTCATCGACAACTTCCTGCACAAGAACGAAGATTCATCGGTCGTCTACGACAAGATAGCTGAGTGGGCAGCAGGTCTAACCACGGCAAATATTGCGCATGTTATATTCCTTACCAACAATATCTCGTACTCCAAGTCCCTCGGCCGTGCCCTTCCAGACCGTGTCTTTCGCCAAATCGCCCTGGGAGACATCACCCCAGCTGCAGCAAAGCGCTTCGTTATCACCCACCTCGACACCGAAGAAGACCCCAGCGGCACAGACTCCAAGCTATCCGAAGGCCAACGTCGTCAAGACCTCTCTAAACTAGATGCCTGCATCGACGTCCTCGGCGGCCGACTAACGGACCTCGAGTTCCTCGCCCGCAGACTCAAGACGGGACAGTCGCCACAACAGGCCGTAGAGGAGATTATCGAACAGTCCGCTAGCGAAATCATGAAGATCTTCTTACTGGCCGCGCGTACTAATGACCGCGAAGACCGCACCTGGAGCCCCGAGCAGGCCTGGTTCCTAATCGAGCAACTGGCCAAGGCCGAGGCGCTGCGCTACAACGAGGTGCTCCTCTCGAATACATTCGCGTCGTCGCTGACACCGTCGGCGAGCAATGGGGAGGCTGTCCTAAACGCGCTGGCCCAGGCGGAGCTCATCTCCATCAAGACTGCCAAGGGTCGCCCTGAGAGCATCAGGCCAGGGAAGCCGGTGTACCACGCTGCGTTCAAGATACTGACCGAGGACAAGGTGCTCAAGGCGCGGATGAACCTGGCGGTCTTGGCGGAGCTGTCGAAGATTGAGGGGAAGAGCATTGATAAGTGTGAGGCGGAGCTGGCGCTGATTGCGGGGATGCCGAGGGTACCGCCGCAGGTGGCGCCGAGGGTAGAATATCTGCTTGGGAAGGTGGAGGCGAGCCAGAGGAAGGTAGAGCAGTGGGATAGGGAGATGGGGGGGTTGAAGAGGGTGCTTATGCGGGAATACTAGAGTGGATTAGGGTCGTGGGATGAGGGACGGTATTCCCACTCAGTTTTTTGGGATGAGAAGAATTTGTATATATGTACAGGAGATTTGTATTTAGGGACAAATTTTACGTTGGGATTATAAGTCTAGAAACCCATTGTATACTAGGATTTGTTCTGTTGCCGAGGGTCTCAATAATGCTGTTAAGTAACATCGGTGTGCTTACTGAATGGCTTGACAACTTAGCCTCAGTGACTCGTAGATGCACGAACACATCAGATGCCTGCTTGTTATACAGGAGGGGGTAAAGCGTAGGCCCAAGGGTCTCATGGGAGTCCAGCGAACCAAGTCAGGGGGCAGGAAAGGATCGTATTCTTGTAAGCACAATAGGTCTACGTAGGGCCCTGCCGAAAGGGGCCTCACGTGGTGGCACGTGGGCTTTTTGTGGGTGGCATTCTGTTGGATGGGGGAAGGTGTACACAGACCTTGGGATACGGTGGCCGTTTGGCCCCGAGACAGCTGTGTTTCCCAAGGCGACCGTCCGACTCCTATGCTAGATGGTTGTGCAGAGTCTGATGCAGCCACCGAAACCCTACACGGCTCAGGTAATTACCCCTTAGTTGTACAGGGTATTCGGGCTTCCCCCTTTGCCTACAAATAGGATACGTAGGCCCGTAGGATAGGGAGCAATTGAATTGATTCATTTATTCTATTTTACTGTACTACAGTGAAGCGTTCTGTTCTGGTGCGCCCGGGACTAATTACGGTAATCGGGGATTTACATACATTCTTGGCCCTATATCCCAGCACCGCAGAATTACTCCCAACACATTCGAGCCTTGCGGGAGTCTCATCAGTGGATCTAAAGCCATAGATGACTCTAGGTATAAAATGACGGCCCCATTTATGTATCAAGGATTATTTCACATAGCTACTCACGTACTGTCTACTGGAATCGGACGATGTAAGTTTTCAACTTGTGCTTTCGTGATCGGAATCTAACTATCGTGGCCTAAGCACGTCCGTCAAGCGCACAGAGCTACTTGCGCTTTGGTAGCGACGAAAGGAGGCGAGTATGCGGAATTAAAGTTGACTCTATTTAGCAGGTCGGCAAATGGGGAAAGACAGAAAGTTTTAAAATGCCATGTCGCCTTGACACGATTGGAGGTGCGGACTGTTGGAGAATCGAAGTAACGCAAGGGGCCTGGCGAGGCTGAGATTGATTAGCCAGGACTACACATGACGAGTACTATGAAATGAATGGTTCTTTCGACATTTGCTAACATAAATATTATCTAGAGGATTGCTTACATGCTGTTTGGAAGTTTGAGCCGATATGCAACTTGCCCAATTCGCTCTAGAATTTCAAAAGGTCCCACTTGCTTGTGGTCTAGCTTCTTTGATGGCCTCTGTGTCTTTATATTTCGACTTGAAAGCTATACTCTGTCTCCCACTTGATAGCGTGGTGCAGGTTTCCTTTTCTTGTTTGCGAAATGTTCCATTTTTGCTTGCGAGCGTGATTTCATCCTGCAGAAACTCCCAAACCTTTGCCATCTGTCATACTGACATTCGTTGTACTCAGTTTGCTATCAAACTCAAGAGCAAACTTAGAAATCTCCTCCTCAAACCTACAAGTCACTATACATATTTTGGCTTGTCACACCAACAACAAGAGCAATACTACTCAACGATTGCTACAACCCTCTATGATTCATTACACGTCATTGCTCCTTAGTTACTGGGCCGATATGACCACATAGCATATCTCTACAACCCTCTATGATTCATTTCATGACATCACTCCTTAGTTACTGGGCTAATACTACACATGACATATCTCTATCAACTAGAGGCCTAGGAACATGAACGATAGCTCCAAAAGCTTCTACAACCGTCTATGATTCATTACACGTCATCACTCCTTAGTTACCCACAAGATTGGTTAAGTTATGACATAATTTGTCTATAGGGGTACTCTGACCTTGGACCTCCTTTCACTTCCTATAGGCTAGGAACCTAAGAGATGGTTCTATGGGATTCTCTTACATTGACTACAGTTACCAAGCCTGGTTAGTCATGGAAAGTCTTGGGAAATGAGAGAACTACACTCCTTTGGCATAAATAGGATTGCCCTTTCCTTAAGAAAGGGCCAGCAGACAATACAGTAAATCGACTATCACTTACTTCTACGTCTTTTCCAAGCTTCCAAGCATTGATCTTGTTACTCCTTGTTTCTGAAAAGTCAGTGAGGTGATAACCTCTGACTTATCCCTGAGTTCTCAGACTCAACATTTGTTACAATTTGTCTAAACCACTCCACTACATCATACACCTGATTGCTGTGTTGTGGAATAGTCTAAGCTACAACCCTTTGGCTCTGTTTCCTAAGACAGTGTGTTGTCTTAGTAAAATCATCCCTTCCTTGGGTGGCTAGATTCTCACATCTGGTGCACCCACCATTACAAATTAGCACGTGTAACAACCATTATATACCCATCATAAATCCCGTCTCGTTATTAAAGTTGTAGAAGTTGTCGTCTAAGATGCTGTATTTAGCCCTCATGTTTCGTACAAGGTCGAACTAGTTGCTGATAAGCTTAGGATCCTTACAGAGGGCTCTCTAGATGTCATATCTACAAGAAAAACGCGTCTTAAGGGCTAGTTAGCATCATACGAATCGATGCACCTAGAGCTTCCTAACGTGTCGCCTACTACACGACTTAAGGATGAGATTATCCATATCTTCCACACTAGCTAATCATGGCGCAAACCCTCCTGCATCTAGGTGTTACGGCTAAGTGCTAGTGCTATGGCTAGCACTTACGGCTGCAACCTCACATGATGGATAACATTGGATATCATGGATATTATGTTATCCATGTTATCCATGGATAACCCTTTGGCATGACGCCACTATATAAGTAGATAGTATTTCCTTAGATAGGAGCTTCGTGCTCAACTCAATATAGTATTCTTTACAATACTGTAACGTGTTACTTGGAAAGCCTTTGTGTCTAATCCCCTGCCTCCTCTGTCAAGAAACCTCTGTGTCTTCTATCATTTAGAAGTCAGTGTTACACTAGGTCAAGTATGTGTCATACGAGCACCTGCTCTTCTATAGGCTCTAATTTAGTCATTGCTAATTGGTGTTTAGGGAGTGGGAGTCGGCCATTCATTCTGTTATAGAGGGATGTTTTAGGGATGTTGTAGATCTTAGCAGCTTGTCTGCAACTAAGTTTTTTGGTCGTACGAATAGCTTCGATGGCAAGGATAATTTGTGCTTCTTTAGTTTAGACAGACATTGTGTTGTTATGTTGTGGTTCTATAATTGAAGGTTGTGGTCGGAGGTCATGGAAAAGTGCACTAGGTACTATGTTATATTTAATTGAGGTCTAGTATTTACAGCAGGGTGTATTACCAACTCACTTGTGGAATACGTTATTTAACTTATAACTAGTCTGCTTACATAATATTTGACTATTCGAATAACGTAGTTAGTATGCGAGCTGTGTTTTCCACCCTACTACTCCACATAATTAAATACATAACAACATAGCATCATATTATTAGCTCTTGAAATTGACTCTCACAGTAATAGCATATGAGAGTGCGAGTCAGATGCTAAACGGATGCTATCCTATAGGTCTACTATGAAGGATACAAAAAAGATGATGAGGAACCCCGTTGGGTCAATCCTCTTAAGTACCCGAAATGGGTCCGACTCGTCTAACCTGCCCTAACTCTCCGCACGTGACCATAACCTGTCTGACTCCAATCCCTTCCGTCACTGAGGGCGGAGGCATTCTTACATATTAATTATACTCGTTAAGGGCATGTTCTGTCACAGTTCACCAAGGCATAGGGCACCAGTTGGGTATTATGAATTAAACTCAATCTAGAGAAGAAAGGAAAGAGAAGAGGAGCACTCGAGCAGTGGCTCGATCTATATACAGCTATGTTGTTGTGGAGTGAATTCTCTTTAGCAAGACCAGTTCTGAGAATTCACTCCACAACTGAAAACTTCGCTCCAACCCCTGAACCCCCACTCGAGCTGCAAGGTGCACTTGATATCTTAACATGTTCAAGCATTATGTACAGTCGATCTACATATACTACACAGTCTTACAGCTCATGTTCGTGGCTGTTCTAGCTAAGTAGCAACCCTACCTTCAGGCTCTTGTCTAGCTAATTGCACCTTCTCTACTCCTTCTTAAACTATAAGAGCACCTCCCATACAAATAAATGACCGTTTCTTTGCTCTCTTCTTCTTCTGTTATTTGTTTTTAGCTCGTAAATGTCAATTTTCCTTTGTAAGAAGTGTGGCTGAGTACATGGCCATTTTACAGCCTTTTACTAACTGTTAGAGTGTAGTATCTGTAGGACTTGATAGAATATTGGTATGGTGACGAATTCTAGAGCTAATTGACTCTATTTGTTGGTCTACACCTATAGGATTGCAAGGCGTCTCTAGAATCCATTGTTGTGGTAAGAAAGAGGGAGCTAATAGAGAAGGGGATGGAGTCTGTAACTACACATTAAGCTTTAAAAGTACTTGATCTAGGCCATATGGGACTAAACCTGTGCCTGTAAACCTGCTACAAATAATATCTAACGTAAAAGACTGTTTTCGGGCAGTAAGGTAGGCTGTAAGAAAGTCTGGTTTGTTAATATGATTGACGCTAGCTCGCATAAGGTCTTCAACCTGTCGCCTATAAGCTCGTTTTAAAGTCGCAAAACAGCTTACGTCTAATGGCTGTAAAAGGTGCGACAAATGAGGTGGCATACAGAGAGTAATGATAGAGTGTTCTAAGAAAAATAAGTCAAATTCAGGTGTAGAATGGCTTCTATAGCCGTTAAGAATAAGAAGCTAGTATACCCCTCACGTACGGTCCTTTGTATGCTTTTGGAGTATGTCTATAATCCACTTAAGGCCTAAAGAATCATTTGTCCAACCCTTTTCACTAACTGCAATAACCTAATCTGAAGGTAAAGTATCAGTAGACCATGTAGAGATATGCACTTTTCCTATAATCATTGCTAGTAGACTCCACCCATCAGAACAGACAGATTCTATTGCCGTAACCCATTCACGGTTTCTAGGCTGTACGTAAACCGGCCGGCCGGCACGTTTAGAGCCTGTAATTACTCTTGCGGTTGCAATAAGCCCCATTTGAAAGCCAGTCTCATCAAAGTTGTATATATCCTCCTTGAGTATCCCATATTTAACAATTGAATTATAGACGAGCTGAAACCAGGCTCGTAGAATTGTAAGATCTTCGCAAAGGGCTCGTTTATAATCGTATTTCCGAGTGTATTTGGCTTGTAAAGAACTATGGCGACGTACGAAGTTATAAACCCATCGTTGGCCAACTATAACTGAATCCACTCGACTTGTTTCAGACCGTTTTTAAAGCAGTAAATTAGCCATTTGCCATATAGAATCGATTCTGACCGGTAGGCCTCTGCTTTCCATCGTTGATATCCATCGTATAACTGCTAACTCTTTAGAATCGCTGAGTTTCTTGTTGTTAGGTGTAGAATCGCGTCGCGCAACAACGCTCTTGACGCGGGCGCGTGCAGTCGAGTATGGCGCGCCGTATGATGTACAAGCGACCTTAAGAGACGAAAAATGGCCCTTTTGATAGGCATCGAGAGCAAGAACAATTCGGCCTTCGTTCTGAGACATTGTGAATGCGAATAGCTGAGTTATTCGGAGTTGAAGTGGAGAGTAAAGTGGAGTGGTGGGGTGGAAAACACAACTCGTTTGCAAACACAGCTCGCAAACCGACTACGGTAGTTATGATTATTATGATTATTTGTGCTAACCCTGATCTTTGTATCGACAGACAAGATCTCTCATTACTTAAGCTGAAATAATAGACTTATCTGTAGTTCTTCTATGTTCGGAGAAAAGATTTGGTATGAGTTTAGAAGAGGCTTGAAATAATTGTCATTTTCTCATCTATCTGCCACGGAGCCTTCAGGGCCCAACTTCGATGCACAATTCCAAAGGATCATTCTTTAACAAGCACATCTAAGATTTCATTCCATTACCTCACACCCCTTTGCGACTTCTCATTCCCCTTCTACCCCTTAACACTGAAATCCGCCTTTGCCGGCCTCGTCCCAAAAATCGTACTCCCCACCCTCACCTCCCCACTCCCCATGGCCACTGCGCCCTCAAAATCGTCACTCATTCCCATACTCAGCTCCAGTTCTCCCCCCAGCTCCTTCACCAGCGCATCCCGCTCCCTCGTCAGCGCCACAAAGTCCTCGTTCTCGTTCTCTGGCGTCGTGGCCTGGGATCGCGCAATCGCACCAATTGTCATCAGGCCCAGCAGCTGCAGGTTCGCGCAGTTCTCCTTGATGTGCCGGCAGAGCTCGAGCGTCTCGGTGCCGGGCTGGCACCCGGACTTGGCTTCCTCGCCGGAGGTGTTGACCTGCACGTGGACATAGAGCGGGGTAGTGGCGGGTGGGGAAAGCGAGGCGCGGCCGAGGTCCAGCTGGGTTGCTTTCTTGATGGAGTCAATTGAACTTACAACCCAGAGGTTGGGGATGGTGGAGGCGAGGGGTTTGCATTTATCTGTGGAGTGAGTGAGTTTGGATGCATTGATGGTGATACACGTGACGCGGCGGAGGGGGGCAACGTCGACGAGGTGTATGTAGGTCTTACTTGACTGTAGGCCGCCGATGAAATGCCATTTGATCAATTTCGGCAGTACTTCCGCCTTCTCGGTCAACTCTTGGGCGTAGTTCTCACCGAAGTGCTCTTGGTTGATCTCTTGATGTAGTGCTAAGATATCGGCAGCCGGCTTCAGTTTGGAAACGGCGACTAGCCTCACCTATAAATTGTAAGTCTCGTGTATAGACGAATTCATCATAGGGGAGGTGTTGTATTGCGTGATCTGATATGTGTGAATTTCGAGGTTATTAAATAAATAATCACCCAATTATCCTTACATTTCTTCCCTGAGCTCTGCTCGAAATCAATCCAGAAACATGTTGAAGATTTGACACCAGTGTCTTTGCACGGGCGGGGTCTATCCTCATATCGACGGTACCTTCACTCATTGTGTCTTTCCCTATGCTCTTGTGACGAATATATTCAAAGTTCAGTTATCTCGTCATGTCATAACGTTGTGGTTATCAACCAATGCTCGGACTAACATAAACCCGGGTACGAGCTCCAGTTTATGGCTGGGACCGCTCAAAGTGTGGAGTCGACAATCCGTCCCGTCGACCATCGACCAAATGCGAAACCATACACTCGAGCTTCCGTGGCCTTTGGATGTAGAAAAGCGTTCCGACACCGAGTAGCTCAATCGAAAGCCTTCAGCCCTCCGACCCCACCACGAACCCCCACCAGCAGTCGAGAAACCGCCTTCTCAAAAGCTCGGTCAGCACGTCGCATCCCCACGACCCCCCTTTCCCGACCCGCCCAGCTCCGCGCAGCCTCGTCGGCACCCCGCGCCCCCGAGGATTTGAACTCGACGCCCTCACCCGCCACCCGCGGATAGGCCTATAGGCACGGGCAGGCCGGATGGCGAGCTCGGCGGCGGCCGGCTTCCTGAGCCGGGGCACGAATGGCGGCGGCTCGAACATGCGCGGGCTCGTGCAGTTCATTGCGGACCTGCGGAATGCGCGCGCGCGCGATCTCGAGGAGAAGCGCATCAATAAGGAGCTGGCGAACATCCGGCAGAAGTTCAAGGATGGGAGCCTCAGCGGGTACCACAAGAAGAAGTATGTCTGCAAGCTGCTGTATATCTATATCTTGGGGTGGAATGTGGATTTTGGACATCTCGAGGCGATGAATCTTATCTCGGCGAATAAGTACTCGGAGAAGCAGATTGGGTATCTTGCGATGACGCTGTTTTTGCATGAGGAACATGAGCTGTTGCATTTGGTGGTTAATAGTATACGGAAGGATTTGTTGGACCACAACGAGCTCTTCAACTGCTTGGCTCTGCACGCTATTGCCAATGTGGGAGGGAGGGAGATGGGAGAAGCGCTCAGTGGAGAAGTCCACCGACTGCTGATTTCGCCAGCTTCAAAGTCGTTTGTGAAGAAGAAGGCCGCCCTCACACTGCTCCGGTTGTACCGGAAGCACCCAGATATCGTTCAACCACAGTGGGCGGAGCGCATCATCTCTCTCATGGATGATGCGGATATGGGAGTTGCTCTATCTGTTACTTCACTGGTTATGGCGCTCGCACAGGACAATCCAGACCAGTACAGGGGGTCATATGTCAAGGCTGCGTCACGCCTGAAGAGGATACTTGTCGACAATGAGTATCAGCCTGATTATCTCTATTACAAAGTTCCTTGTCCGTGGATTCAAGTTAAGATGCTGCGTTTGCTACAATATTTCCCTCCTTCAGGTATGTTAATCCCCACTCTCTACCATGCGGAAGTTGACCAATGATCCAGATGATACCCATGTCCGGGAACTCCTCCGAGAGTCCCTCCAAAAGATTCTCAACCTAGCACTGGAGATGCCCAAGAACGTCCAGCAAAACAACGCACAGAATGCTGTCCTTTTCGAAGCGATTAATTTGATCATTCACCTTGACACCGAGCACGCACTAATGAAGCAGATATCCTCTCGGCTAGGGAGGTTCATTCAATCGCGAGAAACGAATATCCGCTACCTCGGCCTCGAAGCCATGACCCATCTTGCCGCACGAGCAGAAACATTGGACCCAATCAAGCAGCACCAGGATATTATTATCGGTTCCCTGAAAGACCGGGATATTAGTGTCAGGAGAAAGGGTCTCGACTTACTCTACAGCATGTGTGATGCCAGCAACGCCCAACCAATCGTAGGCGAGCTGCTCAAGTTCCTACAAAATGCCGACTTCGCCATCCGAGAGGAGATGGTTCTCAAGATTGCGATTCTGACCGAGAAATACGCCACCGACGTGCAGTGGTACGTGGACATCTCGCTGCGCCTGATTGCCATGGCAGGCGACCACGTCAGCGACGAGGTATGGCACCGAGTCATCCAGATCGTCACCAACAACGAAGAGCTCCAGATCTACGCCGCGCAAAACACCCTTCAGTACGTCAATGCCGAGCACTGCCATGAGACGCTCGTCAAGATCGGTGCCTACATCCTCGGCGAATTCGGCCACCTCATCGCCGAAGACAAGAACTGCAGTCCGATCGAGCAGTTCCTCGCTCTCCAAGGCAAGCTCCAAGGATCCTCCTCCAGCACCCGGGCCATCATCCTCTCCTCCTTCATCAAATTCGTCAACCTCTTCCCCGAGATCAAGCCGCAGCTCCTGCAAGTTTTCCGCGTCTACAGCCACACCCTAGACTCCGAGCTCCAGCAACGCGCCTGCGAATACCTCACCATCGCCTGCCTCCCCACCGACGACCTTCTCCGCACAATCTGCGACGAGATGCCCCCCTTCCCCGAGCGCGAATCCGCTCTCCTCTCCCGTCTGCACCAGAAGCACGCCGGTACGAGCGATAAACGCACATGGGTCATTGGTGGGAAAGACGCCAACGCCGATGCGCGCGAGCTCAATTTGGCTAAGAACCCAGGCCTCAAGCGCGCGTTCAGCAACCAGAATGTCCCGCTGGCTGACAAGCCTTCCCCCTCCATCCCCGGCGCAGACGGCTCCCTCGCCAGCCCAACAGGGCTGCACGACCTCGCCGGGCTAGACATGCGGAACCTCGGCCCCGCGGAGCCCAAGACCCTCAAAGCACCCAACCTCGCTAGTGCGGCGCATCTTTCGCCAGACTGGGAAGTCGGATACCAGCGCCTGCTCCTCAAGAACGAAGGCGTGCTGTACGAGGATCGCCAGATCCAAGTTGGCTTCCGCGCCGAGTTCCGCGGCCAGGCGGCGTGCGTGATCCTCTACTTCTCCAACAAGGCATCGAGTGCGATCAGTTCCTTCACCACCACCTTAGATGTCCCAGCAGAGGATAAGGCGAAACTGACATACGACGTTAAAGGATTGCCAGACGCCACCCTAAACGAAGGCGCGCAAGCCCAACAAATGATAATGTTCGAAGCGCGCGCCCCCTTCTCCAAGCCCCCCACGATGCGCATCTCCTACCTCGCCGGTGCCCTGCAAGCACTCACCCTCGCGCTCCCCCTCACCGTCCACAAGTTCATGGAATCCGCCGCGCTGTCGTCTGAGGATTTCTTCAGGCGGTGGAAGCAGATTGGCGGTGCGCCGCGGGAGGCGCAGCTGGTGTTTGGGGTCAAGGGAGTGGGGAGGTTCGATGCAGCGGGGGTGAGGAGGTGCGTGGAGGGGTTCAGGTGGGGGGTGTTGGATGGGGTGGATCCGAATGCGAGGAATATTGTTGGGGCGAGTGTGTTACATACTAGTGAGGTGGGGAAGGTTGGGTGTTTGCTGAGGTTGGAGCCGAATTATGAGACGCAGGTATGTTTGTTTTCTGGGTTTGCATGTCATTACACTCACTTCCCTTCCCCTTCTTACCTATTCCCTCTCCCTATCCCTCACCTGCTCGGGTTGCCCATCTCATTCCTCATTTCCCCTCTGCTTTCTTTTGTTTGTTTGTCATCGGACTCACACTCCGATAATGGCGTGCTCTGCCCTGCTCTGCTCCCTCCCTACCAACTTCCGAGACAATCCAGAACCCGACGACTAACATCCCTCCCCCTAGATGCTCCGCCTAACCATCCGCGCCACCGACGCCTCCGTCCCCTCCCTCCTCCTCGCCCTAATGACCGACCGCCTCTCGAGCGGCACCGCCCAACCCGCCGCGCCGCACCGCGCCGAGACGTCAAGGAGCGAGATGAATGATGCGTTTGCGAATGTGATGATTGAGGGGTAGACTGCCCATCCGGCACTCATTAGCCACCCATCACCCCCACCACCCTCGTGGTGGATGAACTGGTGGGGGGTAGGTGCCATGACCCGTACGGGGGCAGGGAATTAGACTCCCGGTCCCGGGTGTGTGGATAAGTGCGGCATGGTGGGTATTATGATGGGATGGGAGGGGCTAGAAACTCACGATACGATATAGTGCCTGCACTGGATCGGGATCTATGATCTAAGAGGGGTGGGGGGGGACGCGTGGGGGATCTGCGCGCGAGTAGGATGTGGGGGGTTGTTTGGCTGATAAGGCGTGATGAAGGGTGGGGGATGAAGGGTGGGGGATGAAGGGTGGGGGATGAAGGGTGGGGGTGGATGTACACCCTACGATTTTGATTCTGATTGTGATTCCGATATGTCTTTGTTTGGCGTGGGTGTTGAAGTGAAGTGTCACCGGCGCGATGTGAGCGGTTGCGGTGTTTGGATGAATGAATGAGTTGTGGGAGTTGGAATGAGTGAGGTGTGCACTTACCTTTCTTTGCACCATCGTTGTTTCCCCCCCACGCAAAGAAATCGTAGCGTAGAGTACATGCGAGCAGTACGAACACATGCCACACACAGCACCTCCCAACCTACTCACCTACCTTCTCCTGAACGCACCCCCCACAACCCACACTCACATCGTGAACCTCCACCACGCCACTTCCCCCCCAAAATACCCGCCCATTCACCCATCCCACCCCCAAGCGTTCGCTCGGTCCGACCCCCCCCCTCCCTGGGACTTGACATCACAAAACACCACAAACACCACAAAACACTACAAAACATCACGTTGCACACACGTGGCACCGGTAGATTGCATTGCAGCGCACTGCGCTGCATTGCATTGCATTGCATCTTCCCCCTCTAGATCGTGGCATAGAAGGAGGTTGTAGGTGGTGGGTGGTGGTTTGATCGCCGCTGGGGTTGGGAGTTGGGGATTGTCTTTGTGGTGGTGAGTGCGGAATGTCGCGGGAGATATTGAAGGCTGCGTGCGCCTCGGCACAGGATGTTGCTGCTGTGCTCCGGGAACTACCTGTAACTTAGCATGCATGCAAGCTGACCGTTTCCGTTCCCATCGGGAAAATGCCGTGGAACGAACCGGGTGAGAAGTCAGCAAGGATCGGGTCGGGTCACACAACAAACCATTGAGATGCTGCAGCCCGCCGTGCTATGCCCATGGCTCAGCCAGGTAGGGAATGGGACGGACGGACAGACGGCAGGGTTAGGGATTTCGCGGCACCGTAACGGTCGGGCTGTTGCATTTCGGAGAAATTTCAAACGGCCTCACATCCTAGAACAAGCTGCTTCCTCCCTGTTTGCAGCATCCATGCGTGCATAGGCTTCCAAATAACCCTCACGCGCGGCGCACTGTTGGGCACAGCACACAGGGTACAGCAAAGTAGATTTGGTACCCTCCGAACCCGAACGGCACCTACCCCCGTCATCCCCGGCCCAACAACACCGCACTCCCTCCCTCCCTTGCTTCCGTAAAACCACAGTAGAACCAAGAAAGCAGATGATCTAGCTCCATCCCAAAGAACAAAGAACGACTGACGCGCCGGCGGCGATCGACCGACCGGCCGCATATGCCCCCACCCCCCTGCCCCGCAAAAGGGGATACACATACAGCACCAACCCATTAACGGCCGCCGGCTCTAGCCTGAACGGGCACGCTCATCTCCGCGCTGTCGGATCCCGTGTGCGGGATGGGGGGGGCGGCTCCGTGGTGGTGGGTGGGTGGGTGGGTGATGGACGGGCGGTGTTTCAGGATGGGGGAAGAGATTTCTCCAGGGTTGTATGGGGGATTGGCGGCGGCGGTGGTGGTTCGGAGAGTTGGCGGGATGATGGTGTTTTTTTGGTGGTGGTGATGATGGGTGGTGGATGGAATTGGAATGGAGGGATCGACTTTGGGTGGGGGACGAACGAAAGGGAGGGAGGGAAGGGAACGGAAGGAAGGGAGGTGGTTAGGGGGTTGGGGTTTCGGGTGCATGCCGAGTGGTTTGGTTTGTTGATGGGATATTGGGTTCGTGGAAGGGGAAAGTGGGAAGTTAGGAAGTGAATCGCAAGGCCCATCCCGAACGCCTTCAGCGCGCACGTATCGGTGAATATCAGACGAACTGCATTCCAGCGGAGCCCTACGCAGAGCCCTAAGCAAGTGCCGCCAGTCAGTCAGGCAGTCACATGTTAACAAACGCCACATATCGGCTTTGTAAGGAGTTGATGGTGATGGTGAATTGGAAATGGAAATGGGATATGTGACTCGTAGCCCGGGTGGCGTGTCAATGGCCCGCCGGTCAACGACTCGCATCCCTCCCACCACGTCGGTAATGAATCCGAAACCGCGAATCGGGGAGATGGGCAGACGGACTGGCTCAGACAAACAGCGGGCCTGGCTCTGTATGGATTGGCGGCCTTCCCTTCCCTTCCCTTCCCGTGCCGGGGCGCGGGCGCGGGCGCGGGCGGGCGTGCAAAGAAAAAAAACAAAGGCTTGCCGAAAACAGGCGGAAGTGCGGACGATGCTGGCCGGCGCAGGTACGGCGCAGGAAAGAAGCAGCTACAGCTCCCGTGGGCGGCGGAGCACATGTGCAGCCCGGTTGCCTCGTGGCGCCGGGGAAGCTGCAGGAGAGCTTCCGTAGCGCCATCCCGGCGGAAGGCTGGGCGATCGCAGAGTTTGCCGAAAGGGGTTTAGGGTTATTTTGGGAAAAAGGTACGAGAAGGGGGGCGGGTTGCATTATTTTGGATACATACTGTAAGTTATATATGCTGTGGAGTAGGTCGCCGGCGCTTGGATGTTATGTTTGGACGACCAGAGCGAACTCGTGGATGCGCTTTGTCTTAGTGTCAGATCATGGTGGCTGCTTGGCTTAGCCGCACGGCGGCCCGTTTGAACGAGGGCTGGACGAGGCCACGAGTCTGGGTTGGCATTCTGAACTTCCCGTGATACGTGATGCGTGATCCGTGATATAATGCGCCGCGGAGATGCCTCTTGTTTCTGTTTCCGCACCCGTTCCCGCACGTGGAGAGTGAATCAATACTGCTGCTCAACCAGCTCTCTGGCTGGAAGTGAACTGTCGTAGCCCGCCCTGTCTCGGGTCTCCTTTCTCTCGTTCTGCAAAACCGGCTCCGCGAGAGACATCCGTAGTGTAGTGTCTGCTCCAGCGATCAAAGCGATCAGGGCACGACCCACCAGCCCGACAGCCTCACGGCATCATCTGCGACGACGGGGGTTTGAGTGTTCTACCGAGCCCCCCCCCCCCCTCCCCCCTCCCCTGCCCGTCGTGAGATTAGCAGGCTTCCATGCGTCTTCATCACTCATGTCGCGTTGCTTCCATGCATGAGACCCTTCGAAAGAGACCCTCCTCACGCAGAAAGTGTAGTGTACTTTTGTACTGTATGTAGGGTCTATCCATCCTAATACTAGTAGGTCGTAGTCGTAGTCGTAGTCGTAGTCGTTGTCGTAGTTGTTTGTCATAGTCGTAGTCGTAGGGTGCAGCAGTACCACTTTAAGCCGGGGGTGGGCACAGTAGTCTGCTAAGGCAAGGTACCTTGCCTTGGCAAGTTTCAGCGACCGAGATGTCCATTTTGTCGATTCTGTCGATTCTGTCGATTCTGTCGATTCTGTCCATTTTGTCTATTTTGTCGCGTGTTGAGATTGCTTGAGATTGCGTTGAGAGTGTCTGTTCGCCTGTGAGAGTGCGCGTGTTCAGTACAGCGTGTCCAGCATAGTCACAGTCGCCGAAGAGTACCCGCAAAGTGCGCAGTCAGTGCCTTGTTTGGCCCCTTGATGTTTGCTTCTTTCGCCAGGGTAATAATAATAGTCCAATGAATTATGTGATTATATTGTGATTATGTGTGATTAGTTGTGGTTTCTTTGAGTTGGGGAATAAAGTGAGCAGTCAGTGTGTTGAGAAGTCAGAAGCCTCTAGTGCCTGCCCCTTTTGGGATTTCGGAGGGAGAAAAAAGTGATGAGAGGGAAAAAGAAAAGGAGGGCGTGGGATTAACTCGCAATCAGATTGCATTCTTTACCATCTTTACCTTCTTCCCCGTACCGCAGCCCCGGAACCGACCGATCGATCCCACACTGTAAAGTGTAAAGTACATGGCCATTTATGCTTCACCATATACCTCAGCCATCCAACACCGAACCAACCATGCTAACTATAGAAACAGGAACCCCACTACGCCGAAAGTACTCACCAAGGGGCTTTCCCGCGGAGATCGGGAATGCGGGAAGTGGAAAACAGCAAATATGACACCAAAATAAACAAAAAAAAAATCACCCAACTAGCTAACTGTGAGACATTACGACGGCAGCCACAAACCAGGCACAGGCACAGGCACAGGCACAGGCACAGGCACAGGCACAGGCACAGGAACAGGCACAGGAACCACCAACAGGAAAAAAAAGAGGCTATCGATGGGGACAACACGACGCCGCATAGTATGTGTCTATTGCATACGAATCGCATACTACAGATAATGTTCAAAAGTTTTGTGAGTGGATCGAGCATGGGACCCCAGAATTTGTGTGCACACAGCATAAACTCATGTATCGATCACATATAAAACATGAGGCGAGATACACCATCGATTTGCGCGCAGCCCTGTACGTGGCTTTTATAGCCCCCCCACTCACAAAACTTATCAACATATGTACATTACTACAGTAAATAATGTACCCTACTACTACTACTACTTCTACTATTTCTACTATTTCTACTATTTCTACTATTTCTACTATTTCTACTATTTCTACTATTTCTACTATTTCTACTATTTCTACTATTTCTACTATTTCTACTATTTCTACTACTATTTCTACTACTTCTACTACTTCTACTACTTCTACTATTTCTACTACTATTTCTACTACTTCTACTACTTCTACTACTTCTACTACTATTTCTACTACTTCTACTACTTCTACTACTTCTACTACTATTTCTACTACTTCTACTACTATTTCTACTACTTCTACTACTTCTACTACTTCTACTACTATTTCTACTACTTCTACTACTTCTACTACTTCTACTACTTCTACTACTTCTACTACTTCTACTACTTCTACTACTTCTACTACTTCTACTACTTCTACTACTTCTACTACTTCTACTACTTCTACTACTTCTACTTCTACTACTACTACATCTACTACTACTACTACTTCTAAACTACATACATGCTTGGACCTTCTTCCCTATTCCCCTCCCCTTCCACCTCCCCTTCCACCTCCCCTTCTCCTTCTTCTCCTTCCCTTACCCATCTTACCCCATCACCCCCCCACCCCCTGTCCCCTGTCCATCCCCCCTACCCCCTACCCCCTGTCACCATAACCCATACCCATACCCACCCACTCACTCCCATACCCACCCACTCACTCCCATACCCATCACATCCCACATCCCATACTAAAATTGTAAAGTACCACCACACAGTACAAACTAACCAACATGTCCCCATCTCCCCATCCCCCCATCCCCAATCCCCCAACCCAACCCAACCCCAACCCCAACCCCTGGCAACAAATTCAAACTCTCACATCCAACCTATCTCTCCCTCCTCTACTCTCCCCTTTCATATATAACACCTCTGCCACCCCTACGCACACTAATCTCGACTCTTATTTTGTTTTATTTTGCATTCCTCCCCGTGTGCTCTCTCCTCTCCATCCATCTATCTTTCGTCTTTCGCTCTCTCTCTCCATCTCTTATCCTCAAAACTACAGGAAAGACACGAATAAAACTGTAAGCCACGGTGCATACATCCACACGTCAACATCCCAGCAACAATTATTCCTCCTCCAAACCCAACACACCGCACCCAAACACCTCACAACGCACCACTCCCACAAACTCTCTCCCGCTGGGCAAACCAGGCATTCTCGAGGCACAACAGCCCTTGTCACCACACACCTCGCACATCAGAAGAGACAAGACAAGACAAATCCACATATATACCTTCCCACCCGCGCCGCACCAAGCTTCCCACGAACACCCGCCAGCGTCACCGCTCCCAAGTTGCCAACATTACCACCCCTACCTCACCGCCACCCCGAACGCTCCACAGAGGCCCGCGTGAAACACATCAGAGCCCAGCGAAGCCAGTACCAAGCCGTTGCTGAAGTGCCAGCACTCTCCACATCCTGATTCCCCTCTCCCACGGAAGCTCTCCTTTCGTCCAAGCCGCCCTCTTCCTTGTGAGTAGTTTATTAATAACATGCCCTCCCTCTCTCGTTCCTCCTGCACGGAAATAAAAACCACACAAAAACAACAGCTTCCACGAGAAATGCGAAGACGAGCAAAGAAAAAGAGACAAGAAAGATACACGCGATCACAAGCATCAAAAGTCCAATAATATACTTACTTTTGCCTCCTCCACAGTCCACACACAAAATCAACATGATCACCTTAGAGTTCCCCGACTTCAACATGGGCCGCGGCGCCTACGACACAACCGGCGTCGAGAAGCCCCCGAAGCCAAAGCCAAAATAAATCCTCACCACACCCCCGTCATCAGAAAAAAACCCTCTGCTCGAGGGTCACCCGCGCGGATCCAAGGGGATGAAAGGGGCCCGGAACCCTCTTGTCCCTGAGGATCCCGCTAGGCCGAATTTACACCAACGAGCCGTGCCGGTGGCGTGAGCTCGGAGATCGAATTACTTTACCGCCCTCCGCTTTTACCACTTAATATCTACCTTTATACTATAAGCGGAGGGGACTTGATAATACTGTCACATTATATCTGTACCACCAACACCACGACTGCAACGACACTACACAGGCGCACACGCCGCCAGCCAAAAAGCCATACGTCTATACTACACACATCATCATCATCATCACCATCGTTTCTACCACACGACACACAAACTGGCGGCGCGAATACATCACATCAACCGTTTTTTACATCTTTTACATTTCCTTACGTCAAGCAATTTACAAGAAGGGCGGCACTCAAAATGCACAAATCAAAAGTCGGGAATTTCACAGGCGTTTTAATATAGACGGGGGGGGGGTACAATACCGGGAACAAAGGGAAATTGGGAAATTTTGGCTGGATTACTTTTTATAGCGGTTGCGTTTTTTCTATTAGCATGCATCTTTTACATCGTTTTGGCTTTTTTTTCTCTCGCGGGATTTAGCTGGTTTTGGTATTTTCTCTTCGTTGTCTGAGGGGTTTTTATATTCTGTTTGGTCACCAACGTCATCTTGGGGGACTCGGGGGGAGGGAGGGGGTTATCTGCTTTAACAAAATGTCATCATCGGGGCGGTCGGTTGGTGGGCTGGGAAGGCAAAAACTGGAAAGATGGTGTTTGCAGGAGGCAATTGTTTTAAACTCCTTTTTTATCATTTATTACTTTTAACTCGTTTTTTGGATAGATACCCGTCCGCGTTTTCTAGATAGAGAGCCTTTTTTGTACCGTGCTCAGGTCCTTTTTATCTTTCTGGTTTGGTTTTTGGGTTTTTGAGAGACGTTTATTAGAACAGGACATCGACAGCACCGAGACCGCAAGCCGCAAGGATATTGGGTATGGGAGGAGAGAGAGGATATATGGATAATTTTAGAAGATAATTATAGAAGATAATTATAGAAGGATATGGATAATATTGTGATATACGCCCTTTCGCTGTGTCGTGACCCGAACTGCCTTGGCTTTCTGTGAGAACATCCAGCGCATATGTATATCTTGATATAACTTTTGGACCGCATGCCGCATAAACCATTTCCTTGTTCCCATAAGAGCAAATCCTAGCTACATATTTTCGACAATTTTGCGGGTTTTTGACAAGATTATGAATATTGAATCCTTTGTGCGCTGGGCGCGATGAGGGGATTGGTCACTTGAGCGCGTTGGGCATCGTATTGGTTGGGGATGGGATTGGAGACATTTTTAGCATTACATCGCATCGCAGTGCATCGCATCGTGTGCGCATAGTTACCGTAGGAGCGCAGGGTATCATATCATCTCATCTCATTTCATCTCATCTCATCTCATCTCATCTCATCTCATCTCATCTCATCTCATCTCATCTCATCTCATCTCATCTCATCTCATCTCATCTCATCTCATCTCATCTCATCTCATCTCATCTCATCTCATCTCATCTCATCTCATCTCATCTCATCTCATCTCATCTCATCTCATCTCATCTCATCTCATCTCATCTCATCTCATCTCATCTCATCGCATCACATCGCGCATCTGTGGAAGCAACCTCCTCTACTCTACTCAAAGAATTCACGACCTGAATTCACGACCTTTAACCTGTTCCCGAGCCGCGGGGCGAGTGGACATCGCTCTCCCTCGCTTCACGCGGGAGACCTCGGCGGGACCCACCGCGCGCCTGTACGAAAGCGGAGTCGGCGAGCTGAGGCGGCGGGGGCCTGGATGCACGGCGTGAGTCAGGCCGATTCTACGCTGTGCTAGGGTTGGGAATTATGAGAAACGGAGGGAGAAATGCATATCGGAAGGAAAAATCGGGATTTGGATTTGGATAACGGAGAGGGCTGAGACGCGGAATGGCGATGGATGGGGGGATATGGGAATGCAAATGGGAATGGGGAGGCGTTAATTGGTCATATTTTACGTGTCTCTTGTCGTTTGCCGCTGTCTCGGTCGATAGGCTCAGCGCGGATGGGGGCAGATGCGGTTGGACCGGGGGTGGGAGGCGATGTCTCATTCCCATCTGATCTTTATCATATTTTTTGTGCGTGTCGGTTCGGGATGTGGGCTGGATGGGAGGTGTCCACCGTGTGTCGTGGGGGGAGGTGAGATGGAACGCGGAGTGGCGAAGTGGATTGAAGGGTCTGAGGTTGTGCATAGACGCATTGTGGTGAAGTGATGGTGATAGTGATAGTGATAGAAGTGATAGAAGTGATAGAAGTGATAGAAGTGATAGAAGTGATAGAAGTGATGGAAGGTAATTGTGAAACTCGGGAGAAGGTGTATCTTTCCACTCAGACATTCTTCATTCATGCTATCGTCGGGGAATCTTAAGCATGTCCCCCGACAGCTTACGGCGAGTGAATGGGGTCTCATCACTGTGGAATCTCCTCCTCCTCCTCTCTTCAGGGTGATAAACAGGAACCCGTACTTATATTCATCAATATCCATCTGTTCGTCCTCTTTTTTGTGTCAATTTGACCCCTCGAGCTCAGGTCTCAAGAGGTACACACACACCCAGTATTCAAAAGAAAAGAAAGGAGAAGAATCAGAGATGCACAGCGGTATTTATTTGCCAGAGCAGCGGTGCCAAGATCTTAAGCGAGGCTTACCGCCCTGTCAGATCGGGGAAATTGGGATCCGGCGTTGAGCTAGCTGTGTTCTAGCGGTTGACTAGTTGTAAACCACGTGATCATATCAACAATGGTTGCACGTGATATGGATTAGGGCGGTGGTGATGGTGGGGAGGCGGGACTGTGATAGCACGGAATAGCAGGAGCAACCCAGTACCAGCAACAACACTCCTCACCATCCATTCACCTCACCTCACCTCACCTCACCTCACCAACACATCTCACAAACTCCTCACCACCAATACCACACACACACACACAGAAATCCACCCAACCTCGAATCCACCAACAATGTCAATTATCCAATCCCACACGTCCGCCTCCCTCACCGACCACTGGCGAACCATTGACATCGACGCCCTCGACCCCGAATCCTCGCGTAACTTCCCCATCGCCACCCTCGCAGCGCCGCCGAGTGGACCGAGAGCGCTTGATGCCCAGAGTGTGAGGGGGTTGTTGAGGGGAGGGGATGCGGAGGGGGCGCTGAGGGGGGCCGTGGGGTCGGGGGTTGATAAGGTGCGTTTACTTGCTTTTTGGGGGATGAGGGGGAATTGGGGGGGTGGGGGGGGGGGGGGGTGGAGAAAAACGTGTGCTAACAGGGCAAATAGTACGCGCAACTTCAGATCGTCATCGAAGTCCTCCAGTCTATCAAGGCTGCGGACATGACGCCGCTTCTGCGCAGCGTGTATGCCTCTGAGGGCGGATCGGATGTGCTGGATTCACTGATGAAGTACTTGTAAGTCCTACCCACTTCCTCCTCATTCCCTTATGGGTTGGGGCAATTGTTGGCGGGTAGCATCCGAAAAGGGACAGGAGGCTAACGCGGTGAGCAGATACGCAGGCATGGCAGCACCAACGCAGCGACAGGGCGAGAGCAGCGGCGCTGCGATGAGCGTGCTTCTTAGCTGGCATGAGAAGGTTGTTGAGGTTGCGGGATTGGGGTGTGTGGGGAGGGTGATGACGGATCGCAGGACTACCTAGATGGAATGGGCTGCTTTGGGTTGGGAGATATGTGCTTTAAGATCGGGATGAGACGAGACTTGGCGGGTGGGTTCTAGGGGCGCTGTACATGTTGGGTGCTGAGGACGATGGATGCCCGAAGAGAGGTTAGAGACAGAGATTCGAGCTGGGCGTCAATGGAGCAGGTGTCGGAGGTGCATAGACAAAGCAGAACAGACGCCCAAAACCCAATACAAAAACATTGTTCCTACAAAATATCCTACACCCCCCCTCAATTTATACCCCCCCCCCCAAGATATCCTTCATATTCACCTCCCCCGTCCCTCTCTCCAACGGCTTCCTCTGATCCGGACTCTCCTTCCATCCAATAAAGAAGATAACCCTAAACGTCGCCGGCACCCCCTCCTTCCCCGGCTCCCCATACAACTCCTTATAAATCCCACTCGCGGCAGCCAACACCTCGCGCCCTATCCCGCCCATCTCCCGTCCTAGCACCGCATTACTCTCTCCCATCGCCTGCAGGTCTTTCATCAGCGCGAATATGTCGGGGAACTCGACGACGATGTCCTCCACGTCGACTGTCAGGAGTTTGAACCCCGCTTTTGTCAGCAATCCGCCTATATCCCGCACATCAGCCAGGGGAGAGGTATGGGGAGCTACACCCCCGCGACGCTCTTGCGATGCAAGTTGCAAAGCGGTGCGCAACTCGAATAACGTGTCTCCCCCGAACATGGCGGCTAAGATCGGCGCATCGGGTTTCAACGCGCGATTCGCGTGCGCCAGCAGCGCAGGGAGGTCGTTAACCCAGTGTAGCGCGAGGGAGGAGAGGATAGCATCGAAAGTATCCGCTCCGTACGGCAGCGACTCGAGGGTGGGGAGGACGGTGCGGGTTATCGCTAATGGCGAGGGGAGGGGGAGTGCGTCGTCGCGGTGTAAGAGGGTTGGCGAGGTCTCGGCGCAGGTTAAGTGCCCGATGCGCTCGCTTGCGGGGGGTTCGGTGGAGGAGAGCGGCGTGGTGAGGGCGCGGGAGAGGTTGCATGCGTTGGCACCGAGGTCGAGGATGTGTGGGAAGTCGCGGTTGATGTCCTGTTGCGGGGAGTGTTAGCTTGGGTGCGTCCTTACTATTTACTATTTTTTTGGGGGGGAGGGGGGAAGGTGGGGACGAACGAGCAAGCGGTCAGCGAGACGGGTAGCGATCTCGTCGCGCAGGTAGTCGACTTCGCGGCTCTGTTCGGGGTTGGAGGCTGCGCGCTCTTTTTGGAGGTGCTTGACGTGCGAGTTGAAGACCTGGAGGGTTGGTGCGCCGGGGGCTTGGACAGCGTAGGTGCGGGTGCGGGGTGTGAAAGGGGAGGAGGGGCGGATGGAGGGGAAGGAGGGGAAGGAGGAGATGGCCGGCCGGCGGCAGCGGAGGAGGGGGCGGAGGGCGAGGGGTCTCATGCTCGGCGTTGTGGAGTGGACATTTGTGGTTTGGTGGTGCTTTCCGGAGATAATGACGGGGATGGGACACTGGAGCGGAAGATAGTAAGGCCGAGTTCCGGGGGTTTGGCGGTTAGGGACGGGAAGGCCGCTTTTAAGGCTAGGCTTGGCTTGGCATAGGGGACCGAAATAGAGAGGGTTTCACCCTATGTTTGAATTTCACATGCTCTTTCTTGATGCTCCATTCCGCTCGCTGTTCACATCAGAATGAAGATCGAAGTCAAATAATACAGAAGAATAGGAATATAGGAATATAGGAATATAGGAATATAGGAATATAGGATAGGAATATAGGATAGGAATATAGGAATACACCAATGCATGCAGCAGACCTGATAATAACTTCGTTTCCCCTTCATTGCCCTCTTCCCATCTCGCCCTATCGTCGTGACATGAAACACAGAAAACGTGACTTGTGGATAGTACGTACTGTTTCATGCGCCCCCCCCCCCCTCCTACAATTGCGTCGTTGTCCAACAAAGACGACTACCAGCTCAGCTCAGGAGGCGACTTTCTATTTTCTTTTCACCTTCACTTTCACCTTCTTCATCCTCCACTTATTGCTACGACTTTTCCTATAGCTTCATTCTGCTTTGCCGCGTTCTCTCCACAACTCCCACCACCTACGTCAAACACTCCACCAAATCCGCATACTTTGAAACTTACTAGCATTTGATATTCGCTCGTTATATCATCGACACTACCCCAGGGTCAACATTCTCTTCCCACTCTGCTTGCCACTTCGTACTTCTATCCCCAGCTCCATCTGCTACGTCAGACGGAATCGCTTCAACCGTTGCGCTTCCACGTGCTTTCGTTTTCGGTCCAGGATACGAACAACCCTTCACGGCCTGCATCCCAACTACGCAGCCCACGGCAAGGATCAGAGGGAAGAGCTGCTTCCTATAGTGACAACACTTGCATAATACATACTCCGGTCTTCAGCCGGCTGTACCAACACCGCACAGCACTGTCCGGCGCTATACACGCGACCAACACGGCTTCCTTCATCCTTCTGTGAGCTGGTCTCGCTATTCGATGTCCTACCAATCTAGAGATCCATCGCCTAGACAAGGGGGATTTATACCACTCTCAAATGCTGCGTCAAAGGAGACGCTACGCAACTACGACGCCATGAACTTCGAAGATATCCCCATGACCAAAGTCAAATCCAATGCCAGTTCGGCTTGGCAGCAGCGTGATGGCCAGAGCACCTATGGCAACGACGGCGACGCATCTGGCTCGCGACTTGCCCCGCCCGCCAACCATGGTCACCACGGCCGACGAAAGCTGAAGAATATAAACTCGAGACAATCGACAAACCAGCAGTCGGTGCTGACGGGCATGGGAAAGTTTTACGACAAGATCGTCAACTTCTCCATCGTCACCCGCTACCTCGTCTACGTCCTCCCCGTCGCCGCCTTGATCGCAATCCCAATAGTCATTGGCGCTACCGTCGCCCCGGATGCGAAGATCGGTGGAATCCGCCTCTTGTGGTTCTTTGTTTGGATCGAGTGCGTCTGGCTCAGCATCTGGATCGCTAAGCTCTGCGCCAGGAACCTCCCATACATCTTCGTCTTCGTCTGCGGCGTCATCAGCCCTGGCACACGCAAATATGTCCTGATCCTGAAGAGACTGGAGATTCCCCTCTCCCTCGTCGGCTGGGCCGTCGCATCCATCGCCACGTTTGAGGCGCTCATCAAACGCCCTGATAACGCTCCCCAACACTGGGTAGATATCATGAAGAAGATCCTGGCCGCGGCCCTCATCGCATCCTGCATCTACCTCGTTGAGAAGGTGATTATCCAGCTCATCAGCATCAGCTATCACTCGCGCTCCTTTGATCTCCGTATCCAGGAGTCGAAGCACCAAACACATCTTCTCGGCATTCTCTACGATGCATCCCGTGCCCTGTTTCCCCTCTACTGCCCCGAGTTTGCTGAGGAAGACTACCTCATCACTGGCAATGTCGACAGTATACGTATTGGCAAAAAGGCATCAGGCGCTGCGACCCCCATGAGGCTCATGGGCAATGTGAACCGCATTGGTGACAAGATCACCTCGGCATTTGGGAATGTTGCGTCTGAGATCACAGGAAAGAAGGTCTTCAACCCTAACTCTGCCCATTCCATCGTGCTGGAAGCCCTAGAGAAGAAGAAGTCCTCCGAGGCGCTGGCCAAGCGTCTGTGGATGTCTTTTGTCATCGAAGGAAAAGAGGCACTGGGCATCGAGGATATCCAAGAGGTCCTCGGCCCTGCGCACACGGAGGAGGCCGATGAGGCGTTTGCGTATATCGACGCTGATAACAATGGAGACATTAGTTTGGACGAGATGATTGCCAAGGTTGTGGCGATGAGCCGCGAGCGCAAGGCCATCGCGAACAGCATGCACGACATCGGAGATGCTATTTCCGTGCTCGACTCCGTCCTCGTTGCTGTTGCCTTTGTTATCATAATCTTCATCTTTGTCGCCTTCCTCAACGCCAGTTTCGTGACTACGCTTGCGACCGCCGGCACAACTCTGCTCTCGCTCTCCTTCGTCTTTGCGGTGACTTGCCAGGAGTTCCTCGGTTCCTGCATCTTCCTCTTCATCAAGCACCCCTACGACGTCGGAGACCGCGTAGACATCAACGACAAGCCCCTCATCGTCGAGCGCATCTCCCTCCTCTACACAGTCTTCAAGCGCATCGACTACATGAAGATGGTGCAAGTCCCCAACATTGTCCTAAACACCGTGTGGATCGAGAACGTCACACGCTCCAAGGCCATGAAAGAGCAAATCGAGCTCTCCATCTCTTTCGACACCAGCCTCGAAGACATCGAGCTCCTCCGCACCGAACTCGAAGCCTTCGTGCGCCAACCCGACAACAGCCGCGACTTCCAAGAGGACGTCGTCCTCGAATGCGCCAGCGTCGGCACCATGGACAAGCTCGTCCTCAAGGCCGAGATCCGCCACAAGTCCAATTGGGCAAACGAATCCATCCGCGCCTCGCGCCGCTCCAAGTTCATGTGCGCCCTCGTCCTCGCCGTCCGCAAGGTCCCCATCTACGGCCCCGGCGGCGGCGTAACCGCTCTCGGCGAGCCTGGAAACCCATCTTACTCCGTCGCCGTCTCCGATGACCTCGCCGCCGAAGCCCGCGCCAAGGCTGCTGAGGAGAAGGAGGCAAAGCGCCTCGTGCCAACCCCCAAGCCGGACGCAGATAAATCGACGGAACCGGGAGCCACGGTACCGGAATCTGGCGTCCTGGGCGCTACCCACGAGGCTGCTGCTGCGGCAGCGATGAACGCGCGCCGTTCCACGGATACCAGGCTAGACACCCAGCAGAGGGGTAGAGGCGACGCCCTCGACCGCGCACGCAGCAGCGTCATCGAGGACCTACGCACGGACCTCCTCCACCGCGCCAGCACCCGCGGCCGCCGACGCGCCGACATGACCGCCTTTCCCCTCCAAGTCGGCACCAGCGGCGCCAGCATCGGGTTAACCCCCAGCAGCCCCCTCCGCCACCGCGCGGACGAGGACGAGGAGGCTAAGGTGGGTGGTTATGGAGGGTATCCCGCGTCGCCGGTGTCTTCGGCTCAAGCGCAGCAGCAGGGGGCGGGGTTTCCGGCGCAGGCGCAGACGTATCCGACGCAGCAGCAGGGGCCGGGGGGGAGCTATGCGCAGTTTCCGGCTGGGACGGCGGGGCAGGGACAGGTGGGACAGCAGCCGGCGCCGCCGAGGAAGGATGAGAGGTTTTAGGGGTGGGGGAGGTAATGAGTGGGAGAAGGGGGGGATTGAAATATATGCTTTGACGGCCGAATGTGGCGTTATTTTTTTATTAGAGCGTGGTTGGGATAGGATACCGCCGTGCATTGATTGCATATGTGGATGGATATTCGTAAAAGAATAGAAGGGGGATGAGGGAGGGTGGGATATAGACGAACGAATAGGATTCAGGATTCAATTCATTTTACTATTTATAATGGGATCCGAGCATAAGGGAATAGGGTCCACCAGCACCGAATGACTTGTGGGATGGGCATGAGTGTGAAAGCTGGCAAAAATTAACAAGTCTCTGAGAATTTCGGTCTCTTGGAGTGGACAACAGTAGCAACAGCGAGTGGCTACAGCAGGTAGCAATGCTAAGCAAGAACGGTAACGGCAGGTGGCAACGACACCAGAAAGAGGTAATGATTATAGCAACGACAAGTGGTAACAGCGACAGTGACAGTGACAGCACCACAGCAGTGATGCGCTAGAAGCATCTGTTAGACTTCCAAGTGCCGTGGTTGATAAAATCCTCTGCAACACGCTTGGCTACTCTCAGCGGTCATGTTCACACGATCTATCGCGACCGCGTTCTGTTTCCCGGCAGTAAGTCTCAGAACACGGACGTTCGATTTCCGGTATGTTGGCTTTTTGATATCTTCAGCCTTGGTGTCGTCGAAGTCGTCGCCCTCTACGTCAGGCTCGCACTTAGTGGCCTTACTTGGCTTAGAAGTCGTGCCTGCTGAAGGTAGGCGAGGATGGGAAGGTGAAGGAAGTTTGGGTGCACTAAGTAAAGAGGTCTCAAACGGCAACAATTCCCATCTTGGCTATGGAGGGTCAAACTATAGAAAACGTCATTACAGTCACACTTGTAACGAACGCCAAGAACACACTGTTGATGCAATATTCAATTTATGCGTTATTGCTGATGCAACAAGTCTCTCTGGGAAGCTCGGTCTTGTAAAGCGGACGGCAACAGTAACAGCAAGTAGTAAGAGCAAGTAGCAACAGTAAGTAAGGTACGACAGCGCCCCTTTCTTTACCTGAAATTCTATCCGGAACCCCATCCCAGATCTCATCAAATCAGAATATGGAATCAGCTCCTATAAGTCTCATGTTGCAAATGCCGTGAACTTGGTGGTAGTGGCGTTATATTTTACAATTCGATCTTGGTCTCGCTTTTTATTTCGACCAGCGCCTGTTAACTTGGTGCAGCCCAAAAGTCTGAAAGAGACTGTTACGCACATATCGGCGTATCCAGCATATCCCAGAGTTGCACGTCAAGTTGGACGTCACGGACAATATGGACGGAGAATTACAGCTACTGTAACCACTACTACCACGCACCAGCCCCTCTTCAACCCTTAGACGAGCACCCCCATCTAACAAACATGTTCCACCTCCCCTCCCCCCCCAACCCGCTCCCCCAACTCCGTCCTCAACACCCTCCCAAAAACCTCCTCCAACATCCCCCAACAAACCCTCGTCACTGCCCCATCAAACCGTCCCTTACTCATCTCATCCCTAATAAACGCATGCTGCGCCCCCGCCACCTCAAACCAGCTAAACACCACCCCCGCCTCCCTCAACTTCAACCGAATCTTATCCCGTCCCGCAGGCGGCACATGCGTATCCAGCGTGCCGTGGATACACACCAGTTCCCCCTTGATCTCCTTGCACCTCGCCAGCGTATCATCCGGATTATTCGCACCCAGCGTGGCAGAGTGCAAATCCGTAGCGAAATACGCAACCGCTGCACTAATCCTAGGATCCAACGCACACCGGATCGCCAGGTGGCCACCGAGACACATACCCGTCGCGCCCAAGCGACCCGTGCACGTCGGCAAGGCGAGTAGGGCGTCGATGGTGGCAGAGCTGTCGGCGTCGTAGGAGGCGAGCGTCTTCTTGGCTTTGAGGGCGTTGCCGAGGTCGGTGCCGGGGACGTCGTAGGCGAGTGGGGTGGAGGGGACGAAGTCATGGTAGGAGGAGGGTGCGGCGACGATGTAGCCGGCGGAGGCGATGGAGCGGGCGAAGCGGGCGACGGGGCCGGTGACTTGGTAGATTTCGGAGAAGAGGGCTACGCCGGGGAATTTGCTGGGGAGGGGGTTAGTTGGGAGGGGGTTGGAGGTGGGAAAGGGGGCGTACGCGTTGGGGTATCCGGGGATGGAGGGGTGGAAGAGGCAGATCCCTTGATAGATGTCAGTCAGTATGTGTTCAGAGCTCATGGGGATGGAGTGACGAGAGGTAAGGTACTCATTGATCCCTCCACGCCGTCTGCCTTGGTGGGCACATCTATATGGGACTCTACGATAAGCATTCTGGGGGATAGAGAGTGAATTGGAGAGATTGATGTCGTTGGGAAGATAGAGCTCTGACAGCTTCAATCGTGGAGGGGTTTTTGATAGTGGGGGCGGGGTAGGTGGGGTGGATAAATAGAACATCACGTGAATATATGCAGGACGATGAATGATATATCACGTGGTATAAATGAGTGAATATACACGTGACGATAAAGAGCTATGAACAGCGTTGGTGGGGTATTTTGGGGTTGGCAGTTGATTGGCAGGGCAAGTGACAACTCACTTTCGCCAACTCAACGTCATATTTTCTGGGCTCCAGTACAAGATACCTGGGCAGTACTTGGGCGCATCAGGCTGCAACTGGGGAATAACGCCGATATCCCAATGGAGGAGGGAGGTTATTATGAGGGAGTCGTGTATTCTCGTGGTATTCTGTACCACGCTGGTTAAGTAGTTGCCGGCTTCCAATAGTTACTTAGTCGGCGTTTTATTCCGACGAATTCCACGGTTACGTACTTGGCCAGGCCAGCTCCACGTCGTTTGTTCGTAATTCGTATAGCGGAGATATGGCGAGTCCCTTGAATTGAAGCTGGTAGATATGCTAAGAAATTGTAACGGGGTGCCACCGAGCTGGAATACTATAGTTATAGTCTTTGTGGCTCAGTGGTATGTATCGCGAGCGTAACCGTACATCGTTATAGAAATGCTAAGAAATGCTAAGAAACGTAGGAAAATGGTAGGGAAATGGTAGGGAAATGGTAGGGAAATGGTGGGAAAATGGTAGGAAATCGTAGGAAATCGTAGGAGGAAATCGTAGGAAATCGTAGCCTTGCGGGTCAAGCGGTGTGGTACATCTGTTTGTGTGCCGTTCAGTATGTACGTGCCAAGTACCTTTAACCCCTCATAGACGAGGGGTTAAAGGTACTCTCAGTTGATCAAAAATCAAACTGACAGGCCCTGTAGCAAAATCTAAAACATAATAGAACATTCTCTAGCTTTCAGGGATCATCCAATACAATTACCATAATTAAAATAATTAAATCATTAAATTCTTTTATCTTCCCCCACCTATGACGTTGTTGATGGGCCTCCCGCGAATTTTTGCGATGATCCCAGAATGTGCGTGATGGTTCCAGCCACTAGCGCCATTGGCTTAGAAGATGCTGGAACTGCCTGGAAACCACCGCCTGCTGCAACCAGTGCATACAAAACCTCGAATCTTCCTCGCACACAATTTCTTTTCTTCCTTCTACTTCATACCATAACAAACCTCTCTCTTCTCTACCACCATTACAATTGCTCTCCTACTTCAAAATCAAGGTTGAAGATTCTTATCCCAACATCACTCAATACATCTATACACACAGAGCAACGATGTCTGCGTACGTTCACCCCGCCAAACCTCCCCTCCCCCGTGCCAGTGCCAGCGCATGTGCCACCCCCTCTTCTGACAATGTACTAACTGGCCCCAGCATCGGTATCGATTTGGGTACCACCTACTCGTGCGTGGGTATCTTCAGAGATGACCGCATTGAGATCATTGCCAACGACCAGGGCAACCGCACAACCCCCTCGTTCGTTGCCTTCACTGACACCGAGCGTCTTATCGGTGATGCCGCCAAGAACCAAGTCGCCATGAACCCAGCCAACACCGTCTTCGACGCCAAGCGTCTGATCGGTCGCAAGTTCGCCGACGCCGAGGTCCAGGCCGACATGAAGCACTTCCCCTTCAAGATCATCGACAAGGGAGGCAAGCCAGTTTGCCAGGTCGAGTTCAAGGGCGAGACCAAGGACTTCACACCCGAGGAGATCTCCTCCATGATCCTCGTCAAGATGCGCGAGACTGCTGAGGCCTACCTCGGCGGAACTGTCAACAATGCTGTTGTCACCGTCCCAGCTTACTTCAACGACTCCCAGCGTCAGGCTACCAAGGATGCCGGTCTCATTGCCGGACTCAACGTCCTCCGTATCATCAACGAGCCTACCGCCGCTGCTATTGCTTACGGTCTTGACAAGAAGGTCGAGGGTGAGCGCAACGTCCTGATCTTCGATCTTGGTGGTGGAACTTTCGATGTCTCTCTCCTCAGCATCGACGAGGGTATCTTCGAGGTCAAGTCCACTGCCGGTGACACTCACTTGGGTGGTGAGGATTTCGACAACCGTCTCGTCAACCACTTCGTTAACGAGTTCAAACGCAAGCACAAGAAAGGCGAGTGCTCTCAGTCTCCCAAATCTAATTCTGAACTCTCACTAACTGAAAATAGATCTCTCTTCCAATGCCCGTGCCCTCCGTCGTCTCCGCACAGCATGCGAGCGTGCCAAGCGCACTCTTTCGTCTTCAGCCCAGACTTCCATCGAGATCGACTCTCTCTTCGAGGGTGTCGATTTCTACACCTCAATCACCCGTGCCCGTTTTGAGGAACTGTGCCAGGACCTCTTCCGTTCTACTCTTCAGCCCGTCGACCGCGTCCTCTCAGACGCCAAGCTCGACAAGACCAAGGTTCACGAGATCGTCCTCGTCGGAGGCTCCACCCGTATCCCGAGAATCCAGAAGCTCATCACCGACTACTTCAACGGCAAGGAGCCCAACAAGTCCATCAACCCTGATGAGGCTGTGGCTTACGGAGCTGCCGTCCAGGCTGCCATTCTATCCGGCGACACCTCGTCGAAGTCCACCAACGAGATCCTCCTTTTGGATGTCGCTCCTCTGTCTCTCGGTATTGAGACTGCCGGTGGTATCATGACTCCTCTCATCCATCGCAACACCACCATCCCAACCAAGAAGTCCGAGGTGTTCTCCACCTTCTCCGACAACCAGCCTGGTGTCCTGATCCAGGTCTTCGAGGGTGAGCGCAAGCGCACCAAGGACAACAACCTGATGGGCAAGTTCGAGCTCACCGGTATCCCACCCGCACCCCGTGGTGTTCCCCAAATCGAGGTCACCTTCGATCTCGATGCCAACGGAATCATGAACGTCTCCGCGCTCGAGAAGGGCACCGGAAAGAGCAACAAGATTGTCATCACCAACGACAAGGGCCGTCTTTCCCAGGAGGAGATCGAGCGCATGTTGTCCGAGGCCGAGAAGTACAAGGCCGAGGATGAGGCCGAGGCCGGACGCATCGGCGCTAAGAACGCCCTCGAGTCGTACGCCTACTCCCTCAAGAACACCCTCTCCGACGCCAAGGTCGACGAGAAGCTCGACGCCGAGGACAAGACCAAACTCAAGGCCGAGATCGACAAGACCGTCTCCTGGTTGGACGAGTCCCAGCAGGCCACCAAGGAGGAGTACGAGGAGCACCAGAAGGAGCTCGAGGCCGTCGCCAACCCTATCATGATGAAATTTTATCAAGGAAATGAAGGCGCGGCGCCCGGAGGAATGCCCGGTGCTGGTGGACCCGGTGGCTTCCCAGGAGGCGCCGGCGGCCCAGGTGCCTCCCACGACGACGGCCCAACTGTCGAGGAGGTTGACTAAGCGCTAGGATTTCTTCGAATGGTTCAATTATAAAGCTTTCGGTGTTCACTGGGGTCATCATGAATTGTAGACTTGTTTATCTGCGGGTTTTTGCGTTTCCTTTACACTACGACGATACGATAAAAAGCTGATGCAAAGACAAGAGATTTTTTTGTACTTGTGTATCTTTAGGCTGCCGATAGGGCGGTTTCCATAATGAAAGTCGTTAAATTTATATATGCTGTTCCTCGTGCACTTCTGATGTGAATAATGATTGAAGTGTTCGAACTGTGTCCTCTGTAGATGCCAGTATCCAATTCACTCCCGGTCAACAACAGCCACTGCCTCCTTATGATTATTATTTATTTTCTCCGTGTAAGATAATTTAGCCACAGTACTCGTAATCGTGCGGCTACACCTCCCGCGAGAACTCTCGCTTCGGGGGCCGCACCTCTTTCCAAGAGGTGCGGTGCAGCGTTATAGATGTGCAACGTTATAGAAGTGGGGCAGATTTGGATTATGTAACTATCTCCGTACTTTCTGCTTTTTAGGTACATCCGTATTTCCTGCCGTGAGAATTTCTTGCAATGTGATACCTGCTTTGCAACCCGCTTTGTACGCTCTTTTGCAGCTTGTGCAATATCAAGAATATAAGAATGCTCGTCTATTATTTGCTTTGCCTCTTCTTGGCTTTTCTTTTTAACTAGACGTATAAGAGCTAGTGCATCCTTCTCCTTCTCTTGTACCTTGTTATCTTTAATTGATCCCCGAGCATTTGCAACAGTAACTTCTCCACCCTTTTGCAATTGGAATCCTCCTTCTCTCTTCCGCTTTGTCTTTGCTTGAGATATAGAATAAATTGAACGGAGATCACGACGTGCAAGCTCTCCTGCAAATATACCTACCTTTGCTCCTTTTATAAATGCCTGAAGTGATTCCCATTGATCTATAGTTGTAGTTTCTATATCAAAGATTTGGAGAAGATAATCTCCATGGCGTAATAGCTTCTTTGGATCTTGTGGAGTATTGCTAAAATCTGATTCTTTGTGAGGTTGGGAGAGAAAGGAATCTGTATCTTCTGGCCGTATTGGTGATGAACTTGAAATGTCGATTTCGAAGGGCTTGAATCCAACAACCCTTTGCAGGGGTATATCTGGATTAAATGGTACAATGCCTGGTTTTTGAAATGCAGAGAGGATTGTAGTTCTTGTAAAGGTTAGATCATGCATCTCTTGAAATACATGAAAAAACTCAACACGGTCAAATGTCATATCGCCAGTTCTTGCAGACCGGTCAACCATTTGCGAAAGGTTGGAAAACTTGAACATCATCAAGTGGCTGAAGTAAATGAGTTGAATGAGGTGGAAGGCAGAATGGGATAATTTGATTTGCAAGAGCATAATCAATGAAGTCTTTTGTAAAATGAGAGAGGTGTCCGTCAAGAAGGAAAAGTCGATATGTTCCCTTTATTCCTTCCTTTGAATGAAATCAAAATGCTTCAACCATTGTAAAGCAATCTCATCATTTGTATAGCCAGAATCAGAAACTGTAATTGTAATCCGAGAGTCGAGATTTGTAGCAATCCATTTTGAGGAAATAACTCGAGCGGCAACAATCATGTAAGAGGGAATATATCTACCTCCGCCACTTATACACTCTAGTTGTAAGTGACTCTCGATTATCAGCAGATGGTATATATGCCTTGTGTTGTTGTATATGAGTTATCACAAGTGTACTCTTAGAACAGGATATCTACTACCGGACTCTCGACATGGTCAATTTCCACTTCCGTCTTTGGACCTGAGCTGTTGCTGCTTTAACCTGAGTGCGGGTGAGCTGGACTGACCTGTGACTGACCACTAAACCACTGATGCCGGACTGTTGTTGACCAATCGCGTATTGCCACATATGATGGTTAGGCCCCGGATGCTCCACACACACTCCGCTGCTTTTGCAATTTGTGATTTCGCCACTTACAAAAGCGGCTCCCCTTGGTGTCCGTCAGACATGCATGAGGTGGGCAGTGCAAGCAGGGTTCTGCCCCTCCTCGGCGTAGGTGAGGAGCTGGGCGTTTTGTTTTGGCCCCTCCTTTGGCAAAGAGGAGCCAGAACAGGGACCCGTATCAACGCGGGGTACGTATTTGGTGCAAAGTTCAGGCGCCAAGTCTCACAAATGGACGGTCGGCATTACAATTATCCGCACTTGGCTAGCGTCCAGCACGGAACTGTTAGGGGACAACTCTCATCATTATGTCGCAGTCCACCGAGTCTGACGACAGCAGTATGTCTTCAGGTAGCCGGTTGGAACTCCCCCCACTACGGACTAAGGCCCGTGGATTATCACACCTGTTTGGGCATCTCACGAAGGTATTATTACCAAGTGTATAACGCAGCTCAAGTCTACAGTGGATGATCATGAGGACCGCGTGCGATCACTAGAACACCACCAACGTTATGCTAGTTCACCCAACGAGATAGCGACCGATGTACCTACCGCGTCTAGTTTCGAAAGATTACAACAAGAAGTAAAGGGACTCGATGAAGTCGTCAATGAAAGGGATATAAGGGTATCTGAAGCTGAAGGGGATATTGGGAATATAAAGGCAGAGATGGAAGAAGTCCAAGAATTCATGGAGAAAGGCAATATTGTGACTGACGAACACCTACGCGAAATCCTTCCAACTCTTGCTACCAAGACCGACCTCAAGGCCGACCTCAAAGAACTTTGCCTTACAACTAAGGCTGACCTCAAGAACGGCCTCGAAGAACTTCGCCTTACAACTAAGGCTGACCTTAAGACCGGACTCGAAGAACTTCGCCTTGCAACCAAGGCTGACCTTGAAGAACTCAAGACCGACCTCGAAGGACTTCGTCTAGAAATTCGTGCATCACAAAACTACAGAGCATCTAGATTCTTCGACGAAGTTCAGTCTCTTCCTATTATTCGAGATAAGGATGGAGTGAAGCGGATTGAATATATTTCAACCCCGTTACGGCAAGTAAAACACTATTGGAATCTGCATAACCAAGAGCATGGTATGTCCTTTCGTTGAGTCTATATTAGATTCGTGTGAATGCTGCTAATTATTCCAAGCGTCAGAGTTAGTTCGTTGTCTTGAATTCTACCTTTCTATTGATACTTGGCCCTTTAAAACCTTGGATGAAGCCGATGACTTTGACCACGTCGACGTCGACTTATTGGGTCTCTTGTTGCATACCGTTCCTACATCATGGGAAGAAGCAGTGAAGCTATCTCCTAGACGCTCTGTTTACCTGCTCTTCGGAGCGTTAGGGCTTAGGTATGACCATTTTTCGGAACAGTACGCTATGATCAAGGCTTTAGTTACTCAACGCCAGGGCGCTACGAAGTCAAAGGCATCAGAATCGCAGCCTGCTATTCGCGTGAAAAAGCGCGCAAAGAACGAATCGTCTGAATCGACTACCGAGCCTTTCACGGCTTGAAATCTTCTCATGGACAAACTGATGGCTTGAGGGTCGATGTTCGAGAGGGCAAGTATGACGAGAATGGCGCGGAGAGCGGGATGAGGAAATGGGGGTTGTCTACGACGACGCCGACAATTGTTTTCAAAAGTCGTGCCACGGGTGGGGGAAGCAGTTCTACTCCAGGCCGGGTGAGTCCTGGAGGTTGTATTGAGAAGGCGAGATATTGAGGGATTGGTGGGTCTGTGCTGCATAGATGCATCGTCGTCAACGTATATTGTTCGTATTGTTGAGCTGCCTTTGGCCACTGAGACGCAACATCATCTACACTCGTGCCTTGGGCTGTTTTTGCCGATACTGACGGGCCACTTGCGACAGGATGCCTAGTAGACGCGGGGGAGGCGCTGGTAGGATCCGCGGCGTTGGCATGGGATGACAGTATCTGGAGAATGGGCGAATTTGGTTAGCGCCTCATGCAAACGAACATGGGCGAATTTGGTTAGCGTCTTATCTAAAGATAAATGGGCGAATCTGGTTCGTGGAGTGGCCATCCCACTGGGGTCACTGATATAACGTAAGTCGTGGCGTAACGCGGGGGATGGCGTAACGCGGGGAATTCACCCCGCCGACTTCTGATAACTGTGAATAACTCAACAATGGTTTGCTGTAAAAGCCTGGGTGTTGCTGAGCGTGAAACTTTAATAGCCCAGGCAGTATTAGACGTCCAATCTAAGAAGTATAAGAGTGCATATCACGCTGAGAAAGTGCTGGGGCTGCCGAAGAGTTCAGTGACGCGACGCGTCAATGGAGGTTTGACACGCTCCCAAGCCCGCCAGAAACAGCAGAATTTATCAGGCGCGCAAGAACAGATACTTCTAAAGTGGATTAAAAACCTAACAATCAGCGGCTATTCTCCAGGGCATCGGTTGTTGAAGGAAATAGCTGAAGAACTCCGGTCGCACCGGTCACTCAATTTTGACGACGCGACGCCAAACTTACTTCTACCCCAACCACGATTTTCCCTCGGTCGCGACTGGGTACCACGATTCATACAACGACATCCCCATCTACAGGTCGCTATTGGGCGACGGATCGAAACTGTACGCATGGACGGTGCAACAAAACCAGTGCTTACGGCATGGTTTAACGCGTACACCAAGGTGGTTCAAGAGTTTGGAATCACGCAAGAGAACACATATAACATGGATGAATCCGGATTTTCGATTGGGACAATGGAATCTACTCGAATTATACTTGATTCAACGCTTCGTACGAAGCAATCAAGCGCATCCTGGCTGTCAGGAATGGGTTTCGATGGTCGAGTGCATCTGCGCAGACGGAACCATCCTCCCACCCCTCGGGATCTTTAAGGGCAAGAACGTTCTCCAATCATGGATTCCGCCCGCAGTCATCGACCAGTGGTTCTTCTCTGCGAATACGAAAGGCTGGACAAGCAACCTCCATGGGTTGGAGTGGTTAAAACGCATCTTCGAGCCAACAACACGTACAAAAGCAGATGGTCAGCACAGGATTCTTATATGCGACGGCCACGACTCACACATTAGTGGGAGTTTCATTGCGCACTGCATGCAGAACCATATTGTATTACTGATACTTCCCCCTCATACATCGCACTTACTACAACCACTGGATGTTGCGATATTCGGCCCGCTAAAAAAGCGTCTGACAGCAGCGCTCTCCCCACTCAACCAAGTGCAACTTGCGCACATACAGAAGTATGAATGGATGGAGGCATACATCCAGGCACGGCTTGATGTATGCAACCATCAGAACATTGAGTCAGCATACCGTGGCGCTGGCTTGTTTCCTTTTAATCCCCAGCGAGCATTGCGCCGCTGCTCAATGCTGAACCATCAGTCGAGGCTGACCGACCAAAAACACCACATCAGTATGATATTTTTGACCGAGTCTTTATCAACAGCTCCCCCCCAGATGGGATGACCTTACGCTCTGCAAATGCGCTTCTTACAACTACGATTAATAGTGGTGGGGTGCTGTCAACACCAGTGCGGACGTACATCCAAAAACTCACAGTTGCGTCAGAGCAACTTCGAGCACGCAGCATTGTCCACCAACTCGATGCCAACAACCTGCGATCAGTTATAAAGCAACGTACGGTACGTACGAAGGGGAAAAGGGTTATTCTGAAGGGTCACTTTCATGTTTCTACGCAAGAGTTGTGTGATGCGGTGATGGAGGCGGAAAAGGCGACACATAACCCAAGTAAGAAAAAGCACAAAACAAAGGATAAGAACGCCTCCTCAGACATTGAAATTGACGAGTATATTGAGGAAGAAGCAGGGGAACAATCTAAGAGTGATGGTGGATCATGTATTATCGTTGATTGTAGTTAAATTTACAGATTTGTTGTGTTCTCTTCAAATTTCCACCGCGTTACGCCATCCCCCGCGTTACACCACGACTTACGTTACAGCTATTCGTAGCCACCTTCCTCTCAACTTTTCAAGTCCCTTCATTGAATGCGTCAGCCTGAGGCAACAATATGGACGATGGCAATATATACACCTGGTTGCCACTTATTTCCGCGACAACTCCCTATTTCACAATCAACGACATGTGTACCTCACCAGAAGTAAAACGTTTACCCATTGAACACATTCGTCAGATAAAGTTTTATGAACCTCTTGCAGATCTAACCGAAACCGGACAAGTTTATAAGGCTACTATCGATCGCAATACATATGCTGTGAAATTAGTGAGCCCCTCCCGACTCCAACTTTAATCTATCCACCTGACATAATTTCTAGTTCGAGCCCTACAGTGTCATACTGACATTCGTTGCACTCAGTTTGCTATCAAACTCAAGAGCAAACTGTAACGCTGACTTCTAAACGATAGAAGACACAGAGGTTCTCTTGCGTAAAGGTTTACTTATCAGAGGAGGCAGGGGATCAGACACAAAGGCTTCAAGTAACACGTTACTAGTATATAACAAATACTGTATTGAGTTGAGCACGAAGCTCCTATCTAAGGAAATACTATCTACTTATATAGTGGCGTCGTGCCTAGTGGACTCTTGGGAACTCACTCGAGTCCTCGGAGTCCTGGACTCTTAGGATTCTTCTCATCATCCTGCGAGTCCGTCACGTGCCTAGTGGACTCCTGGGAACTCACTCGAGTCCTCAGAGTCCTGGACTCTTAGGACTCTTCTCATCATCCTGCGAGTCCGTCACGTGATACTTTCGGAACTACTATTCCCCGCTGCCCCTCCAGGTACCAGGGCCGGTCTCATGCGACCTCCCTCCTTCCTGTCCTGTAGTTGGCCAGCCTTCTTGTTCCGTCGTAACAAGAAGCTGACACGGCTAGCAACTACGATGAGGATATGGAGGATGTAAAGTGCAGTCCCTAGGGTCTCACGGGAGTCCAGGGAACCAGGTCAGAAGGCAGAGTGAGATCGTATTGCAAGACAGTAGGTCTACGTATGTACAGTGACTATCGGCTGGAGGCCTCCTTCTTGTAATGGTGGGTGCACCAGATATGAGAATCTAGCCACCCAAGGAAGGGATGAATTTACTAAGACAACACACTGTCTTAGGAAACAGAGCCAAAGGGTTGTAGCTTAGACTATTCCACAACGCAGCAATCAGGTGTATGATGTGGTGAAGTGGTTTAGACAAGTACAAATGTTGAGTTTGAGAACTCAGGGGTAAGTCAGAGGTTAGCACCTCACTGACTTTTCAAAAACAGAGAATAACAAGATCAATGCTTGGAAGCTTGTAAAAGACGTGGAAGTATGTGATAGTCGATTTACTGTATTGCCTGCTTGCCCTTTCTTAAGGAAAGGGCAATCCTATTTATGCCAATGACTTTCCATGTCTAACCAGGCTTGGTAAATGTATTAGAAATCAAGTGCGACCCACAACTAGCTTGCTAATCATGTAATCGTTGGTTCTCAAACCACCGCCTGGAGGCGGTTGGCGAAAGCGAACTGGGACGCGAAAGCGATTGTGGGACACTTCGGGAGCGGACTCGCGACGCGACACGACCGACCATGAACACGACTGACAACGTAACAATGCTGTAAATATATATAAGTTATAGAATTAAATAATTAAAAAAGATTTGGATCAATATTGTCAGGCAGTGATTGATCATCACAGCCACCGTCACTTGCATCGTGAATCATGTCGTAGTCCAAGCCTGCAAAGTTCACGTACCCACTCTCCTCGATGGCTAACAGTCGGTCCGCCTCCTCCTCCTCCTCACGTTTCTTCTGTGTAACGTCCGGGTCAATGATTTCTGTACGTAAGCCAATTGGTGGCTCCGTGTCTGGGTTACTTTTTTGAAATTCATGTAGGTCCTTTTTCCGTGTACGTTCTGCCTTCCGTGCATCGATGCCAGCACGGAGCTGCATCTTACGCTCAACGTTCACCATGCGTGTTCTCTCTCTTTTCTCCCGTGCTTCTTCTAAAAGTTGCTCCTTTACCTTCTTCTCATAAATCCTTTGCCGTGCATGTTCAACTGTAATAGCACCGCCCTTTTGAATAGATTTCCGACTTCTAACCTTCCGCTGTCGTTGCTCAGTCATAATAGTAGTAATTTGTACAAGCTCTGACTGGAACAGCTCAGCCTCTGTTAACTGAGTTTGGATTTCAGTATAAGAAGATGCCCACTTTTGCCGTGACGGTGAACTAAGGATCTTATCAAATGTTTGACTCCATGTTGAAAGATCATAACTTGCTTGAAATGCGCGTTGTGGTGTTTCTAAAACTTCTGGTTTTGCATATATAGCAACCTTCTCTTGAATCTTTTCATAGTTAGGTGGCCAAATACCTGCATCTCTAAAAGACTTGATACAGTTACCCTTTGTAAATGTCTGCTTACGGATAGTAGACAAGTCTCTAAAGAAAGATATAACATTATAATCTGTATCAAAATTCCGGATTGCTTGTTGAATTGCACGTCGGTGCCAATGTTTATATTGTGCAAACACAGTAACATCTAGCGGTTGTAGAATATGCGTAAGATGAGACGGAAACACATGTAAGTGTATATTGTGTTGATGTGCAAGTATTATAAACTCTGGAACTTCATGTGAGACATGAGAGTCCATTATTAACAATTTCGTTCTTATAGACGGTGTATGTTGAATAAAATGCTGTAGATATTCCATTGCAAGCTCAGAGTTTGTATATCCGGAATCGGATACTGCAACTTTCTCATCACCGTGTAGATTGTCATGGTACCAACTTTCCATGTGTAATTTTCCTTGTATAATAAGGAACGGTGGAAGTGCAATGCCAGCAGCTGAAATTGTCTCTATAACTGTAAGACTTTGTCTGTTCTCTGGAGCTTGTATATAAAGCTATAAATATTAGAATAATATAAAGTAAGATAAGTAGAAACAACTTACCTCCTTTACTGCAGATGGTACCAACACATGTTCACCGGTGCTCATTCCTACACGGAATCCAACTTCATCAAAGTTGTAGATATCACCTGCAGTAATATCTAGTTGATTACACACATCTTTAAATTCATAAAACCATTCTTTAATAGCTGATACTTCATGAGATGCAACCCGTGCTGCTTCAATTGGCCGGGTTTTTATTGTATGGAAGTTGTGTTGTTGTGTCTTAATCCATGTCTGGAACCACCGTTGTGATGGTGGTGCACGTGTTGGAGTTTCTGCTGCACGTAGTTGGCAGATGGCACTGAACACCATAGGCTTAGTTGCACCGTACCCATTTTCGTACGAGCGTTGGATGTATCTTTGTATAGCTGTAACTTGTACATCAGACAGTACTCTGTTCTGGCCTCCGCGTGGCACAGCGGTGCGTTGTGGTGATGCGCGTCGTTGTCGTAGTCGTATAGTCCGGAGCGTACTTGGGTTTACTCTGTACATCCGTGCTACTGTAGCACTCTTCTCTGTTGGGTTTTCATTTAAAAATTCAATGGCATTTAAAAGAGCTTCATTTTTATTTACTTCAACTACCGGCATAGTTGTGGTTGTAGTTGTGCTCGTTGTCGGTCATGTTCATGGTCGGTCGTGTCGCGTCGTGAGTCCGCTCCCGAAGTGTCCCACAATCGCTTTCGCGTCCCAGTTCGCTTTCGCCAACCGCCTCCAGGCGGTGGTTTGAGAACCAACGATTAGTGCGTAAGAGAATCCCATAGAACCATCTCTTGGGTTCCTAGCCTATAGGAAGTGAAAAGGAGGTCCAAGGTCAGAGTACCTATAGACAAATTATGTCATAACTTAACCAATCTTGTGGGTAACTAAGGAGCGATGACGTGTAATGAATCATAGAGGGTTGTAGAAGCTTCTAGAGCTATCGTTCATGTTCCTAGGCCTCTAGTTGGTAGAGATATGCCATGTGGTAGTATTGGCCCACCCCCTTAAGGAGGAGATTTTCTTAATAACTTGTTCAATGAGTGTCCAAATGATATGCCGTGATGTATGTAGCATAAACAGATGTAGTAGAAGAGTTTGCAGCAATCGTTGAATAGTATTGCTTCTGTTGTTGGTGTGATAAGCCAAGATATGTATGGTGACTTGTAGGTTTGAGGAGGAGATTTCTAAGTTTGCTCTTGAGTTTGATAGCAAACTGAGTGCAACGAATGTCAGTATGACACTTCTGAGGCTTCCAGCTCCTTATATCCTATGTTCCTACATGCCCTAGTTTACCGAGCCCTAGTGGCTCCACTGCCAGGCAGCCCCTGAGTTCAGGGCGGCCTCACATGATGGGCTGCCTTACATTCAGACTCAAAGTCGATTTCGATGGTGTTGAGGCTATTAAAGCTATCATCGCCGTGACATCAACATGGTAAGGTATGAACATGTTCTTGGATTTTAGGATTTCCGTGTCGTTTAGTCGCACAGTCGCAAATGTGTCTAAGCCCTCAAATACCAAGACAGTTTTTGTTCCTTCTACATTCGAGCGGTAAACTTGCATCGGTATGTCCATGACTTTTCGTATATCTAGGGAAGGATCGAGAGTTCTACATTGCGTTAGTTTATATTACGTTGTAAGCAGTCAGATCATACTTCTCATTGTCTAAGAGATCGAGATGAACCACCGTAGGCACCTTGGCAACGGGGAGCCACGAGTTCGGCTGGCTCTCTTCAGCGAGCTTGAATTCCCATCCCGTCGAAAGCGCCTCTGAGGAAAAAGAGCCATGTCAGCGCAACTTGCTTCGTCGAGTATTTGGAAATTTGCCCAGCTGTTTTCCTTCAGGTATGAAAGTTGCCAGGGACACTTTGGTTTACAAAACAAGTTAATAATAGTGGTTGCGCAATGCCAGCATACACGAAACCTTATATCTCTACATATTTCAGCTTACAGCACAGTGATCCGCATATCGCTGCCGTCGTGAACACGGAGTGGCTCGGCGATTCTCAAATCCCGTCCTAGCTGCGGGGAAGATGTTGTGCGGGGACGACTAAATGGGGAAGGCCTAGGATTTGGCCATTTAAATGAGAATGGCATCATAGAGATTTACAGATCTATGGCTGGCGTCCCACGCCGCCATCGCCCACGCTACGATCTCCCATGCTTTAGCGCCTGTAATTTCATAATGCCATTATAGATGTAATCTACGACAAATATATAGTTTTAAAGATTATTAGAATGATTTAGGGTTCAAATCCAACGAGTGGGCAAGGAGCCTGACGATAACACTGGGAAAAGCTGCCATTCCAGGGCCAAAATGCCACCGTATCCCATCCTCTTTCCCCAACACTATATGTTGAGCACATATTTGGAGCTTGACGACTTGATTGAGTAACTAAGGGTGCAAAGCCCTATATATACCGGGTAGTAGTATACAATCTACGCTGTACAGCGTACTACTAGGAACGCAGTTCCAACACTATAAAAATAGTTAGTTAGTCACGTGTACGCAAATGACCTCGACTGCTGTTGAGTAAATTTTTCTTCTCCCTTCGAGGCCTCTAGCCGTAAGGGCAGAGTTTTTCTGTGGTTCTACCTGTGGTCGCTTACTGTAGCCCCTGTATATTATAACAACTGCTTCCTTGAACCATGAGCGGGCAGGCGGATCTACACAAACGTCAAGCACGAAAACGGTACCGCAGTGAGTTCCTTGCCAGCGGGGTCCTGTTTGCCGATGGATGAAGAGCGCAGTCCTCTATTTGGCACTACCGCCCATGCTGAAAGCGTTGTGCCAGACGGTACCACAGGAGACGAAAGAAGGGACAGCCAGGTGCCAGCGAGAGTTACTAGCCGGCTGTACATATCCCATTTCCTATCAACATGGAATTCTCGAGTCTTCGAGTTTGGGGCTGCGCTATATCTAGCCTCTATCTTTCCCGGAACCCTGCTACCCATGTCGGTCTATGCCCTGGCTCGTGGCGCGGCGGCCATTCTCTTTTCCCCAGCCATTGGACAGTATATTGATACGGGAAATCGTCTTCAAGTCGTGAGGTTATCAATTGGTAAGGTGTATCCCTGATTTTTGTGCTGCATTACGCTAATTGCTTTATGATTTTGCCTGAGATAGTGATGCAGCGTCTCGTTGTAGCTGGATCGTGCGTTGCGTTCTATATCCTTGCTATCGGTTCACCGCGTACCCACGGCGCGGAAACAGGTCTGTTGGTGCTCCTAGCCGTCCTAGCCTGTGTTGAGAAACTCTGCGCCATTATGAACCTGGTGTCCGTTGAGAGGGACTGGGTAAGAGGACATTCTCTAGTCGTGATGAAAGGGTGCTGATCTTCCCGGACAGGTCGTTGTTGTCGCTCGGGATCAAGCGGCATTACGAGGTTAGTTGGTAAATGCCGTCTTGTTTTATTTAGCTAACCACTAGGATAGTGATAAATGCACAGATAAGGCGAATCGACTTGACTTGTAAACTTATAGGCCCCCTGTTCATAGCTCTTATAAATGGCATGTCGACAGAAGCGGCAATATTGGTTAATTTAGGAATGAATGTGGCGTCAGTCGCTGTAGAATACTTTGTAATAGCCCAGGTAAGTCCTAAACGGCTATATTCTCCTTATTGGCCATTATACTGAAGCTGCCATTCGAAGGTCTATTACGAGGTTCCAGAACTACAACAACCTAAGACAAAACCGCGAGACGAATCGCTCGGCAGAACAGAACGTAGGGGTCGCTTTGTACACAGCTGGCGGAACGTCCGCAAGGTTATACAGAAGAGTGTATATGATTTTAGTCTCTACTTCTACCATCCAGCTTTCTTACCGTCATTCGCCAGTGCTTTATTATACCTAACCGTGCTCTCGTTCGCAGGGCAGATGGTCACATATTTGCTCTCAGCCGGTTACAATTCTACCCAGGTAGGCGTAGCCAGGACGCTGTCTGTGGTCATTGAGGTTCTGGCTACGTGGATGGCACCTTGGCTGATGGGGAGAATCGGGCCTGTACGTGCTGGCCTCTGGCTGGTTAATTGGCAGATAGTATGCTTGATGGCTGGCACAGCGGTCTTCTGGGTGTTCTCCGACCAGCCTAACATCTCTGCTTCCGGCCTCGTGGTTGGCACAATCTTCAGCCGCATGGGTCTTAGAGGTTTCGATCTCTGTACACAGATCATTATCCAGGAGGTCAGTCATTCGCCAACCGCTTCCTATCCTGCCCTGTTGTATCAAGTCGCCCAAGCTGATCAATCCATATTGCATGTAGGACGTCGAAGCTGCTCATCGGGGATCCTTTTCTTCCGTTGAAGCTTCTTGGCAAAATGTGTTTGAGCTCTGCTCTTACGCCTCTACCATCATATTCTCGCGGCCAGAACAATTTAGGTGGCCAACGCTTCTCAGCGTCATCGCTATAGTGGCTGCAAGCATATTGTACACGATCTTTGTTTATTTACGTCGGGGTCATCTGGTGCATTTATCGAAGTGGATGGAGATGGTGCGTTCTCAGAAGGGGAAGCAGCGTTCAAGGGAGCAGGGACTCCGAAGGATCGCATCGAGTAGTGATATCTAGATCGATATGTAAAACTTTTAGACCGTCAAGTCCACGAACCACACATTGCACATTATGTTAGCGAGTAGTAATGTTAAATCGGAGCTGAGAGGATCTATTCTTTGAAGAACGAAAGGGCCTTGCAAAATTCTTATCTAAGAATACAATTCATACCCTTAGAATTGTAGCAGCCAAGCATCACCAATCCGATTGTTCTCCTCTCCCAAACCACCAGACACCAAAATTGCAGACTGGTCTACTACGTCTGCATCAAACCACCCTCTTGGAGTAGGTCTGTTGGATGTGTTGGTAGCTTTAGTATCGACCTCAGACCAAGTCTTCGAGGCAATATCATATGCCCAGACGTCTCCGAGCATTTTACCCGCACCCTGATGCCCCAGCGAACTAGGATCAGTTTCGCCAAATAGCGTCACAAGAAGAGGCTTTCCATGTGCGACGACGACAAGGACTGCAGCTACGCTTCTTGGAGTAGGCCCCGAGATGCCGTCTGCAGTATATTGCTGCGTAGACCAAGTATTGCTTGCTTGGTCATAGATGTCAAGGTTACCGCCCTGCTCCGATTTTCCGTCGAATCCATTCATCCTATACAACAAACCGTTATGAAATGCAATGGAAGTTCCGCCCCGAGGAGGGCTAGGGGCATCGGCAAGCTGAGTCCATGTACGGCTTGATGGCTGGAAAGACCACAAATCTGCGAGGCGTCCGGATTCTGGGCAACCGGCATGGACGAAAATCATGTCATTGTTGTTGCTTGTGGAGCAGTGGTAGCTGCGGGCTGGTGGCAACGGCTTTGAGGAGTCCGATGGCGAAAGGGATGTCCATTGCATGGCCGAGGGGTCTAGCGTCCATACTGCACCATGCTCCTCAACTGGAGCCATGGCTTCCCCACCGCGCCCTGAGAATAGATATATCTTTCCATCAAGAGTAGCAGAAGCCGTTCCAACGCGGGAAGATGGTGAAGCGGAAGTGCCCTTTGTCTCCTCTATAGGCTGGGCAGCTATCATAGTATGTGGTCAGTCTATGCTTATAGATAGATCTCACAGCAAGATGAAGCACAGCATACCATTAGATTTCGAGTCTATCCTGTAGACGTGGTTATCACGTGGCTGGCGAGGCAAAAGCTCTCCTCCGAATATATACGCACTTCCGTTCACGACAGACAGTATGTGTGAGGAGCGCTGCAATTCGTTGGAAGCGGGCAAGCTGGTCCAAGAGGCTGAAACCATGATGGCTAGAGATGATAAGGTTAATCCTGCCTTAATCGCTTGAATCGGTACAGTACATAAAATACAAGTAACGTAGGTCGTGGTGTAATGGTGTTGGAGGGATTCAACGGGATCAATTCGACTGCCTATTCTACGGTCAGGATAAGCCCCAATTTATACTGTATTCTCGGGTAATTACGTGGCAATCCCATGGTAGGTTCGGGCTGTGGTATCATTTCCATTTATCCCTACCTTACCGGCGTAGGCCCATTTTTTTACACTATTGTGGCAGACTTTGATAGGGTACCGAGCAAATGTTTTATGGGGCAGATGTGGTCGCTAAAGAAGTCCAGGATTAGTTGCCTAATACTGTACAATCTCTCCACACTGACATAATGCAGCACTATAATAGGTCTCTTAAGCGAGCTTAATGACCACCAAATTTTACCTATAAATGAAACTAATAATCGTCGTAACCAACTTTTCGCTTCGCTCAAGGTTGGAGGAAGCGATCCGCGCGCACGAGAAATGGAGGGGAAGCGAAGTGCGCGCACGAGAAAAATTGTAGTCCTAAGTACCTCCCTATAGTAAATTGTATGTAAAGGTACAAAATTTCCCCATTTTAAAAAATTATCATTTCCTCATTCCCATGATCACTCCCATTCCCGCTCCCATTTCCACTCCCATTCTCATATTCGCCCTCACTTTCGAGGGTTTCTGGATCAGGAATTGGGACCTCTAATTCCGGAGGAATTGGGAGGCCTAATCCCTGAAGAGTAGCCAGGCTCTTCTTCCGGAAACGCTCTTCTTTCCGGGCCTTAATTCCAGCCTGGTGGAGCTGCTTCTGGGCCTGGTTTCTAGCCTGGCGAGCCTCCCGGGCTTCTTTGGCTGCGAGCTTCTGGGCCCGAAGCTCGGCTTTCTGGGCCCGAAGCTCGTGGGCTTCAGCAGCTACGAGCTCACCTCCGTTCTGAAGCCAGGCCCGGCTTCGGCTCGCCCGCTTCTTCGACTCCTCCACCTGCCGCCGAGCCACCCGTAGGTCAAGTCTTGGAGCCGGCCTACCGCCATAACCTCTTCAGCCCCAGTAAGCCAGTTCGTATAGCTCATACGTGAGGGGCTACTAAAGGCCTCCGGAACCTGGTCTTTCCAGCGCTGTAGCCCCTCTTCAACCCCCCGAAAAGTGGAGGGTTTAGGGGTAATAGGCCGTATTGGTAAGGTAGGCGTAGGCTCTTCTGTAGGCTGGGTAGTAGGCTGCGAGTATGTACGTAGCTTCGTGAGGGCTGTATTACAGCTTATTGGCCAGATTCCAGCTTTCCGGAAAGCTGAGAGTATTGTAGACTCCTTAAAAGTCTGTTCCCGGATTTTGGTGAGATCTCTCATAAATGAGGGTAGGTCGTATGTAACGTCCATATTCCGTATGGCATAGAGCACAGCCTCTCGGTGCCAGTGCTTATATGGCTGGAATATTCCCACATCTAATGGCTGTAAAATGTGTGTAAGGTGTGAGGGAAAGGCGAAAACGATGATGTTATATTTGTCTGCTGTAATGATGAAATCATCGCTCGTATGGCTTATATGAGAATCAAGGAGTAGAACCCTGGGATTCCCATTTGCATATGGAGCTGTATGCACTGCAAAGTGCTCTAGCCACCGTAAGGCAAGCTGGCTATTCGAATAGCCAGTATCGGAGAGTAATATCAGTTCTTTGCCTTTAAGATTTTCTGGGTACCAAGAATCCATATGGATTTTACCCGGTACAATAAGTACAGGTGGAATTACTCTTCCTGTTGCAGATACTGTCTCCATAACTGTAATAGACGTACGATTCTCAGGGCTTGGAGTATAGAGTTCTTTTACTGCCTGTGGTACCATAACTCTCTCACCTCCAGGAATTCCAATCCTAAATCCCGTTTCATCCATATTCCAAATTGACTCCGGTAATATATTGCGATCCCATATAAATTGGAAGTATTTTTCAAACCATTCAATAATCTTAGATTCGTCTTGGGCTTTCGTACGCTGCTGTGCAATAGGCTTTGTAGTGATAAAATGGAATTCCGGAAGCTGATTCTGAATATATTTAGTAAGCCAGCTCTGTGACGGTGGAGGTAATGGGCTCCGGAGCTGGCAGACTGCAGTAAATAGCATATTCCTATTGGCTCCAAGCCCTAGGTAATATTGCTCGAGGATCCATTTCTTAAGGGCCTCTGCCTGAGCAGTAGAGAGTACCCTATTCTGCCCCCCTTTACGTTGCTGTGGGTTCTGAATACGGCGCTTGATGCTTCCTCGTAGAGTTGATTCTGGGACCTTGAAAATACGACTAGCAACACGCCTCGACTCAGAAGGATTTTCTGCGAGCCACTCACGGGCATTTGATATAGGAGTCCCTTCCATTAAATGAATTACATCAGGTTACAATATAAATTACTATGTACAGCTATGGAAATGGTTTTGTTGAAGAGTAGCGGTGAACAGACGCACGTTTCTCGTGCGCGTACTTCGCTTCCCCTCCATTTCTCGTGCGCGCGGATCGCTTCCTCCAACCTTGAGCGAAGCGAAAAGTTGGTTACGACGATTAATAGAAACCTCAGGAAAATAGTTTCAAAATAGTTTCAAAATAGATATGTCATAATAACGAATGATGATATATAATAAAGCAATTTAGCAACTAAATTACTATTGCACTTTTAGCTTGTGACAGTAACTAGGGCCCCTGCCGCTCTATTCCTAAATTAGCAGTAGGCTCTCTAGGCTAAGAAATTGCCATATATGGCAATATCTAATTGAAGGCGCCTATACCCCGCCATTACCACTATGCCCATCAACACTGACAGTCAGCAGGGCTAACGAATGGTAGATTCACCACCTGCTGCCCTTAATGAGGCACTTAGAAGCCCTTTGTCATACTGACATTCGTTGCACTCAGTTTGCTATCAAACTCAAGAGCAAACTTAGAAATCTCCTCCTCAAACCTACAAGTCACTATACATATTTTGGCTTATCACACCAACAACAAGAGCAATACTACTCAATGATTGCTACAACCCTCTATGATTCATTACACGTCATTGCTCCTTAGTTACTGGGCCGATATGACCACATAGCATATCTCTACAACCCTCTATGATTCATTACATGTCATCACTCCTTAGTTACTGGGCTAATACTACCACATGACATATCTCTACCAACTAGAGGCCTAGGAACATGAACGATAGCTCCAAAAGCTTCTACAACCCTCTATGATTCATTACACATCATCGCTCCTTATTTACCCACAAGATTGGTTAAGTTATGACATAATCTGTCTATAGGGGTACTTTGACCTTGGACCTCCTTTCACTTCCTATAGGCTAGGAACCTAAGAGATGGTTCTATGAGATTCTCTTATGTCGACTACAGTTACCAAGCCTGGTTAGTCATGGAAAGTCTTGGAAAATGAGAGAACTACACTCCTTTAGCATAAATAGGATTGCCCTTTCCTTAAGAAAGGGCAAGCAGCAATACAGTAAATCGACTATCACATACTTCCACGTCTTTTCCAAGCTTCCAAGCATTTGGGCATGTGGGGCTAGAGTAGGCACCTTAGCATTAGGTACGCCTTACCAAATATGTTACTGTTACACGCTAAAAGTGTGACAGTAACAGTTGCTAAATTGCTCTAATATATAAGATAAATAAATGTAAAAGAATCTATGATTCGTTACCTCCATAGGTGCATCTGGCAAAACGCACTGTCCGAGGCTAATCGTAGAGTCTACCATTAGCCTAGCAAGGCTTTGGAGATGGCGAACTCTAATGATCGGGGAGTTTGAATGATGGAGAATCATGGATCATCTATGCACCCTACACCCATTCATCCTTTTCTAGGTGGGTCGCATGTTGAACAAGTCGAGTCGGCTGAAGACAAAGCGTTTGTCCATTACAATCGCGCTGATAGCTTCATCTGACGGTTCACGTCCTTGTAGAGCAGGTAGCGGAATTTCCCAGGGCCACCGGCGTAACAGGCCTGCGGGCAAAAGGCGCGCAACCACATGAAGTCGCCAGCTTCCACCTCCACCCAGTCCTGATTGAGCCTATACACAGCTTTCCCCTCTAGCACGTAAAGCCCGTGCTCCATGACATGGGTTTCTGCGAATGGGATGACTCCCCCGGGCTCAAAGGTGACAATGGTAACATGCATGTCGTGGCGCAGATCGTTCGGGTCGACAAATCGTGTGGTTGCCCAAGCATTGTTCGTGTTTGGCATATATGTAGGTGGAACATCCTTTTCGTTAAGGAAAAGCGGCGTAGGTTGGTCGATTCCCTCCACAGATTCGTAGGCCTTACGTATCCAATGGAAAGAGGCGGTGGTTGCACCGGTGTTGCGTAGGGACCAGCCGCTCTTCGGTGGTAGGTAGGCATAGCCGCCCTCGGAAAGCGTGTGTTTCTCTGATCCTAGGGTGATCGTCACCTCCCCCTTGACGACAAACACCACCCCTTGCGCGCTGTCATCCGTTTCACCGCGGTCGCTGCCGCCCCCAGGTTGCACTTCCATGATGTATTGCGAAAATGTTTCGGCGAAGCCCGATAACGGACGGGCAATCACCCACAACCTCGTCTTATCCCAGAACGGCAAGAAACTCGTCACGATGTCGCTAAATGTGCCCTTTGGAATTACCGCATAGGCTTCGGTGAACATAGCACGGTCGGTGAGGATCTGTGTCTGTGGCGGCAACCCGCCCTTAGGCGCATAATAGGCACCGAGCTTCTTGTTGTTACCCATGGTAGAGAGGGTTCTTTTCAGATGTGGTATGTGAGTCGTATAGTAAAGTAGTTAAAGGGAATGATCTTAAGAGAGCAATATAGTAACAATTGGAGAATTAAGAGTGCAAAGTGCTCTCCCCGCACATTTAAATGCGCCGGCTTATCGGAAGTTTCCTAGCGTTAATCGAGTTGTATTCGGCAGGGGGCCACTCCGAAAGATTGATAGAACCCCGCCACTGCTCGACGAAATAAAGTAAATAAAATAAATAACACAAATGAGTAATTGGACCATCAAAAATATATATACCGAGCCTTCATGCAAGGAAGCACGTAGCTTGAGCATGCCTAGACGGTTGATGAAAGAAATATTGCTAATGGGACATCAACAAGGCAAGACGATCCAGGCTCGCTCAGTCTTGCCGCAAGGCTTGTTTAGTCACTCGTTCTCATAATAGGGAAGGCTATATAAGCTTAATTAGTTCAAGCTAGAAGGATAGCTCATGTCTTATAAAAAATATCCCAAGAGACGACATGAGAAGGAACGATATGAGAAGGAACGTAAACAAAACAAACATACTTTGGGCAACGTGGCGGCCCCAGGAACGGATTTAACGTTAATTCCTTATCTCCTCTTTTCTCTCATATTTACCCTCCAGTCATCCTCCAGCTCTCCAACAGGAAAGATCTCAGGTAAGATCCGACCCGACCCTACGGACTTACGACCTACATACGTACATACCCCAGCCTCGTCGCCTGCATCTGCCTACAAGTACCTTTTATAGCCTCGTCGTCTGCATTTTATATATAGTCCCTCCCCCAAATTCTCATATTCACCTCCACCTCCACCTCCCCCCATGCGTCGTCTCCTCCGCACCCTCTTCCACCTCCGCCGCCCAACCCCCGCAACAATGACAGCAGCATCCTCCGGTACCCTCGCCGGCGTCGCCTTAGCCACCTACACCGTCTCCGCCTCCGTCCCCATCCAAGCCGCCGACGCGCCCACCGACGCGAAGAACAAAACCCACCACAACAAGAGCGGCAACGGCTTCATAAACCCCTGGGAGAGCTGGAAGCCTCTTGCCCCCCTCCAAATAGTCTCTAACATCCTCTGGTACGCGCCCCTCTTACAGCTTAACACACAGTCTCACTAACCCCCGCCAGGCGCCGCATCTCCGGCATAGCCAACAACCCCGTCCTCACGTCCCCCCTCACCGTGCAAACCCCCACCTTCCTCCCCTCCCGCACTGCCTCCACCGCTCTCCGCGCAACCTGGCTCGGCCACGCATGCATGTACCTCGAGTTCCCCTCCGGGCTCCGCGTCCTCCTCGACCCCGTCTTCGAGGAGCGCTGCTCCCCCGCCGGCTTCCCCGGTCCAAAACGGTACACGCCCACCCCCTGCGGCCTGGGCGACCTTCCGGTCGTCGACATCGTCGTGATCAGCCACTCGCACTACGACCACCTTTCGTACCCCTCCGTGATGGAGCTCGCGAAGCTACATCCCAAGGCGCTGTTCGCGGTGCCGCTAGGCTTGGAATCGTGGTTTAGGGATGCGGGGATCCAGAGCGTGGTTGAGATGGATTGGTGGCAGGAAATCGATATCACCCTCTCGCCTAACGCTGCGGAAGGGGTGAAGTGGGAAGTCACCGCTGCTGCTGCTGCGGGCACCCCGGCGGCGCAGAGTCCAGGGGGTCCGATCACAGCGCGCATCTCGTGTCTACCGTGCCAGCATACGAGCGCGCGCACGCCGTTTGATCAGGCGCGCACGCTGTGGGCGTCGTGGGCGATTAAGTCGGGTGGGAAGTCTGTGTGGTTCGGTGGGGACACTGGGTACCGTACAGTCCCCATGCTTCTCCCCACCGTGGACGACTATAGCGCGCCGTACGCGGATCTGCCGCGTTGTCCTGCATTTAAGGATATTGGGAAGCTGAGGGGACCGTTTGATTTGGGGCTGATTCCGATTGGGGCATATGACCCGAGGTATTTGTTTAGTAGTATGCATGCGGATCCGGCGGATGCGGTTGAGATTATGAAGGATACGGGGTGTAAGAGGGCGTTGGGGGTGCATTGGGGGACGTGGGTGTTGACGGAGGAGGATGGGGGGGCGCCGCCGAAGAGGTTGAAGGAGGTGTTGAGGGGGAAGGGAATGCCGGAGGTGGGGGTGTTCGATATTTCGGATGTTGGGGAGAGTAAGGAGTATTGAGGGCTGGAGGAAGGGGGTGTATGTAGATGGTGTATTTTGTGAGAGAGGTGCTCAGTACGGATATCCAATATGTACGGGTCTTAGATATGATGTTACATTTCCTCTCCATTTTATCTATCATCCCTTTGCCCTGCAAGTGGTATATCCGTCACTATGTCATGAAAACGAATCTATGTATCAAAGCCCACCACTAACCTACAATTTCGCCATCGCCCCCTTCCTCTCCTCATTCTTCTTAACCCTCTCCTTCATCCTCCCCATCGTAACCTCCCACCCCTCATCCAACCCCTTAACATCCACCCCCCTCTCCTCCAAATTCTTAAACCCCACCACCGTCCCCCCCACCCCCACACTCCCCGGCGCCTCAACTACCATCTTCATCCACCACGCCCACTCCCTAATACACTTCCTCGCCCCCGCACTCCCCTCCACCACCATCGCAAAACAATGCGGCATAGCCTCAAACTCCAAATACCTCACCCTCACCCCCGCCCCCGCCATCCGACCCGCCACCGCCCTATCCTCATCACTCAACAACTCCCACCCCGTCACCATCCACACCGGCGGCGCCCCCGTCCACAGCTCCCCCTTCGCAGCCAACGGCGACACAAGCGGATGCAACAGCAGCGCATCATCAACATGAAGCGCCGTCCGTGCGGGTGTAACGGGCCACATCGCATCCGGTGCGTATTCCATCCCATTCTCGTACGCGGTGCGACCAGGGAGATAGTCAAAATGCGCGTAATCTGCACAACTGGGCGACGACCCCGTGATATCCATCCACGGACTCACCAGCGCCGTCCCCGCCGGCAGCGGAACAGTGCGAGGGAGACCCCCCCAGAGCACAGTGCGCGACTGGCGCTGCAAGGTGAGTAGCAGGATGAGGAGCGAGGTGGCGAGGTTTCCGCCCGCGGAGTCGCCAGAGAGGACGATGTGCTCTGGCGCGACGGCGGTGTGGAGGGCGCCGGGGGGTGGGTAGAGGAGGGTGAGGTAGGCGACTAGGGCGTCGATTAGGGGCGCGGGAAAAGGGTGTTGGGGCGCAAGACGGTAGCGAATGGAGAGGACGCGGCCGGTTGTGTGTTTGGCGAGGCGGGCGGTGGTGGGGCGGTGCGTGGCGGGGTCCATAAGATAGTATGCGCCGCCGTGGAGGTAGAGGATTGTGGTTGGGGAGACGACTTCTTTCATCATGGCGGCGTACTTGTCGGCGTCTGAAGCGTCGAGGGGAGGAGTGGAGGAGGTCGCACCGGCGCGGTACCCTGTCCATTCTGCGGTTATCTCGGCCAGTTCGGGGGCGCTGTAGAGGTCGCCCTGGGGGGCGCCGGCGAGGTGGTCGATGGCGCCGAAGATGGCTTGGCGGACGTCGTCGTCGTCGGGGGTGAAGGGGAGGGAGACATTGGCGATCCAGACCTTGCCTTTTACGCCGGGGTCGCGGAGGGAGAGGTGCTGGGATTTTCCGACGGAGGTGGGCTCGGGGGTGAAGACGAAGGAGCGGATGACGTTGATGGTGACTGCGGTGCGGAGGTCCCAGTATTTCGACGTCTCAGACAGGCCGAGAGAGTGCATCAGGGCCGTCTTGCCTATCATTGGGACCTTGGGCGCCAGGGCCTTGATGATGGGAAGCGGTTGCGACCAATCCATTGCGGCGGCGGGGCGATTGCGCGGCGCGTCGATGGGTGGGTGTTGAGGGGAGAGAGGGTTTGGGGAACCGCCAACTTGAGTTCGGAGAGTGATATCGTCGATGATGCTGTTTCTTCGAGGGAATCTGGGGCTCGAGGCCCTTTTGTTCCCTGCCCGCCCTGGGGCGTGGGTAGCACCACCCACGCCGGATCCGCCATGGTAAGGTTCTCCCCGCCAAATTCCTGGGCAGCGACAAGGTCCAAAGGCCATCATGGAGACCCACAGCCCGTGGCGCCGAGGTAAGTCGGGATGCGCCACACGCGATCGCCGCGTTTTAGTGCTGAGTAAGTGATGTAGGGGTTTAGAGCCGATCATTCGAAACCGTCGTATTTGGAGAAACTCCTTGAGAAACTCCTTGATAATTGGTAATATAGCATGTGTATATTGGAAGGGGCCTTGCTTTACTCTTGTGTTTCGAGTCAAAGTTGCATAAAACATATGTTTGAACACCCTATAACACGTACTATATTACATGTGATTTCACCCAATTTCAAATAGCAAAGTTCACATAGCCGCAGCCTACAACCCCACCACCAACTAACTTTCGAACAAACATTGGCCATCCTATAGATCATATAAATACAACAAACAAGTAGCTCTCACATTATCCCCAGCGCCGTCCCATGCAAACCACTTCCTTCCTCTCCGCTTCACTTCGTGATATTACAACCAACCCCCCTAAGCCTGTGTCTCCTCCTGCGCATCAGACGCGCCCGCAGCTGGCGAGCTCGAAGAAGCCGCCGGTGCAGCAGCAGCAGCCTTATTGGCCGCCGCCATCTGCCACGCTGGAATCGGTGCGCGCCCAGTTGGCACACCTGCGCTGTATGGGGTGCTAGACCCGCGACCAGACAGGGACGCGGTAGACTCAGTGCCTTTGCCATTGCTGACCGAGGCCGGCTTTGGGCCTCCCTCAGACGCAGGCGCAGCCGGGGAGGACATGCCATTGGACTGCGATACGGAAGGGGCGGGGGTGGTGTTGGAAGGGGTAGTAGTAGCGCGGGCGGATGGGCCGACGCCGAAGGTCGAGGGTGTAGGCGAGGCGGGGGCCATGCGTTGACCCATTAGCTTCTTGAGACTTTTGAGCTCGGCGTTGAGCTCGATGAGGCGGGCATCGGTGCTCTCCTTCTGGCCGTCCATTGCCTTGGGGATGAGGTCCTTGAGGGCGCGGACTTCGTCGGTGGTGCGGCGGGACTCGTCGTCGCGGCGGCGGGCGGAGGTCTTGAGCTCACTAATGGCCGACTCGACATCTGCTAGGGCGGCATCGAGGCGCGTGGTGCGCTCTTCTTCGGCGGATTTGAGGGCGTCGGTGTCTTTAGAAAGTTGTTCGAGGAGAGTGAAGGCTTGCTCGAACGAGGCGTCGATCGAGGCCTTATCTTGCTCGAGTTGGGGGGGAGTAGGAGGGGCAATCAGCGGGAGGACGTAGCGCTGTGGTTGTTAATGGCCTGCGTTGTTTGGGGATATTGGGAAGAATTACCTTAGCCACGGTGTATAACCCGTATCCGACACCACCCGCGACTGTGGCCATGATGAACCAGTCCCTCCAGTCTCTCTTCGGCAGCTCCGGCGGCGCTTGTGGCTGCCATGGCTGCTGGTAACCCCCTCCATAGCCAGGAGGTGGCTGCCTAGCTACTTGCTGTTGGGGTGCATAGTTTGCATATGATGGCGCCGCTGCTTGGTTGCCGTCTGCTCGCGCGAGCGCAGCATCCACCTCTTCTTGGGTGAGGTTCTTCGATTGAAGGAACGCAATGCGGCTCTCCACCGGGGATGCGGCAACGCTTGGATCCTGAAGGACTGGGAGAACTGTCAGTGTGTGCGCTCTGGGGATGGAGGTTGATTCTCTCACATGTCACCTAGATGGGCGTTAGCAGGGGCAAACACAGCGGCTCATCGAGCGATGATGGGAGGGGAGAGAGTAACTTACAGCCGATGCGACGATATCCTCTCTAATAGCCATAGTGACTACTTGTTCACCACAACTTCGCTGCTCCTTTGCGACACGTCTTGGGTTGAGGGTTTGAGGGGATCGAAGTGTGTGGAAGGAGTGGACATCGCCAAAGTTATCTGGGGAAGTTGGCGTCACTGACGGGCCGAGGCTCACGCTCTGGGATGACTAACCACGTGACTTAGTACCGAATACTGATGGAACTCCAAAGACAACAAGTGGTCAATTTAAATGATATTTATTAGAACAATTTCATATAATTATATCCTCCGGAAGTTTTCCGATGCAATCCGAACTTATTGCGTGGTGGTTGAAATTGGCCAATCAGAAGCCTCCATTTTGGGGTTTGTTTACATGACATCTCGTCTCGCGGACAACAAGACTTCGATATCGCATCACAACCCAAGAACCACATCGTTTTCACCACAACAGCGAGAACACCGCGCACCAGGCATTATAAGCCTTATCGGTTACAAAAACATATACCAACCCCATCCGCGACCACGAATACCCACAAATGTCGCAAGACACCGGCATATTCAGCGTGCGCCGGCCCCGAGAAGTAAGTAAACAAACCCCTCCTGGCCATGTTCTCCCCCCTCCTTCCCCCATCACCAAAAAATAAACAAATCGCTGACTTTGCGTGCAAAACTCAGACCCTCGGTGGCATTAACTACAACTCCAACATTCCCCAGCCCGCCTCCGCCATGAAGCGCTCCAACTCCATCTCCGGCCCCGGCGGCTTCACCGCCAACCAGTCCCGCTCCATCTCCGGCTCTCGCGCCTCCCTCGCCCCCTCGCGCCCAAACCAGCCGCAATTCCAGCGCTCCTCCTCCGGCACCAACCTCGCCGATATGGGCCTGTCGTCCGTGAAGCGGACTTCGTTCCAGAACGCCAGCAGCGGGGGACGGAAGAGCTTCGCGCCGGGCGGCATCGCGACGGGGTCGAGGCCGTCGCAGGAGGCGAATGAGAGGCGCAGCAGCATTTACAGGTCGCGCGCCTCGAGCAGTGGGCCGGGCGGCGCGCATCAGAGTTTCTTCCAGCAGGCGCCGGCGCCGGCGGGGGCGCCGAGGGATCCGCGGCCATTGAAGGATCGGGCGTACCAGACGAAGATTGGACAGGAGTTGTTGGATTATATGGCGAATTATAATTTTGAGATGGAGATGAAGCATATGCTTTCGCAGAACACGATTCGGTCGCCGACGCAGAAGGATTTCAACTTTATGTTTCAGTGGCTGTATCATCGGATTGATCCGAGCTATAGGTTCTTGAAGAATATTGATCAGGAGGTCCCGCCGATCATGAAGCAGTTGAGGTATCCGTTTGAGAAGAGCATTACGAAGAGTCAGATTGCGGCGGTGGGGGGGCAGAATTGGAGTACTTTTCTCGGATTGCTGCATTGGATGATGCAGTTGGCGCAGATGCTGGATGGGTATGCCGCTAACCACTACGACGATGCGTGTCTTGAGGCAGGTGTCGACGTTAGCGGTGACCGTATCATATTTGATTTCCTGCGCGGCGCTTACTTGGAGTGGCTTCAGATGGACGAAGATGCCGATGACGACGACCAGGAGCGCGTCTTGGCGCCTCACGTCGAGAACATGGCCCACCAGTTCGAGAACGCCAACTCCAAGTACCTCGAAGAGATGAAGATCCTCGAAGCCGAGAACGAGCATCTCCGCCTCGAGATAGAGGAGGTGGAGAAGTCGACGCCCGACATCAACAGCCTCGACAACCACTTCAAGATCCTGCAGGAGGACAGAGTCAAGTTCGAGGGCTACGACGAGAAGATGGCACAGAAGTGCGAGAGGTACGAGACGCGCATCCAGTTCCTGCAAGACGAGATCAAGAAGGCCATGACGGAGCTCAACGACGCCGAGGAGGAGCGCATGAACCTCCAAAAGTCCGTCGATGACCAGGGAATCAGCATGCAAGACATCGACCGCATGACTTCGGAGCGCGAGCGCCTCCAGAAGGGCATCGAGGGTACGGCATCGCGGCTAGAGGATGCAAAGAAGAGGGTCAACGAGAAGGAGTTCGAAGCCAGCCGGAAACTCGACGAACTCGAGCGCCTGGTGGAAAATTACAACAGCCTGGGTTACCAAATCGGCCTCATCCCCTCTACAGCCCCCAACGCAAAGGGCAAGAACTACGAACTGCAGATCCTCGTCAACGAAGGCCAGCAGTTCTCCAGCTCGCAGATGGGCAACAGCGCTGGTTCCGAAAGCGACCGACTCCTTGCCGACCCCGTCAGCGGCTACCAGCCGCACCAGATCCTCAGCCTTGACCTGCGCGGACAGGCGCGCGGGGCCTTCCTGGCGCTCAAGAAGGAGGTGTCTGACCGGCGCAGCGCGGTGGTGGAGGCGATGATGAAGAACCACGATCTGCTGGACGGGATCAAGGAGGCGATTGAGGATAAGCGCAGCGAGGTGGAGGCGCTGGAGCACCGGGTGCGGGCGGCGCAGGAGGAGTTTGAGAAGACGAAGGAGGTGACGACGACGCAGAAGATTGCGTCGGATACGCAGATTGAGAAGATGGAGAAGGAGTTGGCGAAGATGAGGGGGGGGTTGACGGAGTCGGTGCAGTTGATGGAGCAGAGGGAGATGAATACTAATATTGAGTATGTGCTACACTGTTCTGCCCTTGTGGATTTTTAGGGGAGATGCTAATGGAGGTGTTTTTAGGTATGAACAGCTTACTCTCCGCGCGAACGCACTCAGGGAGGAACTGCACACAGAGGTTGAGCGTATGCTCAATGATATCATCAAGTTCAAGGTGCACGTGCAGAAGAACCTCGAGGACTACGAGGGGTTCGTGGTGGAGGAGGTGGAGCACGAGCTCGGGGGCGCGGAGGAGGAAGGTGATGATACCCGTACGGTTGATATGAGCTGAGAGATAGGGAGAGGAAGAGGAAGGAGACAGACGGGGAGTATGATATCCGAGAGGTTCGTCAGGAGTTGAGGAGAGTTTTTTTCTTCTAAGGGTAGCCCGGAAACGGGGATGGAAGGGGTCTTGTTTGCGGAGGGCAGCACATTCCAAGTAGCTGGTCGGCGTTCTTTGTTAGTTGTAAATGATGATGTATGGGGGGTAGGGGTGGGGGGTATAAATGCATGATTATTGAAAGACTGGAAACTTGACAGGTGTTCCCTGGCGCGAAGCCAATCTTTGACGTTGTTTCATGACTGTCCATTCCAACTGTCAACAATAGCCGCCCAAGGCTATTCATTCCAACAGCCAATCTCCCTTCTTGATGCATGCAGGAACTATTGAAAAAAGAAACGAAATAAATATTCCGCAGTGTGTGACGGCGATGTCTCGGCCGCGGGCTAAAATGGGGGACTGGAGGGGGACTTTACCCTGAGCGTTCCAGCGTTCTTTAATCCCTATTTCATATTGCATATTGGTTTCATTGTTGATTTTATAGATACTCGACAGTACTGTATTCTACTGCATTATACATAGAAATACAATAAATAACAATAAATAACAATAAAATACTCGACCACTAAACTGATACTACCAAGGCCTTTGTTGTTGGCGCCGAATAATGTTGGTGGTACGTACTTCTCCAGTAAGACTTCGTCTCCACACTCCACCCTCGTCCAACCCTTCGACCTTTCAACTTTTCTTCCAACCTCCCACCTTCTTCTACCACAAGAGTACAAGAAGGCCCCTGTGGATCCCCATTTCAATCTAATCCTCTTCGATCTTATACTACCTTTGGCATCGATCTTCGTTTCCATCCATATAAGCTTGTTTCGCGCCGACGCGACCTACTCGACCTTGTCTTCTGTTGAGACAATTCACCCGCCAGCCTCGACAATATGACGGAGGTGTCCTCCACGAGGCTCTACTTGGGCAACCTCCCTCGCGATGGTACGAGCAAACATTCCCATCCCCCGCGACAAGAATTCCACTGCATGATCAGCAGCCTGCTTGCGCTATCGCTGGTCCTAACGATGCTGATCTTGCTATAGCCACCAAGGCTGACGTTGAGGCCCATTTCGCCACTCATGGCACCGGTACAATCAAGGAGATCAAGCTCATGAACGGCTTTGGATTCATCGAGTACGAGGATGCCATGGATGCCCGAGACGTAGTTCCTGGTAATTATCCCACCCCTCCTCTCCAGAAAGCCAAGCTAACACCCCCTCGAGCTTTCCGTACGTTATAACAATCGAAACAATCTACTCGGCAACCTCCTCCCCCACAACACACACCCCGAACACCAATTCTAACCCCCCCGCACAGATGGCTCCGAGCTCAAGGGCGACCGCCTGACCGTCCAGTTCGCCCGCGGATCGCGCCAGCGCGACAACTTCGCCGCCACCGACCGTACGGCCCCGCGCCCCAGACGCACCCCACACAGGATGCAGATTTCGGGACTCTCCGGCGAAACCAGTTGGCAGGTCTGTCCCCCCTCGTTCTTTGCTCCCGGATTCGTGGATCTCAGCTCTTGCTCTCGCTCTCTCTGGAACAAACAACCCGTGATGAAATGGGACACCCAGCTCGTGGTGTGAAAGCGCCCCTTCCGCGCAATCACACCTGGGCTTCATAAAACCCATCTTTCTCCTTCGATATGGCCATCTAGCCTCTTCGTGGAGATATAAATAAGGTGGCAACTCATCTTGCCGATCTGCACCAGACCGGTTTGACTGGGCCATAGCCTTAGCTGGCTCTGGACTTTCGGCACCCCACCTCCACCTTCCCCCCCGGCCCTCCAACCCAACCCTTCCTTGAGTTTCCTACTCTTCCATGGCCAGCACTTCCCCTACTACTGCGTGACAAGATTACCAGGGACAGGACCTGGATATCGCAACCTCGCCGATCGAGCTGGAGGCTGTCACGCATCGCCGAACCCAATCGGCGGCGCCTGGCACCACCTACTTATTGAAAACCCTGCCACTATCACTACCACTACTATACGATACCATCACAGTGCGTGGCAACTTTTAGTCCTGGAACATCAACTTACTTGGAATCGGGATATAGGACCTGAAGGACTTTGCGCGTCAGTCCAGCCTCGACGTCGTCTACTCCGAGACCGGCCGCGACCGTGACGGCAAGGGGTAAGCCACCCTCAGCCCCCCATTTCAAGCGCAACCCCCTAAGCTAACACCACCAGCAGCTTCGTCGAGTTTGAAACCGCAGCCGACCTCCGCACCGCTGTCGAAAAACTCGATGGCCGCGAATTCAAGGGTGCTCGCGTGACTTGCACCGCTGATGTCAGCCCCTCCCCCCCTACCACCGCACCACCAAGTCCACCCCCACTAACGCCCCCAGACCCAACCCGACATGCCCCGCGACCGCCTCCGCTCCCGCTCCCCCCCCGCCGCCCCTATCCCAGCGACGACTACGACCGTCGTCCCCGCGGCTACTCCCCCCGCCGCGACGGCTACCGCGACCGCTCTCCCCGTCGGGACTACTACGACGACCGCGGGCGCTACGGACGCTCGCCTCCGCGCGCTAGGGGACCGATGGACGATTATCCGCCGCCGCCTAGGAGGGGGCCGTATGATGACCCGTATAGGGGCGGGTATGCGCCGCCGGTGGATCCGTATATGAGGGGGGGGGAGTATGGGAGGCCGCCGGTTAGGGAGTTTGGGATGAGGGAGGCGGGGTATCCGAGGGAGTATGATAGGAGGTATTGATATGCTTGACCTGTTTGTCTGGGGTTGAGTGGGGTTGTTGGGTACCTGGGGTGAGGTGATACTGGATGAGGAATGAGGGATAGGGGATTAGGATGAAGGGCGTCGCTTTTCTTTGCTGCTATGATATGATACGTATATCCGAATGGATGGGTTCGGTGAATGGGTCGCTCGGTCGGTCGAGCTGGGAGGGACGGGGATGAAAACTTCACCTACAAAACGTCTTGTGGGCGGATTTGTTTTCTCCCTTTTTTATAAAAAACAGATTGAGCAGTTTTTTCTTGCGCTTAGCTAGCATGCATGGATTCTATGGCGGATATTGATTTCGGGGGGTTTTTATGGGATTCTCTTAACTCCGGCTCTTTGTATATGATTGTTTGTTGTTTTTGTCCTGATCTGTGTTCTTTGGTGCAATCAATGTGGGTGGTTGTCCTTGATGTTGGTCCTGGGGGGTGGTATAAGATGTATTTCTTGCGCAAACTGGAACCAAGACCTACCTCTGTGACAGAACCATAGCCGGGGAAACAAAAGTCCACGCAAAACAACACAACACACGGACCAAAAACAGTCTACACGCAGACCACAGGAAGCAACTTTTAGGCTAGGACGGTGGATAAAAATAGCCTTGAAATTGAAACCACAGCCTCTATTCGATCTTCGCTTGCAGCGAGGTGGGATGGGCATAGGCGGAGGGAGTGATGGGTCTTATTTTATCAGCCTTAATTTTTTACACGCTTTGTTTTCGTTTTCGTTTTCGTTTTCGTTTCTGCTTATGCATTTCTGACTTCTGATAGCAACGCACGTAGGCCAGATAGCTCCGTGGTTTTACTATACAGGCATATTTTTTGACCTTTTTTTATCTGAGCCTGTGAAGGTGGGTGATTGATGGTGAAATCACAAAGACGGAAAGATCTGGCACACAGGAAATGTAATACTCTTAATCCCATAGTGTTATCATTATAAGATTCTGGTTTTTTGTAGCTTCACAGACCACCCTCTCTACCACTCCCCCGTGCCCGTAAATGGTGCGGAGGGCAACGTCGAGTTATCTACAGTGCGTATCCCCCTCCCCATCCATCAAGCATGATCCTCATGACATCCATCAGCGTAAAAAACCCCTCATCTTCTGTCTAGTCTATCCATAATGCCAATTTTGCCACGCAAAAAAATGCCTCGTAAATGCCTGTGGTTGTGCAGCCAAAAACCTTTAACTACCCACTCACTCACCCACTCACCCACTAATAAGGAGTGCATGAGTGAGTGGAGTGCGAGAAGTTAGAGAGCCCTTCAAGCCTTGACAGAGTAGCTGCGACGGAACAACTCATCAACCTCCTCGAGGTAGTAAGTCCCAGCCACAACCGTCTCCGCGCTGCCCGCTGGCTTATACCCCTTCTGCAAATGCGCCTTCTTCCTCAAATCACAAAGCTCATCATAAACCTCCGGCTTAACAGTCCTCCTGGCGGCCAAGCGTGCCTTGAGATCGACAGCCTTAGCCAAGTCGCCAGTTGGTCCAGCAACGCGCAGACTGAGCAAGCTACTTGCTAACCCAGAGCCGTAGGAGAAAACTCCAATGCGCTTCCCCTGCAGATCCTCAGAGCTGACGTTAGAGAGCAGAGACACGAGACCGCCCCACACGGAACCGCAGTACATGTTCCCGCACATGGTGGGCACCTCGATGGAAGGCTGGACACGGGCGCCGAAGCGGGCCTTGGTGAGGCCCATGAAGGTCTTCTCGACGGTCTTGTCGGTGATGGAGGTCTTGTAGTCGATATCACGGAGAGTCTCCGGGACGTCAGCGAAGGCCGCGGCGGTGGGGTTGGTGAGGTAATCGTTGTAGAGCAGACGAGCGTAGGACTTTGCCACGAGCTTGCAGGTCGGGGCGTGGAAGGTCATGTAGTCGAAACGATCCAAAGGAGTCTTGCTGGCGTCCTCCTCAGAAGCGCCGTTAGCAAGCTTTTTGAGCGTGGCTTCGCGCGCGTTGTAGGCCTTGTAGCATGCGTCCACGGCCTCGGTGTAGCAGGAGATGGAGAAGTGGCCGTCGACGATGGGGTACTCGGAGGTGAGGTCCGGCTTGTAGAAGTCGTACGCGTGCTGCATGTAAGAGCCACGGAGCCCGGGCTCGACGACAACAGGAGCGTTGGGACCTATGAGCATGGCGACGGCGCCGGCGCCGCCGGTGGGGCGGGCGTTACCCTTGGCGTACAGCGCGATGTCACCGGCGACGACGATGGCGTCGCGGCCGTCCCAGCCGGAAGACTCGACCCAGGCGACGGAGTTGAGGAAGGCGTTGGTGCCGCCGTAGCAGGCGTTGATGGTGTCGACGCCCTCGATGTTGGAGTTGGTGCCGAAGAGCTGCATCAGGACCGACTTGACGGACTTGGACTTGTCGAGCATGGTCTCGGTGCCGACCTCGAGGCGGCCGATGGAGTTGGGGTCGATCTTGTATTTCGAGAGCAGGTTGGCTGTCACGGTCAGGGCGAAGGAGTAGATGTCTGGAGGGGGGGGGAGTGTCAGTGGGGGGGTGGTCTTGTGAGGTGCGGGGTGGGATGTCTCACCTTCTCTGTCGTCGCAGAAGCTCATCTTCGTCTGGCCAAGGCCGATGGTGTATTTGCCTTGGCTAACGCCATCGAACTTCTCGAGCTCGGCTTGGTCGACGCACTGGCGAGGAAGTGTTAGCAGAGGAAGAGGTGCATTCGGGGAGGATATCCGGGGCTCCTGTGCAGCTTGAGACATACCTGGCTGGGGAAATAGATCTCAATGGCCTTGATGCCGATGTTTTGGGGGCGTTCCGACATGATACGGTGAGGAGATGGCGTTGGGGGGGGGGGCAGGTAAATCAATTTGAGAGCTATTTGAGGGAGATTTGGAGGAGAGCAAGTGGCAGAAGATTGAAGTGTGAGCTCTGAAGTGGTCAGTCCAACGATGCTTCCCTTTTGTTTGGAGAAATTGGACCGTTGGAGATGGCGGTAAAGGGGGGTGGAGGGAGGATGGAGCTAAAGGCCGGGGGGGGGTAACAAAGCGCGTAGGGTAGCGGTAGAGGATGGATGGTCCTATCTCGGACCTCAATAATTTGTTTTTAGTGGTGATAAGGGGTACGTACCAGAAGTTATTCGCTTAATGTGAGATGTGGGAAGAAGATAACTAGAGTCGCGGCTGTGTGGTTGGGGGACTAGACCAGATTGGGGTATAGTTTGGTGTAGTTCGGTGGAAGGGCGGTCGGTGGAAGGGCGGTGGAGGGGCGGTGGAAGGGCGGTGGAAGGGCGCTGGAAGGGCGGTGGAAGGGCGGTGGAAGGGCGCTGGAAGGGCGATGGAAGGGCGCTGGAAGGGCGCTGGAAGGGCGCTGGAAGGGCGGCTTGGGGTGACGAGAGAGGGGTGGATGTAGAGTAGAGTATAGTAACTAAATATAGTAACTAAAGAGGAAAAGAGGTAGAGGGAGAGAGGGGTGGATGCAGTGTAATAAGCAAGTTGTCTTGTGGGAAGCAAGATGTCTTGGTCAGACATTTTCAACAACAATGTCTGACCACAAGACTACACTTCGTGAAGCAAAGCAATGGCTCCTTGCAAATTCCTTCTGAATTGGTTTCTACTGCTGCAACTATTTTCAAAGTCAAAGCAGACACGCGCACGTATAACTCGCAATCCGGATTCCTCTTGAAGATCAAGGGAAAGAAGGCGACCACGTATCTCTATCTTGGCGATCAGGTAAGACTCCCCCACCTCTCATATTCCCTGGCTAAAGGACAGTGGGACTCCAACCCCCTCTGGGAAAGCCGGTACATCTGGCTCGCAATCCGGATTCCTCTTGAAGATCAAGGGAAAGAAGGCGACCACGTATCTCTATCTTGGCGATCAGGTAAGACTCCCCCACCTCTCATATTCCCTGGCTAACAGGACAGTGGGACTCCAACCCCCTCTGGGAAAGCTGGTACATCTGGCTGCCAATGGATTTCAACGACAAAAAGAAGACGCTCGACATTGTTTGGCACGACGTCTATGATCTCGACGTGTAAGCTTCCCACCCCTTAAACGATCCTGCTAACCGCCACAGCAAATCCGGAGAATACAAGGCCATCAAAGGAAAAGAATACCGCGGAATCAACGCAAAGACAACCCCCCTCCAAAACAATGCTAATTTCCAGAACTTTGCAAGCGACAATGTCATCCTTACGGGCATCTCCGGAAACGACAGCACCGTCAGCTTCGAAGGGATTGCGGCAACATGAAAGCCGCAATGGGTCTCCTTCTACCCCCTCCACCGTTCGAATTATAGACAGTCGTTGACATCCGTCTCGATATATTATAAACGAAATCGGCCTTTCATAATTCTCGTCTCAGTATGATAACCAAGTTATAAGGCGAGGACCGGACTTTACGGAACCTACGTGATACTAGGTGTCACCACCAACCAATCACACACGACCTCGGGCACAACGGGCTACATATAGTTATACTCCGTACATTAACGTAAGTCGTGGCGTAACGCAACGGGTGTCGTAACGCAACAGATATCAGAAGAGAACGACGTAGAAAATTAAATAGCTAAACATCAACAATAATACATGACCCAGTATCGCTCTTAGAATCCTTGTGAAGCACTTCTTCATCATCGCAATCACTATCAGAAATGTACACAACTGCCTTTCCCTTTCCCTTTCGTGTTTTCCTACCTTGACTTTTTGTAGCATTCTCAGCCTCCACCACTGCATCGCATAATTCTTGCGTAGAGATATGGAAATGGCCCTTTAAAACCACCCTCTTTCCCTTCGTACGGGTCGCACGCTTCTTTATCATAGACCGTAAGTTGTTGGCATCATGTTGGTGGACGATACTTTGCGCATGAATTTGCTCAGTCCCACTGTTTAATACACCACATATATATGTAATAGGTAATCAAAGAGAGAATGCCAAAAAAGCATAATAAAAAAAATCCTTATACTCTGGTTGTCAGTTTTTGGATATATCTGCGGACTGGTGTTGCAACAGTCGTATGGTCCTTAATTGTTGAATTAAGTAGCTTATTCGCATCTCGCAGTATCGCTGGATCAGGTGGCGAGCTATTTACAAAGACTTGATTAAAAATATCAAACTGGGTTGGTGTTCTTGGTCTTTCTTGCTCGGGTGTTGCATCGCGGGCCATCGTACGAAGTGCTCTTTGTGGGTTGAATGGGATTAAACCAGCACCGCGCCAGGCAGATTCAATGTTCTGACGATTGCATACATCTGATCGTGCTCGAATATATGCTTCCATCCACTCGTACTTCTGTATTCGTACGAGTTGTGCTTGGTTCAAGTGCGATAGTGCCGCTGTCAGCCGTTTTTTTGAGAGGGCCAAAAATCTCAACATTATACGTGTTGACTTCATTGTCCCAATCGAAAATCCAGACTCGTCCATGTTATATATGTCTTTTTGGTCGATTCCGTGTTCTTGAACCACTTTCTGATACGCATCAAACCACGCGTCAAGCACTGGTTTTGTTGCCCCGTCCATTCATACAGACTCAATTCGACGTCCAATAGCAACTTTGAGATGTGGGTGTCGTATAATGAATCGGGGAACCCAGTCCTCACCAAGCGTATCATGTGGTTGGAGTTCAAGCACGTCGGGTGTCGCATTGTCCAAATCATATGTTCATTTTTTACGCAGTTCCTCTGCTATTTCTTTTAATAAGCGATGCCCAGGAGAGTACCCACTGATTGTTAAGTCTTTGATCCACTTGAGAAGTACGTTTTCCTGAGCGTATGAGAGTTTCTGCTGTTGTTGGCGGGCTTGATGGCGAGATAACCCCCCATTGACGTGTCGCGTCAATGTGCTCCGCGTCAACCCCAAGTCCTGGGCAGCCTTATACAAGCTTTTATATTCACCATTTTGAAAGCCAGTTATTGCCTGAGTAGTACGAGACTCTAAATTCGCCGTCGCTACGCTTTTCCTACGCACCATTGTTGAGTTATTCAAGTTACAAGTTGGTAGTCCTCGGTTATCAGTTGCGTTACGACACCCGTTGCGACGACTTACATTATACTACAAACACTACTTGGCCAAGAACTTCTGGAAAGCCTCCTGCTGAATCGTGGTATTCCCCACCGAGCTTCTTCCTCCCCTTCTTCTGCTTCTCCAACAGCTTCTTCCGCCGCGAAATATCACTCGCGTGCAGTTTCGCCAGCACATCCGTTCGGAACGGCTTGATCGTCTCTCGTGCCACAATCCTCCTCCCTGCCATCGCCTGGATGATCACCTCGTACATCTGGCGATCCACAAGCTCCTTGAACTTCTTCATCCACTGCCTGCTGACCCTATCCACCTATGACGTGTGCACCACCCGCGAGACGGCATCCACCAGCTCCTTGTTCACCAAAAGCTGCATCTTGACAATCTGACTCCTCCTCCACCCAGCATCCTCATAATCGAGAGAGGCATATCCCCTCATCGCTCCTTTAAGCTTACGTCGATCAATCCTCCGAGAAACGAACACAACAGCTCAACAAGAACAGCATGGAGGGCACAATAAGCTATATGCCAGTGCTTATAAGGCTGGAATATTCCCACGTCTAATGGCTGTAAAACGTGTGTAAGGTGGCTGGAAAACACCCATAAGATGATGTGATATTCGGCTGCCATAATGACGAACTCAGGGCTCGTGTGGCTCACATGAGAATCGAGTAGTAGAACCTTGAGAGTTCCTGGGTTTCATCCATATTCCAGATTGACTCTGGATTTATACCATGCTGTAGTACAAATTCCGTGTACTTTTCAAACCACTTAACAATAGCAGGTTCCTCTTGAGCTTGCGTACACTGTTGCACAATAGGCTTTGTAGTGATAAAGTGGAAATACATAAGCTCATTCCGTATATATTTAGTGAGCCAGCTCTGTGACGGTGGAGGCAGTGGGCTCCGTAGGTGGCATACTGCCCCGTAAACCATATGCCTATTAGCCCCTAACCCTAGGTAATACTTCTCTAGAATCCAGGCCTTTAGGGCCTCCGTTTGGTCTATAGAAAGCACCCTATTGTGACCTCCATGGGCCAGCTTCTGTGGGACTGCTCGGGTGATTCTTGACTGTATAGTCGACTTTGGGACCTTAGAAATCCGACTGGCAGCACCTACAGATTCAGAGGGGTTTGCTGCCAGCCATTCACAGGCATTTGATAGAGGTGTCCCTTCCATTAAATGAATACATTTGATTACTATATAAATTACTACGTGTAGGAATGTTCAAGGTTTTGGTAAAGAGTAGCGGTGAACATATGCAAGTTGAGAGGACGCACTTGCTTCCTCTTGTAAGCGAGTGGACGCACTTGCTTCCTCTCGTAAGTGAGTGGACGCACTCGCTTCCCCCCACAGTTAGTGTGTGCCCAATACAAACAAAGTTGACAGGCAGGTTCTTCTTTTGCACCTGTACAGCAACATCGACCATCACCTCCCATCACTCCTCCCTTCCAGCTCCCATCCCCTACTCTACATCCACCCCTCTCTCCCTCTACCTCTTTCCTCTTTAGTTACTACACTCTACTCTACATCCACCCCTCTCTCCCTCTACCTCTTTCCTCTTTAGTTACTACACTCTACTCTACATCCACCCCTCTCCCCCTCTACCTCTTTTCCTCTTTAGTTACTATCAGACTACACTCTAATCGTCGGATCCGCCTGGTCGCTTCGCTCCTAGTCGGAATAAGCAAGTTGTCTTGTGGGAAGCAAGATGTCTTGCCTCGCTAAACCCACCACTTTAAATCAAAGCAAAAGTATTTAACGTGCATGTATAATGAAAGTGCCAAACAAGCGAAAGTGCCAAAATATCGCGACTACCCCATAAGAATTGCGATAAATCCACCACAACAATTTAAATTAATTAAAACTACTCGGAGTCCTCTTCCTCAGACCTGTCTATTACAATCTGACAAGTGCGCGCATTGTGTCCAGTCTCACCACACTTGCCACAGCGACGTGCATGGGTTTCTTTCCTTGGCTTCCGACCACTACTTGCCCTTATTTCTTGCTCTACTTGCTGCACAACGTCCCTCTCGTCCTGTAGCTCCTGTGCTACCTGTTGACTAAGTGATCCTCCTTGCTGTAGTCGTGTTTTTTTAGCTCTCCGGCGCTTGCTTAGCACTTCATTTGCCTGTCGCAGGTTTTGGTTCTCTGCTTTTAACAATGCTAATTGATGCATTATTTGCGATGCACCCTTTGTAAACTGGTCAACAGCTGCATAGATTGAGGTTGGAGAGCTATTTTGATGATGCGCAATTCAGTTTTTAATGAAAGTAGACTGTGATACAGCTTCAGTTGGGTTATTTGGTGTCTGAGAAACCCATGGTTGAGCGGTGTTTGGGCGAGAGGTTGGAGGTGTTGGCGTCTTAAACCTAAGGTCAAGTGTAGATATTACACTCTCAGGGCTAAATGGAAGAAGCCCAGCACCTCGGAACCCTCCCTGAATATTGCTTTCTGTCATTGCAATGTTAAATGCAGCATGGAAGGCAGGAAAGAAGTCATCCTTAGTAATGTGAATAATATGAGCCCGCATCATATCTTCAATTTGCCGACCGTAAGCTCTCTTTAATGGGCCAAAACAGCCAACATCAAGTGGTTGGAGTATATGGGAAGAGTGAGCAGGCATACAAAGCGTAATAATGTTGTGTTCTTTGCAGTACTCCTCAAACTTGTCTGAGTGGTGGCTCTCATGACCATCAAGGACTAACAAGCGATAACCACCAACACTCCGGGGCTTTGTGTGCTTCTCAAAATGCTGAATCCAATCCATACCTCTCTCGTTTGTAGTCCAGCCATTTGCAGTAACAGTGATTACCCAATCTACTGGAAATCCGCTATTCTCATACCAAGATGCAAGGTGGTTTTTACCTGCCACAATGACAAATGGCGGCACTGCCCAACCTTGAGAACTAACACCTTGGATTACTGTAACCCATTCCCGATTGCCAGGCTGCACCTTTTTTGCCTTTGCCCGCCCATCTGAGCTCGTTACTACCGTTGCGCTTGAGATGACGCCCATCATAAACCCAGTCTTATCAAAGTTGTAGATATCTGCATTGTTGATGCCATACTTTAGAATTGTGTTCCATACAAGCTCAAACCAGCCACGAATGACTTTTGGATCATCGCACTTAGCCCTCTGGTAGTCGTATTTTCGCTGGAAGCGTGTCCGGAGCTCTACATGGCGCTTAACAAAGTTTGAAGCCCAACGTGACCCGACGCGTGGCGCGTCGCGTGTTGCAAGTAGTCGATTTGCCATATCTTCAACAATAACAACTGAGGAGGGAACCCTTTAGCAGCTAAGTCAAGTATATACTGAACAAGAACTGATTCCTCTAGGTTACTTAATTTCCGTAAGTTGGCTTGGATATCGCGTCGTGAAGGTACACCTTGTAAACGGTGACGTAGCTTGCGGTGGTCTACGGAATAGATCCTAGCTGCAACTCGAAGGCGCAAATTTGGGTCGCTTTGCATAGCTTGGATAGCTAGCACTAATTTGCTTTCATCATTTTTATGGCGCATGTTTTGTTGTGGAGGAATTTAACATTTAGTTGGGGGGGTTGGTCACCGCATGATTTTGGCACTTTCGCTTGTTTGGCACTTTCGTTATACATGCACGTTATGTATAGTAATATATAGTACAGTCAAACCCCTGTTATAACGATCCTGAGCCAGAGGCACAGTATTACATTAGAACAAAGGCGTGCCCTTCGTCGCTGGGCACATCGACAGCACCCAAAGCCTACACAGAAGCAATGCATCAAATGGTTCCTCCACGAAATACAATCACAAACTTAGCCAGTCAACTGTTTCCGAATCCTTAAGTCTACGCTTCTCCCACCTCGACGAGAATAATACACCACAAGGCGTGCGACTTCGAAAAGGCTTCTGGCCTGACTTAGAGAAGCTTCTGTTTGCATGGCAGCAGCGTATTGAAGCAAGAGGGGGATTTACAACTGGAGAGCTTCTGCAAACAAAGGCAAGAGATATCTGGCGTCAGTTTCCACAACACTCTGGCAAGCCAGTCCCAGAGTTCAGCATTGGATGGCTTGAGTGATTTAAGAAGCGCTTTAAGATATCATTAAAAGTTCGACATGGAGAAGCCTTATCTATCCCAGCTTCTACAGAAGAGGAAATGAGAGCCTTACAAACTGTGGCAGGGGAATATCAAGAGGAGGATATCTACAACATGGACGAGAGTGGCCTTTATTGGAGGATGATGCTCTCTCGAGGCCTCTCATTACAACATCATGCTGGTTTAAAGAAAGACAAGTCTCAGATCTCTCTTGTATTTTGTGTCAATGCAACTGGCACAGATCGATTTCAGTCTGGTTCATTGGCAAAGCTAAAACACCACGCGCTTTGCGATTTGTATCAGTTCATACAATGGGAGGGCAATGGCGTGTAATGGTGGGTGCACCAGATGTGAGAATCCAGCCACCCAAGGAAGGGGATGATTTTACTAAGACAACACACTGTCTTAGGAAACAGAGCCAAAGGGTTGTAGCTCAGACTATTCCACAACGCAGCAATCAAGTGTATGATGTAGTGGAGTGGTTTAGACAAGTTGTAACAAATGTTGAGTCTGAGAACTCAGGGATAAGTCAGAGGTTAGCACCTCACTGACTTTTCAGAAACAAAGAATAATAAGATCAATGCTTTGAAGCTTGGAAAAGACGTGGAAGTATGTGATAGTCGATTTACTGTATTGTCTGCTTGCCCTTTCTTAAGGAAAGGGCAATCCTATTTATGCTAAAGGAGTGTAGTTCTCTCATTCCAAGACTTTCCATGACTAACCAGGCTTGGTAACTGTAGTCAACGTAAGAGAATCCCATAGAACCATCTCCTAGGTTCCTAGCCTATAGGAAGTGAAAGGAGGTCCAAGGTCAGAGTACCCCTATAGACAAATTATGTCATAACTTAACCAATCTTGTGGGTAATTAAGGAGCGATGACGTGTAATGAATCATAGACAGTTGTAGAAGCTTTTGGAGCTATCGTTCATGTTCCTAGGCCTCTAGTTGATAGAGATATGTCACGTGTAGTATTAGCCCAGTAACTAAGGAGTGATGTCATGTAATGAATCATAGAGGGTTGTAGAGATATGCTATGTGGTAATATCGGCCCAGTAACTAAGGAGCAATGACGTGTAATGAATCATAGAGGGTTATAGCAATTGTTGAGTAGTATTGCTCTTGTTGTTGGTGTGACAAGCCAAAATATGTATAGTGACTTGTAGGTTTGAGGAGGAGATTTCTAAGTTTGCTCTTGAGTTTGATAGCAAACTGAGTGCAACGAATGTCAGTATGACAGATTACAGCTCACAGCTTGTCACAGCTTGTTACGGTTGTTACGGTTGTTACGGTTGTTACGGTTGTTACGGTTATTACGGTTGTTACGGTTGTTACGGTTGTTACAGTTGTTACGGTTGTTACGGTTGTTACAGTTGTTATGGGGATTACGGGTGTAGCCTTAGCCACAAGGTTACAACCGCTAAGCAGACAACTGTATGTTATGAGGAATAGCCTCACCTTCCTTCCTTCTTCTTCTTCTTCTCTCTTTAGATTCAATCTAGATTACTTTTCCTGGACTGGCATCATGACCTCTATGACCATCGTAACAATTTTATGCTAGTGCTTGTAAGGTTGGAAAACCCCAACATCGAGTGAGAGGGAAATGTAAATGGGAATATGTTGTGCTCCTCTGCAAGGATTGCAAATTGAGGGCATTGATGACTTACATGAGAATCAAGCAAGAGGACCTTTAGCTCTAAATCTTGTGTGCTTTTTGTATGTTTAATGAAGTGTGTTAACCATTCAATTGCAAGTTCGTCGTTGATATATCTAGAGTCTGAAAGTAGAATCCTCTCTGCTTAAAGATTCTGATGGTACTAAGATTCTATATGAGTTTTGCCCTGTATGATAATAACAGGTGGAATCACTTGCCCACTTACAGAGACAGCTTTAACAACACTAAGGGAACTCTTGTTTTCAGGACTTAGTGTGTAGAGTTCGTATATTCTAATAGGCACCATGACTTTGTAACGCTGACTTCTAAACGATAGAAGACACAGAGGTTCTCTTGCGTAAAGGTTTACTTATCAGAGGAGGCAGGGGATCAGACACAAAGGCTTCAAGTAACACGTTACTAGTATATAACAAATACTGTATTGAGTTGAGCACGAAGCTCCTATCTAAGGAAATACTATCTACTTATATAGTGGCGTCGTGCCTAGTGGACTCTTTGGGAACTCACTCGAGTCCTCGGAGTCCTGGACTCTTAGGACTCTTCTCATCATCCTGCGAGTCCGTCACGTGATACTTTCGGAACTACTATTCCCCGCTGCCCCTCCAGGTACCAGGGCCGGTCTCATGCGACCTCCCTCCTTCCTGTCCTGTATTGGCCAGCCTTCTTGTTCCGTCGTAACAGACTTGTTCACCACCTAGGATTCTAATTCGAAATCCTGTTGCTTTATCCCATGCTCTTGTAGAAATGTAGTATATCTTTGAAACCATTCTTCAACTACTGTTTCATCATGTGCTGTTGTTCGCTGTCATGATATAGGCTTTGTAGTAATTGTATGAAATTCAGAAAGCTCATGTTAGACAAATTTTCTCATCTAACGGTGGTAATGGATCACATAAATGACAGAGAAGTGGACATCACTTATAACCTACCCCGATTTATGAGAGATCTCCCACAAATGCGGGAGCAGACTTTTAAGGAATCTACCATACAATCAGCGTTCCGGAAAGCTGGAATCTGGCCTATAAGCTGTAATACAGCCCTTGAGAAGCTGCGTACGTACTCGCAGCCTACGCAGCCTACAGAGCCTACAACGCCCACCCTACCACGGCCTATTACCCCTATTCCCTCCACTTTCCAGGGCGTAGAACAGGGCCTACAGCAGTGGAAGGAGCGGGTTCCGGAGGCCTTTAGTAGCCCCTCAAGGCAGAGCTACAGCAACTGGCTTACTGGGGCAGCCCGGGTTCTGGCTGCTGGCCAGCTCCAGGAACTCGACCTACGGGCTGTTCGGCAGCAGGTCAAGAACTCGAAGAAGAAGCGGGGGGGCCGGGACCGACTCCAGTGTGGAGGTGAGCTCCGGGCTTCTGAAGCCCACGAGCTTCAGGCCCAGAAGCTCGCTGCCGCAGAAGCTCGGAAACTGAGCCAGGCCCAAACCCGAGCCCAGAAGCAGCTCCGCCGGGCATCCGGAAGAAGAGCATAGCTCAGCTCACTAAATCGGGCCTCCCAATTCCTCCGGAGTTGGAAGACCCTATTACTGACCCAGAAGCCAAATCTGAGAGCCAGTATGAGAGCGCAACTGAGGGTGGGAGTGGTCGTGGGAGTGAGAGTGAGCGTGAGAATGAAGCGTGAGAATGAAGAAGTGATAATTTCGTAGAATTGAACTTTTAAGTACTTTTACATATAAATTACTATGGTTGGGTACTTACGGTCGCAATTTGAGAGGACGCACTTGCTTCCTCTCATAAGCGAGTGGACGCACTCGCTTCCCCCCACGGTTAGTTGTGTAACCTGCAGTAGAATCATTGGTGGTAATACTTTATGGACCACTACTTGGTACTTCCTCAGGGCCCTTCCCTCCCCATCCTTTCCCTCCTGTCGGTACTTTCATCCCATCCCAGCTACCACCACAGCCACCACCACAGCCACCACCACAGCCACCACCACCCACACCCACACCTACAACCACACAATCCTCAAAACATCCACCTCGCAACAACCTCCGTCCAACTAATACCAACTAATACACCAAAGTCCTGATATTGTAACCCAATACTGTATCAACTACGGAGTATATCAAACTATATCCACCGACTCATTATTCCACCACAACCATATCCATATCCTCAACTCAATCAGCATTCGATCACGAACGCGTCACCGCTATTCCGAGCGCTTATTCTCCTGCCCTGCCACTCCGCATTGCCTCTCTTCCACGACCAGCCCATGAGCCAAACCTGGGTTTGAAGGGAACCACGCCATCCCAGCGCGAGCGCCAAAGGGCGTACAATCTTGCCCTCGACACAACTCTCTCCGCGGTCAACTTCTCTCGAGGCCTTCGATATGGCGCCTCCCGACCACCAATCGAGTGATGTCGGCCGACGCGAGTCGCAGAGGCTCTCGGTCCGCCAATCTGTCGACAACACGATTGACGAGGGCGACGACCTCTATGGACTCGAGACTATGGGCGTGTCTGACGGGTTCCGGCCGCCTCACGTCCAGAACCACAACCGCATATCATCCGACTCGTCACAATTGAACAGATCGGCGCCGCCGCGGCCACCGAGTATATCAAAGCCGAGGATGGTCAGCAACTTTGCCCTTCGACACGATGGTGCCCCGGAGTCATCGTCTTTGGGACCGCCTGCTGAACGCAACGAATCGACTGATGCTCCCATAATAGCGCCCGATGGGCCATACCAGGGCCCAACGAGGCCGTCACATCCATACCGAATGTATTCGCAGATGGATCGACCTGCGAGGGCAGCGAGCATCGCTACGATTTCAAGTTTTCCCGCGTCGGAACAGAGTTACAGTGGACCCAACGGCCCTACGCATCCCTACGGCATGTATCCCCAGAATACTGTTCCGGAGTCAGAAGCGGGCGACATCGAGCCACCAGCGAATATTCCAGTCGGCTTCCCAGGTCTCTCCGGGAACCAATATCAAAGGCGATTAGGCCCAGATGGCGAAGACGCCGCCGATATTATTGGCCCAGACGGCCATACAGAACAATTACCACCCTACACGAAATACCCCGACGAAGTATTCGCGAGGAAACTGATGCCTTTATCCGCCCCAGGACCGTCTGCAGCGGCCGCCTCGGGCGCAGGGGGAATCGGCCTTGCAACACGTAACCCTGAATTCTCATCAGAAAACCTCGCCATCTCGCCCATTGAACCGACGTCTCCCCGGTCTACACTCTCCGTACGGAGCGGCGAGCCCGTGCGAAGTCGCGACGCTGCCGCGGCCGCAGAAGCGGAATCCGAGAAGCCGGCCGAGAAGAAGTGGAAGACGATGGCGAAGCAGAAGGTGTGCGGCTATCTCCCAGTTTGGGCACTGACTTTGATCGTGCTGCTCATCGTCGTTATTGCCCTGCTCGTCGGTAACATCCTCGGCGTGATGGTCACGAAACGGAGAGATTCGAAATTCAAGCACAGCCGGCCACTTACCATACCGTACGTCCCCTCTCAAAAAACTCCTTTCGTCACGTACTAACCGATCCCTCAGTGTCTCAGGCGATTACTACACAACCGTAACCACCACCCTAGACGCCACTCCCCTCCCCTCCCTCCCCACCAGCCTCCCCACCCTCCCCACTGGGACTTTTTCCCTCTTCATGAGCTCTGCCTTGGAAAGCACAGGCCTCTGCCTCGAAAACATGTCTCAGCTCCTCGCCTGGTCCTGCGACATGCCGCCCGCGCGCATTCAAGTTACCATCGCCAACCTCGGCCTCGACGCGCCCAAGACGAGTAACCACGCCTTCTCGCTCAAGCTACCGGATGGGGCACAGCAAGGGTTCTCGTATGGCACGCAGCCGCCGGTGTTCAGGCCGAAAAACGTGATGACCCTGGTGAGCGACTACGACGATCCGTATCTAGGACCAGCCTGGTTCTTCCAGGTCACTTACGATAAAGTCGTCATCCTCCCGGCAGAACTCTTGCCGGCGCCATCGGCCAAGGCGAGGACGCGGCGCGGGAATGTGGAGGCGGTCGGCGATACGACCGCTACAGCATCCGATGCCGCAGCAGCCCCAACTTCCTCCACCACAACCGCCCCGTCTACAAACAACTACTCCGGCGGCGACGGCAGCGGCTGGCCCACGCCACCGGGCACGTACCCGCGCCACAGCGTCGTCCTCGCGGGCTCCACACCCTGGTTCTGCTACTGGAACGGCACCCTCCTCGAGACCTTCGTGTACCCCAACGCCTCATCGAAAGCGAGCGAGAAATGGGCGTCGAGCTACGGCGCCTCCTCCACTACTGCCTCCGGGTATGGTAGGACGAGCGTACCCACCGATGCTGGCGCCGTGACGGCTGCTGGTGGGACGACGACGGGGACGAGCGGGTTACTGCCGCCGTACCCAAAGGTGGTGAAGATTGAGGAGAGGAGGATGCCGAGGGGGGCTTACGATCAGCCGTACTGTGTGCAGATGCGCATCTCGGCGGATAGGGCGACGGCGGCGCCGGTTAGGGGTGCGGATGGGAGTGCGGTTGTCGTGATGCTTGATGAGAGGGTTGGGGCGAGTGGGGGTAGTAAGGCGGAGAGGGATGGGGTGGAGATGGAAAAGAGGATGGGGTGGGGGAAGAGGGGGATGGCGCAGGAGTGTCATTGTGGGTGGGTTGCTAAGTGAATACCGCCAAGGACCCCTTGACGGTTGTTAATTGAAGTGCCTAGAATCGACACACAGCGAGCGTTGTGAGTAATATCCTGCAACTCGAGAGATGGAGGATGCAGCGAGCTTGTGGATCGATTAACTAGCTGTGTGCCCCTCCCAGTCTGGGAGAGGCACACAGCCAGTTAAATGATCAACACATTCTGTCTGTGTCGACAGCGCTAGGGGAGGGGTTTGGATACCACGGCGTCATTCTTGGTCGATGTTTTTTTTGGGGTTTTTTTGGGGGATATGGGATCACAATGGGGGACTCCATGTCGCAAAATGGGTATTACTTAACTCTTCATGTTTTTATGTTCTATGTTTCTGGGAAAGCGTGGGGGGTGGGTGGGAAGCGGGTACCGGGGGGTATTGGAATGAAAGGGATAGGGTATGGTGTTTTTCTGGTTTGCTTGTTTGTTTGTTTTTTTTGAGAGAGAGAGGCAAGATGAGGGAGGGGCTGTATGTTTATGTGGTGTGTGAATGAGTGTTATTGTGGTGGATGGATGGATGGATGGGTGGTGTGGTGTGCTGGGTGAAAAAGGGGGGTTACTCGTGAAGTATATAAATTATGTACGTACACACACACGTTACCGCACCTCCTTGTCCCCTACCTAGTCCCAATTATTTTACTTGCGGCCTTGAAAACACTGTAATTACTTCCTCCCTCCCCAATTCCCCCCCTCCAACCCCTCCAAAAACACCTCCGCCTCCCTCCTCGCCTTCATCCTCGCCACCAACCCCCCTTCCTCCCCCTTCCCCCCCCATCCCCACCACCCCCATCCTCCCCCCTCGCCCCAACAGTCTCCCTCCTCAACCCCTCCAACCCCTCCATCTCCCCCTTCCTCCCACCCCCCTCTCTCGAAAACTGATAAAACCCCACCCCCCGACTCCTAACCTCCTTCCTACTATCATAATGCACCGCTTCGGGGGGTGTAGGGCTGCGATCACGTTTTCGTGCTAGTTCGCCCATTTTAACTTCAATTTCTGCGTCGGGGTTGAAGGCGGAGCTTTGGATGGCGGCGCCGTGGATGAGTCCCTCTGGCATGGCGGGGCGGGCGGACATGCGGTCTAGTTCTTCGGCGCCGCGGAGTTGGTTGCGGAGACGGCGGTGCATGCGGTCGCGCTCGGCTTTGGTGCCTTCCCTCAAGCGCCCATACTCATCCTCAAACTCCACCTTCTCCAGATCTGCAAACGTCCCCCGGCCCTCCTCAAGTTCACTATCATCCTCGCTGCCCTCCCCCTTCTCGCCAGCTTCAGTCCACTTCCTATCCCACTCCACCAATCCCCCCGCCCCCTCCCCTCCCTCCTGCACATCCACATCCCCCCTCTTCATCGCCTTATACCTCTTAGCTTTTTCCTCCATCTTCCTCCTCGACCTCTCTAACGTCTCTTCATCCACGCCGCCGATATCCTGTTCCCCCTCCCTCCCTCTCGCATCTTTATCCTTCCGACGCCGCCGGTGCGCGGTGAAGATATCGTCTTTCTTCCCCGCCCGTGCGCGGCTGGCGCGTGAGCCGGGGGGGGAGGGGGGGCGAGAGAGGAGGGAGGAGAGGGTGGATGTGAAGGAGAGGGAGGAGGGGGTTTGGGTGGAGGGGGGGTTTTGGAGCGTTTGGTGGGGGGGAGGGAGGAGGAGGAAGGACGGTAGAGGTGCGTGTCGGTTTTGGAGAGGTGGGAGGACATGGTTTGTTTTTCTCTGTTGCGGTGAGGTGAGGCGAGGTGTCTCGTGGGGGGCGTGGCTGGCAGGTGTAAGGTCGAGAAACAGGCGTCGCAAAGTGTAGGGTTGTAGGGATATTTTTAGGTCGGTAGGAGCGCTGGATCGAGAGGTTGGTTATGGCGACATTTAGAGAGACTTATGCGAGACTTGGGGGGTGATGCGGAGGTGAATTGGACGCAGTCGATAAGGTCCTAAACAGGTGTTCGCGACACTAAACTCGCGGTTCGATTGTGCTCCAACATGTCCACGGCGGTGACAGAACGCGCACCCAAACCAGCTTAGCGGCACCATCCTCCCCACCACCCTACAAACCCCCACTATTGGCAGTATGTAATGGTCCGCCAACCTCCGATTCACGCAATCGCTCTCCTCCAAGCTTGGAAACTTTGAAAAACAACATTTAGAGATAAATCAATCATATACAATCACGTCAAAATGGCTGCTCAGAAGACTGTTTTCATTGGTATCATCGGTACGTAACCCTAACCCCCCCCTCCATCTCTAGCATTGAGCAAACACTGATGAATCGCAGGTGTGGGCGGGGTAGGAAAATGCTTCCTCTCGCAACTCAAAGGCGTCACCGAGCGCCTGGCCAAGAACCCGCGCAACCCAGCCCTCGCAGTCGTCTTCATGTCGCGCAGCACGACCAACATCTACAGCGCCGACTACTCCCCCCTCTCTCTCGACACCAGCGCCGAAACCGTAGCAGCATCGAAGCAGGACGTCCTCTCCACGGCTAAGTTGATTGAGTACCTCGCTGCGGCGCCGGGGAAGGCGGTGGTGGTTGATAACACCAGTGCGCAGGATGTGGCGGAGCAGTATCCGGAGTTCCTGGCGAAGGGGGTTAGTGTTGTGACGCCGAATAAGAAGGCGTTCTCGGGGTCGTATGCGCTGTGGGAGGCTATCTTTGGGGCGGCGGCGAAGTCGGGGGCCAAGGTTTATCATGAGAGTTCCGTGGGCGCGGGGTTGCCGGTTATCTCTACGGTGAAGGACTTGGTGGAGACGGGGGATGAGGTTACCAAGATCGAGGGCGTGTTTAGCGGGACTATGTCGTTCTTGTTTAACTCGTTTGCGCCGACGGAGGGGGAGGGCGGGAAGTGGGCTGCTGAGGTTAAGAAGGCTAAGGAGCTTGGGTACACTGAGCCGGATCCAAGAGATGACTTAAACGGTCTGGATGTTGCGAGGAAGCTGACCATCCTGGCGAGACTTGTGGGGCTGAAGATCGAGTCCCCCACCTCCTTCCCGGTGCAGAGCTTGATCCCCAAGGAGCTGGAGAGCTGCTCCAGCGGCGACGAGTTCATGCAGAGACTACCCGAGTTCGACTCACAGATGGAAGAGGTGAAGCTGGCTGCCCAGGCGCAAGGAAAGGTCGTCAGATTCGTGGGGAGTATCGATGTGGCTAAGGGCGAGGTCAAGGTCGGGCTAGAGATGTTCGACAAGTCGCATCCGATTGCGGCGCTAAAGGGAAGTGATAATATCATAAGCTTCTACACGAAGAGATATAGTGCCAGCCCTCTTATTATCCAGGGCAGTGGCGCGGGAGGCGAGGTAACCGCCATGGGTGTTGTGGGAGATCTGCTGAAGGTCGTTGCCCAGCTATGATTATGATAGACGAAAAGTAGACAGTTATTCATTTGCTGGAGGGTTCGGAGACGTCCTCCGACGATTTTGGCCTTCCTGAAGTCTTTGTATGCTCTCTGCTCCGCCTTGCTCGTCTTGCCGCCCTGCTTCTGGTGGTATTGATATGACTGGTACCGACATTCTGAATTCCCGAGGCTGTCCGCTCGGTCGCTCGCTCAAGCTCGGTGCTCGTGGCCTGGGGCGGTTCTGCGCTCTCCCACCGATGAAAGGGACCTCATATGCGACTATTCGGAAGATGTAAACGAAGAAGTCGTAGACTACGAGTAGGAGCCATGGCCCCAGCACTAGGCCGCCCAGAATAAGCTGTGATAATGTCAGTTGTCGCTCAAGTAGATATTCCAGTAGGGACATGAATAAATCCTGACTTACAAATAATCGAGTAATCCAGACCTCTATGTACTCAAGGTTGCTGGGGAGAATAGATGACCACGACATCGTCTCGAGCTGGCGATGTGTGCACACGAGCGATAGTTGTTCCCCCTCAGTGTTCACGGTCGATCAGATTCGAAGCCTGGGCTCGATTATTATCGTCTTCTCAGCTGCGATTCCTCCACAGGATATGAGAGCTTGGCGCAGACTTGATCGGCGGATGGGAATGGCGCAGAAAGAAGATCTATCACTTTGCGCTGATCAGCTCTTGCCTGGCGCGGACTGAAAGTTAAAGAGTAACAGCACGACCTTGACGGGTACAGGGGTCCTTACCCGTCGTCATGTGTGAACGGCGCTAAGATAAAGATGACCGCCGATAACCTGAATAGTCTTTGGAGTCGCAAGCCGCCAGGTCTCACTATCTTTGCGCCATTACCGTCTGTACCAACAACATAACTCATTTGTACCAGGCGAACCATATTATACATCGGGCATCATGGCAGGTGCGGCTGGAAAGAAGCAGAAGAGAGAGGAGTACCGCGCCGCTCAGCGGGATGAGGGCGGCACGGAGCTTCCCAAGAAGAAATTCTACAGGCAGAGGGCGCATGCCAATCCGTTCTCAGACCATCAATTGACATAGTGAGTAGTCTGATATGCTTATAATAAGCTTGTACCTAATTTTTTGAAGCCCAGTTAGCCCAGCAGCAATGGACTGGTCGTCCTACTACCCCGCATATGTTGCGCCGTTACCAGCGAAAGACGAGGATAATGAGACCATGGAGGGCAGAGAAGCAAGCGCCAAACCAAGGCCGTTGACAAAAGACGTAGAGATTGCCGATATTGGCTGCGGCTTTGGTGGTTTAACGGTGGCGCTCGCTCCTCACTTCCCAGACCAGCTCATATTGGGTATGTACTCTCAATTCATCTGCGCTATAGTGCCATACTAACGACAACAGGCCTGGAAATCCGAACACAAGTAACAGAATATGTACATGAGCGCATCAAGGCCCTGCGTGCGCAACACCCAGATAGCAACGCCTATCAAAACGCATCCTGCCTCCGAGCAAACACGATGAAGTTCCTCCCCAACTTCTTCAAGAAGGGACAGCTCTCGAAGATCTTCCTCTGCTTCCCAGACCCCCATTTCAAGACCAGGAAACACAAGGCGCGGATTGTGTCACTCTCATTAAATTCGGAGTACGCATATTCTGTGCGACCAGGGGGGGTCATCTACACTATCACGGATGTGGAGGACCTGCACAAGTGGATGGTGCAGCACTTTGATGCGCATCCGTCATTCGAAAGGTTGACCGATGAGGAACAGGAGGCGGATAAGTGTGTACATATTATGAGAACTGAGACGGAGGAGGGGAAGAAGGTGGAGCGTAACAAGGGCATGAAGTTTGTTGCTTGCTATCGCCGGAGAGAGGAACCACCGTGGCCTTCAGAGGCGGGGCGGCCGCTGAGGCTGCTTAAGTCATAAATTCAAAGCATAGTTCAATTTTCATGACTGTCAAGTCAATATTATCTTCCAGTGTTCTTGTATTTGTGTGAATGAGTAAACTCGTAAAATATGTTTGGATATTATGTCTCACCTTGATTCCGCGCGGCAATATAATTACGCGACCAGCCGACCGCCGCACAGTAGCACATGCCTATCAGATAACCAGAGCTCCCGTTGCTACCCCATATGATGACGAACAAAACGACGAATAGTCCATATAGACTATGGCCCTGAGCAGAAGAGATGTGATCCTAGCAGGGATCGCCATTTTCTTCGCCTGGGGAGGGGTCACTAGCCTAATACCGTCCTTGCGCTGGACAGCTTGGGCGTTCGTGGCTGGCATCCTGGTCACCGTCCTTGGGCTCGCAGCGATTGTCCTAACGACTACGAGGGGCTCTAGCTATAGCTCAAAGAGCAAAATTATCCGCCCCCGAGGGCCCGATTTCCTGGGCACAGAAGCATGGCGAGAGGAACTTGCCAAGCTCCCAAGTCGACAGCCATACGACCCACGACCATTATACCCAGAGTCCTTCCTCATATCCGCTTCTCTCGACGAGCTCCTCGAATATATAGTGCGGGACTTCGTCAAGTCCTGGTACTCCAACATAAGTCGCAACCCAAGCTTCACCAACGAGGTCGACAAGGGGATAAGGGATGCGCTCGTCGATATCAAGGACAGGCTGTTATCAATAGACCTGGTCGAGGTGGTGATCGAGCGATTCGTGCCGATACTTACGGCTCACTTTAAGGATTTCTACCATGCGGAGAGAGTTGTACGGGGAAAGCACCTCAATCGGAACGTTACAGAATCAGAAGAGTTGGACCTTGCGATCGCCGCAAAATACAGAGATGGCAAGCTGCACCCCGCAGCATCGCTGGCATATTCAGATACACGGCTTGTGCAGCAGGAGCATCTGCGGACATTGGCGAAGGAAATCATCCCCAAAGTGGTGCCAGAAAGCCTGATATCAAGCAAAGTGGTGACGGTTCTCATCGAGGAGTTGGTGAGCTGCGCCGTCCTGTTCCCTGTGATGCAGGTAGCCTCCGACCCTGATACCTGGAACCAAGTCATGGAGAATTATGGCCGGTCGATGCTCCAAGATCGGTCGACGGTGCGGAAGCTGCGTGCGGCTCTTGATCAGCATGCGTCGCCGGCTCCGAAGGAGAAGCGCTCCCTGCCCTTTCCACGGCTGTCGCCGAATGATAACGAGCGGAAATTCGAGAAGTTCATACGTGCCGCTCGCAGGGTCAATAACTTATCAGATGCTCGCCGCTTTCGAAGTGAAGTGTCAAGTCAGCTGAAGCGGGATTCTCAACTTGAGGCCGCAGACTCGGTCTACCTCCGCCGTCTGGAAATAGCCAAGAAGATATTAGACCAAAGAGTGAACCATCTGGCATCCGGAAACTGGAGCGCAAACGGAAATAATACCCTGGATTTTTCCTCGAATAATGGGCCTAGCTCAGACCTTAACAATGCGTCGCTTGTGGATATCTTGCATGATTCATCGGCACTGTCATATTTTATGGAGTACATGGATAGGCAGAAGGTAATGCCTCTTGTTCAATTCTGGATCGTGGTTGATGGCTTCCGGAATCCACTCGAAGAAGACCCAACTGAGGATGATGAAGTGCCTCCAAATCTGCCTCCATGGACTGATGCAGACCGATTAGATCTTGCACAGATCCATGACGCATACTTATCCAAGCCTGAGCTTAATATATCAGAGTCATCAAAGCAATCCGTAAGGACCTTTTTGAAGGCTGGGAAGGGTGCTTCCCAAGAACAGTACTATGCTGCGCGCAGGACTATATTGCTCGCGCAGACAAGTGCCCTAGAAAAGATGAAGGGCGAATACTTCGATGGATTCAAGAAATCAGACCTTTTTTACAAGTATTTAACCTCACAGGAGGCTTCGAAAAACACAAAGGCCTCAATGTCCCACAACCCATTCGACGACCAAGACAGGCCAGCTTTGCCGCCTAGGATTGATACCGCCCAATCACTTCATCCAAAGCCCAAGGCAGTATCCAGAGTCTCGTTACAGCAACCACAAAGGAAGATGGCATTGCATCGCGCATCGCAGTCATCTGCCGACCTACCAAGTATGCAGCGGCGTAATGTTATGGATCTCGCGAATTCTCGCCGCTCTCTTGATGGTGACGGTGATTCGCCGCTTTTCGATGACGACGATGCAGATAGTGAGGCTCTTGCTGGTTCTGTGCATAGTCTGGACCAGGATGGAGACCATAATGACGGACCAGCTGCACCAGATAATCAAATTGTCAAGGCAATGGAAGCGGCACTCAACGATATCATGGAAGATGCCCCTAATGTTGACGATTTGCGTGGATCCTTATTCGACAATGGATCTCCTGCTACAAGCCTTTTGTTTGGCAAGCCAGAAGGGTCTCCGCGGAACTCAATTGATGTTATCTCTCATGACTCGTCGCAGAAAGAAGGTGGCAGGCCAAACATTGCGTCTCTTGGTCTTGTGAACACATCGTCGCGTATTGGAGTCTTCACGGATGATGACCTATTTGGCGACGAGGAGAAATTTCTATCTGACGAGCATGATGATCCAGATGAGGATAAAGAGGATTTTACTGATCAAATTCACGAGGCAGCGCCAGGCGACTTGGGTCTTGCGGAAGCTATAACAGTCCTAACTACCGACATTGAGCGTTTAATTGCACAGAACGCAGTTGTGGAATCTCTTACTAGAAAAGCTGAGCTCACCAACAATACTGCAGAACTACGAATTTTACGGAAGTCCAAGGCCAGCTTGCAACGCGAGATCAGGCGTAAAGAGCTCCAAAGACAACAATATGTTGTGCAAGAGAGCGATAACAGCTTATATGGCCGCTCCACGATCAGGATTAAATCTATCATGGTTGGTAAAGACGAAGATGGGCGAGAATTTGCTATATATGTCGTGGAAGTACAACGGAAAGCTGGTGAGCAAATGACTGCTGCTTCTTGGGCAGTCACTCGGCGATACAGCGAGTTTCTCGAGCTGCATCAGAAGCTTCGAGAGAAGTATCCTTCTGTCCGCCACCTCGATTTCCCTCGGAGGAGGATGGTTATGAAACTTCGAAGCGACTTCTTACATAAACGCCGCCTTGCTCTAGAGAAATACCTGCGAGAGCTACTTCTCCTACCAGACGTCTGTCGCAGCCGAGATCTGCGCTCTTTCCTGTCACAGAGCGCCATTGCTCCTGGTACAGAGGCGCCTAGCAACTTGGAAGATAAGCAGGATATGATGACCCGGTTCTATAACTCTGTCACGGACGGAATGGAGGATATTCTAGGAAATATCCCAGTGCTCGACCAGCTGTCAACGGCAGGCCAGAATCTCATATCAGCAGCTACCAATCAACTGACCACCATGCCACCCCTTGTCAGCGAGGACCCAATGACGGCAGCCGAGGCCGAAGCGGAGCTGAATGCCTTTGAGAACCGCGAGCTCGAGCCATTCGTCAAGCCCATCTGCGACATCTTCTTAGAGGTCTTCGAGCTCAACAGCGGGAATAACTGGCTCCGTGGCCGAGCCGTTGTTGTGGTCTTGCACCAGTTGCTAGGCGGGACAATCGAGCGGAAAGTCAGAGAAAATGTAAAGACTTTGGTCGTGGAGGATTCTATCATGCGATATATCACGTTGATAAAAGACAACATGTGGCCTGGAGGGAAGAAACGCGAGATGGTGCAGCGGACGGCGGCACAGAAAGCCAAGACAAGGACGGAGGCGAGCCTTATGCTGGCGACGCTCATTCCGGATCTGGTTGGGAATGTTGTTGGGCGTGTTAATGCACAGGCTGCAAGCAGGAGGATATTTGCTACGCTTAATAATCCACGGTTGAAGTGAGTGATACATGGAATACACCCCCCTACATGGCATGTTTGCTAATATGACCACAGTTCTCATCTCATGTTCACTTTCCTGGACGAGATAGTAGATGTTCTTTTCAGGGGATCTCGTACATAGTCAAATTTGGGTCTTAAGTAGTCTCGTTGGGACTTGGCGTCGGTGTTCGGGAGCACAGCATGGGGTTCACAGGTTCAAAGAATGTGACCATCCAACCCATAATGAAAGGAGTTTGGGAAGCTTATTATTAAATGGTTATACTCGAATACGTTTTCTATTAGTATATAGCACAGTTGAAGATTTTACTGCACATAACATTAATATAGAGATGCTTGGCACTTGCATAAATCCCCTCAGTTATCATACAGGCGAGGCTACGAGAGATAAATGTGTTCTGCCAAGGCGGTGTAACCGAGAGGCAGCCTTACCCTCGATTTCCAAGATGTCCCATCTCCAGCTATAAACAAACCCACGCTCGATATCCCCTCAATCAAGTCCTTGCCATGGACAATCAATCGCCGATAAAGCACGGGCTCTCGTCCTTTCCCATTGACCCGCAAGCCTTCGATGCCGACGACCGCATCTCGTATTCTAAGCTCGACCAAAAGTTCCTCCTCGTCGCCGACGATGGCTCTGAGTACGAATTCGACGACGCGCTGATGCGGTGGATCCCAGTCCTTGATGATGAGCTAGCGGCGCAGCAGCAGGCGGCGTATAAAGTTCAGGGAGTGGATGAGGAGGAGACGGTGGAGGATATGAGGAGGAAGAGGAAGAAGGAGTATGTCAATGGAGAAGATGTGAGTGGCACTCTCTACACTCTTGCCCTTTATCCTCATAAGGTGCCGCTTACTAACTAGCACAGGACAACGGTGGACGCGCCGTAAAAGCACCCAAGAAAGCGAAGGCACCACTCCCACCACGACCCAACACCGCAGTCTACGTAACCGGCCTCCCGCGCGACGTAACCATTGATGAAGTCGCCGAGGTCTTCTCGCGCAAATGCGGCGTGATCGCCGAAGAGATCGACAGCGGGCGCCCACGAATCAAATTATACACAGACGAGAGCGGGGCCTTCAAAGGCGACGCGCTGATCGTGTTCTTCAAAGCGCCCAGCGTGAACATGGCCATCACGCTGTTGGACGACACGGATTTCCGGTACTCGGATCTAGGTGGCAGCGGGAAGATGCGTGTTATGGAGGCAGATAGCAGTTATAAGAAGACTAAGGCGGAGGAGGGGAGCGGTAGTGCTAGTACTGCTGATAAGGAGGCGGCGAGGGAGAGGGCAAAGACGAGTGCGCGCGATAAGGCGAAGGTTATTAAGAAGACGCAGAAGCTGGATGCAAGGCTCGCGGACTGGGATGATGATGACCCACAGGCGTTGTATGAGGCTGGACCCAAACCGCAAAAGTTGGTGGTGTTGAAGCACATGTTCACACTAGAGGAGCTAGAGGAGGACCCGGCTGCGATGTTGGATATCAAGGAGGATATCCGTGAGGAGTGCGCGAAGCTCGGCGAGGTGACGAATGTTGTGTTATTCGATCTCGAGGAGGCTGGCGTGGCGAGTGTGAGGTTTAGGGACGAGGCTGCTGCAGCGGAGTGCGTACGTGTTATGAATGGGAGGAGCTTTGCGGGTCAAACTGTGGAGGCGTATTTGAGTGAGGGGAAAGAGGGGTTTAAGAAGAGTAAAGCGAAGGCGCAGGAGGGAGAGGAAGGTGAGGGTGCTTGAGGTATGGATATGGATGTATGAGTATCACGCACAACAACTGTATTGTCTGGAGTTGGTTAAGGCCATGGCTTGGAGAAAGGAGTAGTTGGGAAAATTATCAGTCCCAAAGTTATCATCATGAAGGAAGAGCTGTTAAAAAGGCACCTGTTGAAGGCAAAAGTATATCCTACTTGTACCGCTCAAATCCCGAGAAAGGGAGTGTGTATAACAGCAATGAAGGAGCAACGAATAGCTTATAGACTCTATTCCTTACTTATCAGTTTACAGTAACTATGCATAAAAAGAGGCTTATAATCACTGTGAAATACAATCCCTACAGTAGACCCTCTAAGCAAGCTAGTTATTTAAAAGCCCAATAAGGGCGATAAGTTCCATTGGTGATCTAGCTCCGGTCTTATGTCCCTAGTGCCTCAGGTCCAGAACTCGGCGATTGTGGCGGAACTAGTTCCCAGCCACTCTCAAGAGCGATGTTCGATACCCAGAAATTCGTGGGAAGTATGTCTACATCGGATGATGTATGACTCACTTGGACGACGGACCAAGTATTTATTCCCAAGAGTCCGCTTCCTCGACTTCTGGAAATAAAGAAGCTAGAACTCGTCAAATTTAGAGTTTCGAAGCAAACTACGCTAGCAATCACCGACTAGAGCACCCATGTGTCCATGCGCCTAAACCCGCTTTAATCCTTGCAGCTTCTCGATTTAGGATCATGCCATCTACTGATCCACGTCCACCATGGGATTATGGCGCTTTCGAAGGACTTATATCTTTCACTGTCTACTTCATTGTCTTTGTTCTTAGATTCAAAGGTAGCTAGATATATTTGTGAATATTTCGTACTCCCAACACCCACGACAAACCCCAGCAACTTCACGAGTACACAGAGAGCATGTAGTGATGAATCTCGCATTTAGTATTTCTCAAAAAGCGCGTGTGTATGCCCAGCTTCCATACATACAAGTATCCCCCGTCCGATTCATCGGGCGACACCATCAGTGCTAAAAAAGCAAAATAGCAAACTAAAACCCACAAAAGCAGTTTACATAGAAAATCACCCCCCTTTCATGTTATCCCAGCCAATAGTCCCAGATTAAAAACAAAAGCAAATCCTTGCCCCCACCGTCGCTTGCAACCAACCCCAGCCACTTCGCCCTTTTTGTGGTGCTACTATGAGCCCAGGCTTTGAATATCGCATAACAAAATATTTCGGACGCTTCAGTTGTGAGGCAGCCCTTCGCCAGTAAAAACGCCCCCCCAAATTCCGTCCTTCCGTCATAAAAGCCGTTAATGAATTATATATACTCTCTCTCCTTCCATTCCCCAAACTGACTTCGGATCAGTCTTCAAGGAGCCCGCCCTTCCCACGGACCCATATCCATCGGCCCAATACTCATCAGCTCTCTCAACATCCCCTCCCCAATCGGCGTCAGCGCCGTCGCAATCTCCCACTGCGCGCCCGCGAACCCCGCGCCGCGCCCCCGCGACCCCGCCATCGTGTATCCTATCCCGCCCTGATTCTGCAGCGCAGGAATATACCCCTCGCCGCGCTGCTGCTGGTAGAACCCCTGTGCGGCGCCGTTCTGGTGCTGCTCGGGAATCCCGGCGTTGTGGCTCGCGACGGGTGACGTCTCGAAGGAGCTGCGGCCTGAGCCCTTCGCTGGTGCGAGGTTGGCGGGGCGGTGGCCGTCGGAGGGGGCGGTGGAGGAGGGTGTGGGGCGGTCGGAGACGGCGGCGTCGCCGGAGGAGAGGTCCATTTCCATCTCGGACGTGAAGTGGCGTTGCATGCCGTAGGTGGTGTCGTTGGTGTTGGGGAGGACGACGAGGCCGGGCATGCTGCCTAGGTTTGTGCCGGCGCCGGGGCGGCTGGGGAAGCCACGGTCGGCGGGGACCCAGGGTATCCCGATATTGGTGTAGCCACTGAAGGTCGGGGGTGCTCGGTCGGAGGTTATGGGAGGACCGGAGGTAGTGGTTGCGGGTGCGGTGGAGGTGGAGGTGGTTGGGGAGTTGGGTTGCGCGCTGGTGACGACGTCGTCGACGATCTTGAGGAAGTTGCATGGGTCGGTGCCATTACCGTGATGATCTTTGAAGATTTGCGCTTGGGGGTTCTGTGGGGCGTTAGTATTTGGGTTTAATTGTGGTGTGAGCAGTGGGGAGGGTGGTTACATTTAAGTGTCCGTTGATAAGGACCTTATATTTTGGATCTCGCAGTCCGAGGCTCTCCAGGTCGACATCGAGCTGAACGAGGAATGACTCGGTGAGCGGGTTCTTAGCTTTCATTGCGTTCATGGCAGCCAGCAGGAATCGCAGTGCGTCGCCCGTCGTGTTGTCCTCCGGTCGGCTCTTAAGATACTGCACGAAGACACGCGCAGCAACGTAGAGACAGAAGGAGATAAAGGGGTTCATCTATGCAAGTTAGTATTCGTAATGTTCTTTCTGGTGGAGGGGAGGGGCCCATACAGCTGACAGATCTAGGTGGGAGATCATGCGCATGATACCCGCGATCTCATTCGCAGCATTAATGCAGCGCATCTTACTCTCCTTGCTTACCGACGCCGGGAGGTGATTCTTATCTGCTTTATATACAGCTGCCTGGTGCAGACAGATAGTCGAGGTGTGGATATTCATGTTCGCATACACGATATTCGGGCTGTGAATATTTGGGTTGTTTGCGTTCGATACTTTGAGGTGCTCAGGTAGCTTTAACGACGTGTTCAGCAATATATTGTCCAGCTGTCTATGACGCTTCCAGAACTCGCCGTTGAGGTCGGAATCGAGCTCATTGGCGTCGGGGCGGTGAAGGTGCACGAGGTTGCGGCCAAAGAGGGCCGCCATCAAGGCGATGCTGCCGAACGCGGAGAGTTTTTCTGCGCCGTTGGGGCCGAATGCTTCGGACAGCGAGGTGGTCTGCTCCGGCTTGCTCTTCTCAAAAGCCTCCTCTGACGCGGGAAGATTGGTGAGAACGTCCCTCTCATCGATGGTCATCGGCCACCCAGTGCCTATACTGGCGTACCGGTCCTCGGCAAATGCCATCCAGAATGTCCTGCGCCGTTCTTCCCGCTCCGTCCAGTCCCGTGCCGGTGGGAGGCATTGCTTAACGTCCAGTCCTTCTCCGTCCAACCTGTGTAGGCCCATCCTGCTAATGTTAGATTTGCGACCCCCTATCTTCAATGTCGTGACTTACATCTGACATAATCTAATACCCGAGCCAGTACTCATCCATGCCCTTGGGAAATACATCATCTTGAACTCGTACGTGCTTAGAAGGATATGAGTCTGCGCGTGGCCGACGGATATCAAATGCTCGCCGTGTCCCTTCAGGTAGTCCTGCTCAACGTATTTGCGAGATCTCTGGTAGAAGTGGTCTTTCAGGCCCAAGAATTTGTCTGTGACGGAACACGCCAGTGTCCACATCGCGTATCGCAGACAAACTGGAGGCCGTTGATTCGGAGCACTTGTGTGGCATAAGCTTCCATACCAATCGGAATCACGCCAACCACGAAATTTGGCGTGGACAGAAATACGATGGGTAGACTTACAGGTTCATAGCCGCCAAATAACGATACTTATGTATCATTGGCACAGAGGGGTGTATCTTTTCGAAATAAATCCGGTGCAACTCATCAATCGTGTCCTGCGGCGGCAGCGGCTCATCGAGGCCCAATCCGATCATCTCCCATGTAAACGTCGGGTCCATTGTCATCCCCCCCATATTCAAGTTCGGATCAAAAGCGAGTTCCTCCATGCCCGGCTGGGGCGAATCGCCGGGGTAGTGCCAGCGCTCGTGATCTCGGTCGTTGACAACAGCAATATCTGGGTTGTTGACGCCGAAATCTGCATTCGCTGTCACAAGCATGGCCCGAGTGCTCGTATGGGTGTTCGCGGCGGTAAAGGCTGAGCGTGCTAGGTCGGGGCTCTTCGCTGCTGAGGGGTCGCGCGTTTTAAGCAACTCCTCGACTTGCTCTAAAGGTAGAAGTTAGATGGGTAGCATATGTATGGGTGGGGCCGGCATACTCAGTCTCTCCTCGAGGGCCTTCACATATCCTCGTTTTGGGCCGCTCTTGCGTCGAACCTCGTCGTAGGCGCAGTCGTGGTGGAGGCGCTTGCAGGTCGAGCAGCTAGGCTTGCTGCCGTCGCACTTTAGCTTTCTCTTCCTGCATATTACACATGCTATCCGCTTTATGGAGGGTGTGCCGCTGCCTGCGTTGTTCCCCTTGGGAGAGGTTGGGTCATCGGTACTTCTGCGACGCTTGTGCGATGACTGTCCGGCCGTGGACGTATTAACAGAGTCGAAGGTAGGGTTGGAGTAGGTGTCGGGGGAGGTGTTCGACGAGGACATTGTGGGTGATGGTGCTGACTATCTGTGGTGGGGGTCTATCCCTGAGAGTGTCTATGATCGGGATTCGGTCTGTACTGCACCGGCGACCCTAAGACAGTGCATCTGCGAACTCGAGTGCATGAATGAAGGCGGCGCGTGTCCGCAATATGCTCGTCGGTGAGGATTTATGGTTCGCTGTTTGGGGGGTTCCTTCAACAAGCCCCCAACGGAGTCGGAGACTATAGGTAGCGAGGGTGATGTATGAGCGACCACGGACGGAAGGGCGCACAGCGGTTTCGAGGGTTTCGAGGGTTTCGAGGGTTTCGAGAATGTCGTGGAAGGAACGAGCGCGATTCCTTTACGGTGGTGATGAATCTCGGTGGATGGATGGCTGGAAGAGGGCGGCATGAAGGCCTGTATAAAGTATGAAAGCCTGTCTAACGGCCTCTGGTAGAAGCGAGATACATGCGAGTAGGAATTAATTTAAGCAGGCATTAACCATTAACCATACAAAAGGCATAACTTATTAAAACATAGAAAGAGTGCATCCTACTGCAAACCACTAACTTACAACTTAACTTACTCCATTTGTGACCAAGGGGCGGCTGAGTGACAAATCAATTGGCTGGGGTAGGGGACCTCCAACACACCACCGAGGGACACTAAGTTACCTTGGCGGAATATCACATCACCTATTTTTGTAGCGGTCGTATATCCTCCGACACCCATACACTCATCCCTTCCTCCCTCCTGTCAAACACCGCGTCCGAGTCAAGAGGGGATATTTGATCTGATGCCATGGGTTTAGACCGTCGTGAGACAGGCCAAGCGAGTCAGTAGAGCATTCCGCCGCCGCTGACATGCAACCCCAGCCAGGTCCTATCCAGCAATCCGCGACCCGGACACCCAGAATCGCATGGCGCCGCCGCGGACGGGGGGCTTCCTCGCGCCCAAACGCGTATGGGACCCGTTCCAAAGTGGGTTGCGTAGGCACCGACCTGATGATGATCCTAGATATGCTTACTGCCCTCGCAGCCCTGTGCCCGCCATGGTAGGATAGACGGGCGAGGCTGACCAGGCTTGAGATACTTGCCAAGGGCCGTTCCTCCCCGCTTGACCGCCAGATGGACCTCTTTACCCTTACTCGCTGCGCCTATCCGTTTCCATCTCCATCACTCATGCCCATTACAAATGTCGCCTTCTTTGGCCTGGAGGCTATCAAGGAGTGCGAGCTTGGACGAATTTAAGATGCCGATGTCTAATATTTAAGGTTGTAGGGACAGAGTGGGATGCGAGCCTGCGAAATAGGCTATTTCCGTGGCTAAGGCCGGGAAAAGGCGTGTTTCCAAGTTATGATTATACAATTGGCGGCTATCACCCTACCATCATCGCGGACTGTTTCCACGATGGCCGATACGAGGTTGTCCACAAGCTTGGGTTTGGTGGTTATCCAACGATTTGGCTAGCCCGTGACAAACGCCTGCAACGCTATGTATCATTGAAGATCTTCGTTGCTAGTGAATCTTCAAAAAGCACTGAAGGCAGTATTCTCCGGATGCTCCGTAGCGACGACTCGACGCACCTAGGGCAGCGGTTCATTCCACGTTTACTCGACGAGTTTTCATTCGATGGCCCTAACGGGCATCACGTTTGCCTCGTACATACTGAGACTGCAAGGTCCATCGCCGCTCAGCTCATCATGGGGGTTTCCTATCTGCACTCCCGTGGATTATGTCGTGGTGGTAGGTTTTAAATCCACAAGCTTCATAGCTACATGTCCCACGGTTCTCACTCTGTCCAGATCTACACACGCGAAACTTCCTCCTATGCGGTCCAGATTTAGACTGTCTCAGTCACAACGAGCTCTACAATCGTTACCGCCTAGACAAGGCTCCCGTCATGAGGGTTGATGGCGCGGCAGTTGAACCTCACGCACCGCCATATGCTGTTTACCCAATGCACATCAAGATGCCGGCAGTTACGATATCCGGCTATGGGACCTCATTCGTGGTTGCAATCAAGCTATCCCCCAAGCTTCATACACCTGCTCTCTACCTTCCCCCCGAAGACTTCTTCAACGACCCCATCACTCAAGCTGCCGACATCTGGACACTCGCCGTCAATCTCTACGAAGTCCTGCTCTCTTGGAAACATTTGGCTGGGACCGAGATGATATAATAGCTGAAATGGTAATTACGCTTGGCTCGCCGCCCGCTCGCTGGTGGGATGCATGGGAGCATCGCAATGAATTCTTTGAGTCCGACGGCTCCTGGGTTCGTGATATGAAGAGGATTTACACGCCTGTGTTCCGACCTCTGAACCAGCGTATGTGGGACATGGGACGTGGCGAGGCGCCTGAATCATGCCAGTGGGATGTGAAAGGGGGAGAGATGCAGGCGTTGGAGTAGTTACTGAGGGGTTTAATGGCTTTGGACCTGCGGAGAGGTTGACGGCGGAGCAGCTCATGGAGCCAGAGTATATGGTGAAGTGGGCAATGCCGGCTTGGAAGAGACAACTAAAGAGACGTGGGGGCCTGCTTGGAATAATGGGTGCTTCGCCGGCTCAATATCACTAACTCAAGATAATTGGGCATCCCATCCGCTATGCCAAACAAAGCTTGGGATTTACTTTATTTCTACTCTCAATCATGCTAATAGGAATATATGATGTGCAAAACAAGACAGCCTGATAGCTGTCGTTCGATCATACTTTCTACCGCCGCACACCCTCTCTCAACTTCTCCTCGCCACCTCTCATGTGTCTTCTCAAAAGGCTCTCCTTCAAAAGCCTACCATAACACGTGCTCCCTAGCTGCAAGCCCGGCCTGCACAGGTCCATTGCTGTTGTACGCGGGGGTTGTATAATTCCTCTCTCCAAGAGGCCAAATCCCCTCCTGGCGCAACTCCGTATTGGCATAGTGGTCATTCTGTACCGGCATTCTTTGGCCACCAATTCCATCGTCATGATTCACCGCGGTGTCCCCGGAGACACTCCGCGCGTGCTTAAGTCTGGGTCTTCCGCTCTCATAATGGCCAGGAATGGTACCGCTCTCCTGTGGTACCTCGTCTTCGCCGCAGTCCTGGCCGGGGTTACAGGTCTGGTAGCGCATGCTGTTCAGCAGTTTATAGAAGCCCGCTGCGAGGAGGGCGCCGAGAAGCGGCCCGACGAGGTAGATCCAGAAGTAGTCTGGGAAGTGGCGGCTCACGACTGCTGGGCCGAGGGAACGGGCGAAGTTGAGGGAACCACCAGTGAAGTAGATGCCTATTCTCACACGTTAGACAGCTGCCATACGGACATGGTTGGGTCGGCACAAACCGCAGAGTTCGCCCAGGAAGAAGGCAAGTCCGATCCCAACAGGAGCTAAGAATGTCGACCTGTGCTTGACCACCGCGAGCATGATGACCACGAACACCAGCTGCGCAGTCAGGAACATTTCGATGAACAGCCCCTGGACTATCGACGCTCCTCCACCCAGAGTTGTTTCCACATTGAGTGGTCCCGGGAAGAGGGCAGACACCACCGCCGCAGCACAGATCCCTCCAAGTATCTGAGCAACTAAGACGAGGAGGGCGCGCATGGCTGGCATCCCACCAACAAGGAACAACGCAAGCGTCACCTTTTTAACATCAGCTCAGCCCAGCACGTAGTTCTGGAGGAAGGAAACTCATACCGAAGGGTTAAACAGCCCACCCGTGATCCGATAAAACGCCCACACGTTCACTGTTAAGGAGAAGCCAGAACATAGCGAAGCAAAGAGAATGTTCGACGTATTCGGCGGGGCGCCATCTTTAGGCTTGGGTGTGTTGGAAATCTGGGTGCCGACGAAGGACCAGGAGAGGAAGAGGAAGGTGCCGACGAACTCTCCGATCACGGCGACGGTGTTGTTGCGCGTGTCGTCGGCGAGACCGAGTATGCCCAGCTGTTCTTTATGCTTTCTTCTCGTGGAGGAGACGTTGTCGTTGCCGCCGCTCGATATTCGGGAGGAGAACAAGTTCATCGTGATAGCGACGGTGTTGTGTAGTACTGTTATGGGTACGTTGGAGCACAGAACGACTGTTGACAGGCTGTATGACCCTTATACGAACAGCCAGGGCAGACTCCATCACGTTAAAGCTCCTTTGAGGCAACGTCATCCTGGATTATGGCGCATCGGTGATAGATAGTTGTAGCTGAGTTGTCATTCGTGGATCCATTCTTATGTGAGGTTGCCTGGAGGCTATAGCTATGGGGCAATTCTCAAGAAACCTGTACCAAACTCTCGTAACATCTCTATAGCGGTGGCACGTCATGGAAGCGTCGACCTGAGCGGCCTCACTTGGATAACCTCGACTTGGGTATCTGTCACGAGCAGCATCACGTGCGGACTCCAATCACCTGCGCTGCAGTGCCAGTCTTCTGCCAAGGCTCTCTTATAGTATCACGGCCCAGCTAGCTTACGTGACAGAGGGATATATCTCTGGCAGAGGGGCCGATAGAGCTCTAGATCACAATAATCTCGGCGGTCTAGAGCCATATCGATCTTCAATATAGTGGTAAAACCATTTGATTTGGTTTACCCGAAGTCCCCAAAGTTTCAGATGGGTTATGTCATTCTAAAACAGGCCGTCTGGTTGTATAGATTATAGCCACCAGCTACTGACGACAACAATAATAACGAATAATAAAATGCTACATTCCATCTGTTGTATCGTGTCAAACATTATCTCTTATTTATTGCTATTTCACTGAATAGCAATAAGACTCGCGCGCAATCTTCAAGAGGTAGATTGAGAATCCGTGACGTCCAGAGGACAATAATATTGACATTGTGAAATATAGATGGTTTTTTTCGGAGTCCAAACCGCCTGCTTAATCTCACTGCACCCAAGAGCTAAATTCCCTTAAGTCTCTTCAGACAATGTAGTTGTCCCAGAAGGCCAAGCTTTTTTTAGTCTATTCTTAAATAAATCTAGCTGCAACTTCCCTTAACTTCATGACGGCACGGGTGCTATATCAAGTAAGCGTTGTTTAAAATATGAGGTTCAGCCACTGTCGTTCTTCCTATCGTGGAGCTGGACCTCTTAGTTTGCTGGCAATCATATGATCTCAAAGTATGTCTGGGTTTCCCGTTGAGTCTACAATGTCAATATTATTGTCCTCTGGACGTCACGGATTCTCAATCTACCTCTTGAAGATTGCGCGAGTCTTCGCTTTCACCAGTTTCATTTATAACCACAGCAGCGGGGCCACAGTCTACACCGGTTCATTGACTCGTCATCGAGTCTCGGGAGCGCAGCCGGCGGCCCAATAGATCCACATCTCGGACCCGGCACCTAACATACTGCAGTCATAATCCGTTAAGTCGATAGCTCAGCTCCCGTAAATAATATCGAGATAGCGTAAATATTGAGATATCGAATTTCACGTGACATCTATATAAAATGAGGCTATTTACATAAACCAGCCATCTAAGGTTCCCTATGCCTTAGAATTGGCTACTATAAGCTCTAACTCTCTCTTAAACTTCTCAAAGAACCTTAAATACACTACTGCCTCCTAGATTCTATGAACTCAATCAGACGTTGTACAGCTTGATGTGCAGCTTATGGGGTTAGCACAGACTGTGGATTAAACTCTTCATCCTGTTCTTAAGCCTTAGAATCTGGTATATATTGTACAATGACCTGCTCTAGCAGTATATCCTCCCCTATAGGCTCTGTAATGCTCTCCTCTATCATCTCTATGTCCTCCTCTACTAGATTTAAGAAGTTCAAGAGATCCTTAGCATTGCAGATGTGGCCAACTTGTTGTACTTGTTAATAAAGGTCATTTATATTAGGAATAGGGTGTATTAGAAGCTGAATTAGGCGTTAGAGAATTGTGCTTTTTCGAAAGCAGTTATAGATAGTTATGTTTGTAACATCGTAAGTCTATGATCGAATGAGCCATCAAATGGCAAGTTGGACGTTCATTGCTTAGACAGGGTCTTTATGCTGTAAGGATGCCTTCTCGTCTCTCACTCTAAGGAGCAGACTCTGAGCAGCTGCGGGGTCACATGTGATTATTTGGGTGGGCTAACCGAGTTGGATGGGTTTCAGGTACTTGAGGGAATTGACTCATGGGGTTCCCCCTTCATCTTTTTTGTATCCTTCGTAGTAGACCTATAGGTGTAAGGATGCCTCCGCCCTCAGTGATGGAAAGCATCAGAGTCGGGCAGGTTACGGTCACGTGGGGAGAGTTAGAGCAGGTTAGCCGAGTCGGACCCGTTTCAGGTACTTAAGGAGATTGACCCAACGGGGTTCCTCATGTCATACTGACATTCGTTGCACTCAGTTTGCTATCAAACTCAAGAGCAAACTTGGAAATCTCCTCCTCAAACCTACAAGTCACTATACATATTTTGGCTTATCACACCAACAACAAGAGCAATACTACTCAACGATTGCTACAACCATCTATGATTCATTACACGTCATCACTCCTTAGTTACTGGGCCGATATTACCACATAGCATATCTCTACAACCCTCTATGATTCATTACATGACATCACTCATACTACCACATGACATATCTCTACCAACTAGAGGCCTAGGAGCATGAACGATAGCTCTAAAAGCTCCTACAAACCTCTATGATTCATTACATGTCATCGCTCTTTAGTTACCCACAAGATTGGTTAAGTTATGACATAATTTGTCTATGACATAATTTGTCTATGACATAATTTGTCTATGACATAATTTGTCTATGACATAATTTGTCTATGACATAATTTGTCTATAGGGGTACTCTGACCTTGGACCTCCTTTTACTTCCTATAGGCTACGAACCTAAGAGATGGTTCTATGGGATTCTCTTACGTCGACTACAGTTACCAAGCCTGGTAATCATGGAAAGTCTTGGAAAATGAGAGAACTACACTCCTTTAGCATAAATAGGATTGCCCTTTCCTTAAGAAAGGGCAAGCAGACAATACAGTAAATCGACTATCACATACTTCCACGTCTTTTCCAAGCTTCCAAGCATTCATCTTGTTACTCCTTGTTTCTGAAAAGTCAGTGAGGTGTTAACCTCTGACTTACCCCTGAGTTCCCAGACTCAACATTTGTTGCAACTTGTCTGAACCACTTCACTACATCACACACCTGATTGCTGCATTGTGGAATAGTCTAAGCTACAACCCTTTGGCTCTGTTTTCTAAGACAGTGTGTTGTCTTAGTAAAATCATCCCTTCCTTGGGTGGCTAGATTCTCACATCTGGTGCACCCACCATTACACCTTGTCTGCTTCCAAGCTTCAACTATTTCTATAGCAGCACTTCGATACTACAATGGAGGACGACCAAGCTCCTACAACTACTGCTGAACAGCAGATGCAACAACTGTTTGCCTTTATACAAAGTATAGCAAACAAACTTGAGAATTTGGAAAACACCTTTCAAGCCAACACTTCAGCAACACAATCCTCAACTCAGACACATCATACAGAGCTTCCCACAGCTCCTCTGGCTATGTCGGGTACCCCAGGTGCACTTCCTAAAGTGTAAACACCAGATTTATACCATGGAGACAGGAGGAAGTTGAAGGGATTTCTTATGCAACTGGACATCTACTTCACCCTCAGGCCTCATCAGTTCACCTCAGACATTCAGAAGATCTATTTTGCTGCCAGCTACCTCCGTGGATCTGCATTCAACTTCTTTGAGCCATATCTTAGAAGACTTAGTGGCAACAACCAAAATACCACTACACCTTTGATTACCTCTTATGACCAGTTTCAAGAGGAACTTACCAGGACCTTTGGAGACATCAACGAAACTTCTACAGCAGAAAGAGAGCTACAGAAGCTATGTCAAAAGACCTCTGCTGCTCAGTATACAACAGAATTTAGGAGAATCACTTCTCACTTGACTTGGAATGAAGAAGCCTTAGTCTTCACTTACTACCAAGGGCTCAAGAGCTCTATTAAGGATGAACTCAGCAAAGAAGAACGCCCTACAACACTTCAAATGCTTATAGAGAAAGCTGTCAGACTTGATGATAGGCTTTTTGAAAGAAGAAAGGAGAAGAACCAAGACTGGCATCCAACAAGAAATTTCAACAATTACACCTCTACACCAACTGCTAAGGACTCAGCACCTGAACCTATGGACTTAGACGCCTCTATAAAGAGATCTACAGCAAATCCATCACCTCAGCCTACAAGAAGCCCTCAAAAACTGAAAAGGGGTAAACTTACTCCTCAAGAAAGAAAACACAGAATGGACAACAACCTTTGTTTATACTGTGGCAAAGGGGGACACAGAATTCAGGAGTGCTATTCAGCACGGGGGAATGCTGATTCAAAACATATAGCAGCCTCAGACACAGTCACAGCTGCTATTCCTGAAAACTTGAAAAATCCCCACCAGGCACAACTTCAACTGAGACTACAACTTCCCCCCTAGACAACAAAGATGTGTCGATGGTGCTTTCTCAGAGTTTCACACACCTGTTAATCCCTATTCAACTCCATTTCAAACAACAGGTGTTATCTACAAGGGCTATGATAGACTCAGGGGCAACAGGCAACTTTATATCTCAAGACCTCATCTTGACACACCAGTTACCTACAATTCCAAACGCACTCCAGAGTTGCTCCGAGTCATTGATGGAACTCCTATCAGTTCAGGTTCCATTACCTGCAACACCCCAGTACTCAAACTTGAGATTCCCCTAGGAAAATCAACATTTTCAGACACCATCTCTTTAGATGTTATACCAATGAAGTACTCAGTCATCCTAGGTCTTCCATGGCTTCAAAGGCATGATCCAACTATCAATTGGAAGCATTTATCGCTTGGGTTTAGCTCAAATCCGGAGCTCAATACTGAAAAAACCCTTCAAGCCTCAGTTACCCCTATTCAGGTCCAAGACTCAGACTTGTCCCAGATCAAGGATTTTGACCAAACTATGGACGATATATCATCTCTGATATGGGTTAAACCTTTCCAACCTGTCCTGGAGATAGCAGCTACTTCAGATTTGGAGAAATCATCTCAGGAGGTCATTTTGCCTTTAGCATACCAAGACTACCAACATCTTTTTGACAAGGCAAAGGCATCAATTCTGCCAAAGCACCAGCCTTATGACCATGAGATACCACTCGCAGAAGGCTCTATGCCTCCCTACGGCCCTATCTAC